AATAACGCAAATAACAAACTTAATAAATAAAACATAATAGACTGGTTGACATTCACTCTACCCCAGAGTACTCGATATTGTTCCGGGCGATTGGGGAAAAGCCCTGCCATTCATGCTAATAAATTACACACCACAATTCAATCACAGTACCCCAGAGAACTCGATATATTCCTCGGGGTAATTGGAAATAAGCCCCTTCAATCACGCTAATAAATTAAATTCACACAACAGGCTTCATTCACATAAAGTACTCGATAATCCTCGGGGTAATTGGGGATAAACCCCTTCAGTCACGCTAATAAATTACATTCACCCACCGGACTCCATTTATAGTACCCCACAGTATTCCGCAGCACAATTTGGGAAAAGCCCTGCCATTTATGCTAATAAATTTCATTTACACACCACAGATCATTCTTAGTACTCAAGAGAACTCGATTTATGCCTCGGGGTAATAGTAGATAAGCCCCTTCAATCACGCTAATAATTTACTTGTAGAAGTTAGTGACCGTTAATCGATAGTTATTCAGATATCGTGAGATGCGGTCGGGTGTGATGTAGGTTTCAGAAAAATGTTTGAATATAAAATATATTTTGCATTGTACAAATTCACTTTTCCACATCCTAAATGTAATTGTTAAATGTAAACATTGTTTGTAAATCCCAGGCCCTGAAGATGATCTCAATAAAAGATCGAAACGTTGGCACGATAAAGAAAATGTTTTTCTGAAACCTACATCACACCCGACCGCATCTCACGATATCTGAATAACTAATAATTTACATTCACACACCAGATTTCATTTACAGTACTCGATATTCCGCAGCGCAATTGGCGAAAAGCCCTGCCATTTACGCTAATAAATTACATTTACACACCACAATTCATTCATAGTACTCCAGAGAACACGATTTATGCCTCGGGGTAATTGGTGAAAGCCCCTTCAATCACTCTAATAAATTACATTTACACTCCAGACTTCATTCACAGTACTCGATATTCTGCAACGCATTTGGGGAAAATCCTTTCCATTTATGCTAATAAATTACATTTACACACTACAATTTATTCACAGTACTCTATAGAACTCGATATTCCTTGGAGTATTTGGGAATAAGTCTCTCCATTTACCTGCAAATATAAAGTTACATCAACAAATCTACATGCAATTAAAATATCTATCTATGGCCCTGAGATATTGGATCAGCGATCTGTCCCTTCTGTCGTACCCTAAGGTCATTCTGGATGTATTTTTTTCTTTGCAGACTTAGTTGCAAGTTGTCCGTGATAAGTTGTCCGTAGAGCGGGCATGTACGTGGTCTCACTCCCATTAGGTGTCCGTGTGTGATCTTGGTATGACCTATGCGTAACGAGTATGACCTTTTCCCTTCTAGACCCAGCTTACGGGCTAACAGGTACCTGTGAATTTTTTACATTTGTTGGACGTGTTTCTTTCGTTCCATTCATTTTTTATTGCGTTAGCAATCGTTCTTTTTAAATCCACTGGACTGAATGGGTCACCTGTGGTCTCATCATGTTTAACTGCTTATACCAATGTGCCCGGGACCCATGCCAGGACAGCCTTTTTCCCACTGACTTCTAATTCATGTTATTTGTTGATATAAAAAAAAAAAACAAGATTATTATAAGTCAACAAAATACACATAAGGTATTTCTAAAGATTTAGCCGCAGATTAAATTATTAAATCCTATCGCTCCCGCATACACAGGAAGCACGAAGTGCCTCATTTGAATGCTTTAAGGTGTGATGAAAATAATGAGTGCTAGGTGTTTTATATTCAAATCAAAACAATTAAACAAACATTTTTCTCCTTCGTTCATTACTTTTTCACATTCTTACAAAATTGTCATTTTATAGATTTATCTTTTGTTTTTCCTCAGGATTGTCAACCGATGTTTTTCACTTGATAATAACAAATTAGATAGCTATTATTATTCTATCGGGCAGAGAGAGAACAAAACGCCACGATTTGAAACATTAAACAAGAGAAACTAACTAAAACTAGAGACTTTTTAAATATGGTACCTGCTTTTTAGAAAAATGACTTTCAAATTAGAAAACTGTCTTTAACCAGAGATAGACTTCCCAATGAGGGTTAAACTGCAAAAATTAGAAAGTAAAACAAGAGTATTAGGGCAATAAAATAGAGAGAAAACCTTTCGTTTTGCGATAACAATTCCTAATAAGGGAAAAATAAGGAAAATGTACTTTAAGATCACATTAACACAATGACATTTGCTTCTTCAAAATACACAAAAGGTGATGTAAGGCCAAAAATTTTGGTCAGATTCGGCCGAACCTAACGAACATTTGCATTTTTTTACTATACCCACTCATGATATGACAAGAACTTTATAATCAATTATAAATTATTATTAATCAATAAGTTATATTATGCCTAGATGTTTCCCTTTCTTCACACTTTCAATAGGAGTTTTGCCCTTTCCGTCAAGATCGATTTTGCATTGCTCATCCTTTATTATACAGCTTCCACTTCTTTACTTTCATCCTGGACATAATCCCGTTCTTTTTAGTATATTTTCTTCCAAACTTACTTTTTCAAACGGTCATTTTTATAGTTTTAAATCGGTTTAATTTCTGTTTTCCTTTCTTGTGTAATAATGCTTTTCTTTTATTGTTAATGCTTTCATCTTCTTTATATGCGCTTTAATACTAATAAACAGCGCTTTCTGTTCATATTTATGAGACATGCAAAAAATTAAATGAAAACTTTGGGAGGTCTTCAGGCAGACGAGGTTCTTGGGATGCCCTGCCAATTCCATGATCCAAAAATTAGATATAAAATTTCAAAGAAAATATCTGCTAGATCTGTCTGGGAGAAAGGGATTCCCATTTAATGCCGATTAAATCTGGTATGCAGATGGCTCTAAGATCGAGTGTGTGTATCAGGAGCTGAATGGAAAACCAAGGACTAACATTCAAACAAACCTTGGGCAATATGCTACTCACTTTCTGGACATCATGGCTAACTACACTGTGCCAGGGAGATCAAAATCCTGGTAATTGAATGAATAAAAAAAGTACTTTATTAGATAAACAAAAGAGAGGAAAAAATTGTACATAACTAAAAAGCACATAACGGAAATGGTTATCAACCGTCTGCCGGAGTTGGACTATAAATTTTTAATAAACAAACAACACATTTCTTCTCAAGGAAATAACAAAAGAAAGAAAACTATATAAGTAAACTAAAATAACAGCGTGTGGTGATTAGTGACTGTTAATCGATAATTATTCAGAAATCGTGAGATGCGGTTTGCTAGGTTTCAGAAAAACATTTTCTTTATCGTGCCAACGTTTCGATCTTTATTGAGATCATCTTCAGGGCTCAAAGTGTTTGTCTTCTTTGTAATTGTACCATTGGGCACTCTCAACATGACACGCAAGAATGGCACAATTGCACAGAAGACAAACACTTTGAGCCCTGAAGATGATCTCAATAAAAAGATCGAAACGTTGGCACGATAAAGAAAATGTTTTTCTGAAACCTACATCACACCAGACCGCATCTCACGATTTCTGAATAATTAAAATAACAACATATCTATGTATATTTACATACACTTAAAAACATACAAATAACCAGGGTGTCTCTGATATATACAATAAACATTTAATAATTGAAATAAAAACTAGTATTTTCCTGTAGTTCCAGTATTCCCTCGCAAACTTTACTAATCTTAAGGACTCGGGGTTATTTAATAAAGAGATTAGGTGCTCTCTTGTCAATGTGGGCAAACCTATATGCTGTGCTCGGAATTCCACTAAAACCGAGCATTCTGCTAAAAGTGAAAACAATCTTCTCGAGCCTGCCTGTTGCAGAGAGAGCACTTATTGGAACTTTTTACTCTTGTGGGATTGTAATTAAGATAAAGTAAGTCGCACCTAACTTTGAAAAACCAGCAAGCTAGTGGAATGTATGGAATTTTAGAAATTTGCACTATTGATTGATTGACATTAAGGTCCTTACACAGCAAAAACCTAGAGGAATTGCATGAGACATTCATTCACTTTTACACTCAAAATTGATCAACCATATGCGCACCTCTCACACAATGAAATGTCCTGGTAATTACCTATAAAAGAATATGAACACTCTGGATCAAGGTAGGGTCTTGAAGAAGAAAGCAAATTTAGTTACTACTGCCAAGTTTTCGACCTATTGTAGGGGAAAACAACTTCACATATATTTACAGAAGACAGGCGATCTCAAATTTCCTTGAAGACCGACTCAGTCCCAACATTGCCAAGAAATGTCAATGTTGTCTAAATAAAAAAAAAATAACCATCTACTCGGGCAGTCAGGCAGCACTAAAGGCAACTACCTCATCATCAGAGCCTTTTGGGTTGCATTAAGGCCCTGACAGACATTATGGAAAACAACAAAATTCCCTTGTTTTCGTACAAGGCTGATAAATTCATCCTTTGAAAGACTTGCTCAAACATATACTCAGAAAAATTCTGTAGATTTGTTCTTTCTAAGTATCAGCATTTTATTGAGCATTGTTTGTTCTCCTTTTGGTTTAAATTGTATGTAGACATGTTTAGTTTTGTTTTTGTAAAGCTCCATCTCCTTTAATTTGGCTGTCTCTGATCATCTTAGTTTGTCTGTATGCATTAACCAAATTGTGTTCATCACCTTGCAGCCAAATTATTTGCCATTTTTCTTTTATTGTTATTATTAAAAAATATTCTGTACTATCATTCATTATTTAATTAAGAATGATTAAAAACATTAATTTGCTGTAGATAATATTTAATCGCAAAAATGTTTATTGCGTCTGATATGTAGAAAACATTTATCAATCCAGCATTTTTTTTAAACCAAAATGTTGAAAAATCTAGGAACAATAATTTTATATATTATACTTAGTATACTAAAAATTCATGATGTATGTCAATACATCAGTTTTATATTATTACATAATACATTAATTATGAACATTGCTCAAACATGTTTTAAAATAAAAACATGTGTTAAGACTATTGTGTTTTTTCTAACATATGCTCTTCATATGTTGTTAGTTTTTTAAATTGTCACATTTTAATCTTTATCCATTTTACCTTTAGGGGATTTTCAAAAGTATTTAGTTAGTTTCAATGTTCTAATTTGAAAGTACCAAAGTACAGCTAACTGACAGCTTATATGCAATAATCGTTGGTTTGTTTTTGCCAAAACAAGGGCCGCTTTAAAATACTGAATCTGAACTGAGTATAACAAAATGGTAGAAGTGCAACAACAAGACTTACCGAGGGTAATTATTATGTTAGAGCAATAAATTTTTCAAAAAGTCAAATATAATCTCTCAAACATTGCATGAAGAAGAAAACATTTTGCTCTAAGTTTTTTAACATTTTTTAATTTTTTTTCCAGGCGACACCAGCATGGCCACCAGGCCACCAGTATGGTCTACCATGCAAATGTCAGCAAATCTGTGGGAAAAAGGTTTTTAAAAAATATTTTCAGTCCTTATTTACAATAAAGTAACATAAAACGTTTCATTACAGAGAATGCGGTACATCCAACCGGCAATACCGATTTCATACAAACCTTTGAAGGTAATTGAAAAAGTACATAAAGCTTGGTGTTTGTCATGTAGAAATTTATTATTTTGCTGACAGGTATACAGACCACCAGAGATAAAAATGCCCGATGGGACTACCTACAACATGTCATATGAAGCATTTGATCCGAAATTAATAAGGACCTGCAGAGGCAAACCATCATTTACTAAGGAGAATTTATCGACATCAGGAGCATTTTCAGATAAAACTACTCATAAGGTGCAAATACTTTTACAATGCCAATATTGTCATATAATATTGGTTGTAAGAGAAAAACTATCTATGACCACAAGAGATCACATTATTTGTACTGTCTGTAACTGTAATATCAATTTCTCAGATGAGCTACGGGGCATGGCCGAATTTGAAAAGGCCCGAGATCCAATACCCAAAGGATCACAAATTAGTCGGTGATGGGCCAATTTCTGAAATGACCACCAACCGCCATGATTATACTCCAAAACCATTAGAGGCGATACGAAAAATCATACAGCCTTGCGCTCTTGGGATGTCCAAGTCAAAAATGGAAAGTAAGTATTGCCGGTGTTCATTTTGCCAACGGTGGTAAACTGAAATACATTTGAAAATCCCCTAAAGGCAATAAAACAGTTGGAAACATATTTTTGACAATTTTTTCCCCCTATTTTAATTATATTTTGTAGATGCTACAATTCATACAATGTCATATAAAAATCCTGACATGTCGCGTTTTGAGCCTCCTCAATCTTATAAACCCATCAAAACGTAAGTGTTATTAAATTTCAATATATTTACAATAGAACAATGCCATTATTTGTGTATGTTTTAGATATTTCCCTCCGGATTCACCGCTCGAGGGAGAAACCGTCCATAGATTATCATATATGCCTTGGGAACTGCCACCAAAGGAAGATATGCCTTGGACAAAGAAAGGAAGTTATCAGAAACCTTGTATACCATTGGACGGAAATACAATCTACAATGGAAGGTGTGCAACTGTAGTAAAACAAATTTTAGAGTTATTTATATATTTTTTTCTTTTAGCTATATTCCACCAGGAAGATTGGAAGAAGACCCTCTTGGACATTGCATTGGTACGTACACACAGTAATTTCCATAATATATATAAATTGAAATATATAACGTTTTTAGGGTGCTATTGCTTAACCCCTATCGAATGCCTTAACAGCGAAGGTGACCCACCGAAAAATACTCTAGTTTGTCCAGAAGGTGTTGACCCAAATAGTGACCAAAGGAAGTACGTATAAATTCATTAAGAATTTTATAACAAAAGCTGTTAATTTTTTATTTTTTTTAAACTATTTGTATAATGGAAAGTTTAAACTTTAAAGAAATATCTTGTTTATAGAAAATTTGTTTTTAAAATATTTATCAATTGTCCCTGATCATCGCAATTTGCTTTTTCACTTTGTTCATTGATCATTGTGTTCAAAAATTTCAGGATGTAAATCTGGTGAATTCCAAGCTAAAATATCTGTGAAAATATCACGATAATCGGGGACAAATTAGACACATTTTCAACTAGTAGATCACCACAGATTTTTTTTTTTTTTTTTTTTTGTTCAACGTTAAAATGAAACATTTTTTTAGTACTGATAACAATGACCAAGTAGCCAAAGCAGATGTCTGCCCAGACCCAAAATGCGGAACGGAAGCAGGAAACGTAGAGGATAAGGTTTGTATTCATTAATTTATTGAATTTATTTTTGAAAAAAAAAGTGTTTTTTGATACATTCTTTAATTCAAGAAGGATGTGATTTTAAAAAGTGAAAATTTCTTGTGTGAAGGCAAAAATTCGGCTTGCCCAAATATTGGAAAATTTAGGTAATCCCTTCGTCATTTTGCTTCGGTTCTAACTGCATGACTTTATTATTGTTTAATATTTATTTATCCAATTATTAATCAAAATGTTAAAGTATCTTGTGTACAATACGATGGCTATTACTATTATTAACAATTTACTTTGGCTTATTTGGGAAAATAAATTATTGCACTACTATTTCAAAAAATATATATATTTAAAATGTTTATTTATGAATTATTTTCATTAGTGCAAGAAAAAAATTACAAAGTTATCTTATTTATTAAGTATAAAGTAGTTTTTCAAACAAAAGACAATATTTAATTGTGATTTTTTTTACTAGGTGCTTGGCTGTTAGAAGATGTTACCCAATTTGTCAGAACCTGAAACTTTTGGAAAACTGCAGATCTAAAATCATGCTCTATGAAAAAGGCTTCCTTTAATACAAGATTATAATGGAAAGTGGATTTCAAATTTGCTATTTGAACACGAGAATGCCCGGAAACTGACTGCAAGTTGTGTCGTTGTTAAATGTTTGTTACAATGATGTTGTTTTCAATAAATGTAGTCTCGTGCATCTTTTTTTTTCTTTTTTTTTAATATAATGATATATTGATTGATTAATGAGTGGAAAAATATTTTTCAATTGGCCCGAATACAAGCTTACAAGAGAAAAAATGAACTGAAAAATAAAAACAAATAGTAGATATTATATTCAACTTGTTTTATAAGATTTAAATAATTTGAAGTATATCTTAGTGAAAACAATGTGGAATCAATAAAAGGACAATTTAGTAATGTCATAACAAAATTTATTAACAGTAATAAATATGAAAATAAAACATTTAAGAAGCCAGCGATTTTTCCTTGACAATTCCTTTTTCAATTAAATCTGGCACTTCCACAGCCAACCAAGGTCCAAGCTACAAAAAAGGAAAAAATGAAATACAATAAAAAAAAAGATTATGCGTACAAAAGCACTTACACCTAGAGCCATGGCGTGTGCGATGCCAAATTTCGGTACGTTACGTCCCCAAAGAGGTTTGAAATGGTCTGAAAGGCAGATTTTACCTCCTCTAAACATTTTCGAAGTCTTGCCGTCCAATTCAGGCAATGCGATTTCAGGCGCCGTCAACGGGTAAGTGACCGGAATCTATTAATATTCCAAATGAGTAAAAAGACTCGGCAAAATTAACTGATATAATTTGTGATATACATCAAATTCGATGTCAAACTCATATTTGATCAGGTTGTGAATGAACCAGCACTTCCCAAACCACTTGGTACCTTCGTAATTTGATTCCAGTCTAAACCAATCATTATCGGTTTTTTTATTGTACTGCACATACTGAAAAACAAAAGCAAAAGCTAAAAAAAATTTCAAATCGAATTACATACATTTGGTACAAAGTATAATACTGTTACTGCATTTTTTTTTTTTTTTTAAATCCCCAAGGATCTGAGGGGATTTCAACTACAACATTTTAGAACCCTTGGGTGTTGGTATTTTTGAAAATTTTGAAAAAAAATTGTATGTATGTCGATCCAAATTCAGGGTTGTTGTCAACTCTGCAGCAAGCAGGCAATTCCAGCTTTTGTGTAAAGATAAATTACCAGCAGCAGTTCTCATCCGTCCTTGGATCTTTTTCTTTTTTCAAAAATACCAGCACCCAAGGGTTCATATAAGAGAGGGTCTCTTTTAACATACGAAGTTAGGAACTCTCGGGGTGCCGATGTTTTTGAAAAAAAGACCATTTGAAATTATATTGGTATCCTACAGTCCTGCATTTGAACCTGGGACCTTTACCTTAAGAGCATTGTGTCAAAGCCTTAACCGTTGCATTTAATAAACAACTACTAAAAATAAAAATCTCTGCTTCCTGCAACAATCAGAATAGGGGATTCAATTCTATAAGCGTGTGTATGTATGTACATGCATGTCATACACACTTAATATATATAGCCAAGGAGAGGCACCCTTCATGAGTATTTCATGAGTGAGATAATGAGCAACCTATCTCTATATGTCAGACACACAAAGGCTTTGGCCTAAAAAAAATTAGGGTGGGTCAACTTCGCATGGCCTATTCTTTATCAGTCACTTTTAGTCAGATGCTTCTCTGCCAATCCGGCCAACACTGTTACTTGTTACCACATATGCAGTTTCCTTCAGATAACTTTATTACAGCTCAAAGAAAATAATGGCCTTCCATACTTTCTTTTATTATTAATTGTCTGATTGATTTACTAGGATCTTGTTCACCAGAAAGTTCAACGATAATAAAAAATAAAGTCTAAAATAGGCTTGATAAATGAGAAAATAAATGGCTCAAAAATTAATAGGGATATTTGTAATTTATTTTTATTACATTAATTTCAATTAAATTAACTTATATATTCTTGTTAACTGGATAAAACAAAATAGAGCATACAAATCAAAAACAAACAAATGTTAATCCTAATTATTAATAACGGATTTACTTAAGAATAGTAAACATGAAGATTACTCATTTTGTAAACAAACACATGTTCTTGTGTTTTCTCGATCCTAATCCATGGTATTCTCATAACCACAGGAAAACATAATCGTGAACCAGAAGTTCCCAATATTATTGTGAAAATGAGTCATCGAGGTCACCAGCAAGTGGATATTGCAGAGGCAGTTAGCATTTCTCAGAGTGTGGTATCCTGGGCTTTAGCCCAATTCAAGAAACTAAAGTGCCAATAGGTGTCCTGGTAGTGGATCTCAGCGCACTACGACGCTAAGGGAGGATAAAAATACTGCCAGTGCTGAAGACAGAACCATTTCCCAGATCCTAAATGAAGTGTGAGATGTTTTGGCAAGGCCTTTATCAAAACAGAAGATTTGTAATTGTTTGTGGGAAGTTGGCCTCACATTGTATACTCCTTTAAGACAATGTGCAGCAACAGCCCACCACCAGCAACTCAGGAGAATATGGTGCAGGGAGCACCTAGAAGACAACACAATTGGCATGCCTACTGATGAGTCGCGTTTCTGCCTGTATAAATATAGCAGGTACCAAAGAGTTTATCAAGAACTGGGGATGCATACAATGCCCCAGGTCATTCTCCCTTCAGTGGTTTTGAGGAGGCGGTATAATGGTCTGGCTTGGGATTTACAATGGAGGACAACTCCATATTGTTGAAGGCAACCTCACTGCAGTCCGTTACATTCAAGAAATTATCAAGGACTGCATCCCTCAGACCAGAGATCTCATTGGCAGGAATTTTCGATTTCTGGTTGACAATGCCAGACTTCATAGAGGCTGAGTTGTTCATCAATGTTTAGAAAGCCTGGGAATTTCCCCCATTGTCACCAGACCTCAATACCATTGAGCACTTGTGAGATGCATTGCAGAAAAGGCTTTTCGAGGAGCACCTTTTGCAGCCAGTTGACCTGCAACAACTATGGAGTGAAATTCCTTATGAAATTAGTTACACTTTATTAACAGTATGCCAACAGGTGCGCAGAGGTTTTAGTTAACAAAGGACGTTATACACATATACGACGTTATATTAATTGTTATAAAAATCATCATAAACAAAATTATAGAATTAAAACCTTTTATTTTGTAATTTTTCAAAATCCCTTAATTAAATTTTCCTTCAGCAAAAAACATAATTTCTAATAAATTTTAATGCAATTTATAATAAAAATAAGATAAAATGCTAGGTAAAGTAAATACTACAAAACTGGCAATATCCCTATTCATTTTTGTACACTTTAGTTAATTAATGGTTACGAGAATTTTGAAAAAAGCGGGCTTTTGACGTCTGAACCGTTGGCAACATTGAACGGAACACACAATACAGCTATAACCACCCAGAAGGTTAATTTTTAACTATACTACACAACATTATTGAATTAAAATTTAAAAACCAACTGTACATTTAAATTTACAAATGATTAGACACTTACATAACACACTTTTTCGCCTGGGATATGAAAACGAGGCCGTGCCATTAATCAAGGAACCGACGATAGCTGATATGTTTATTGGTACATGTTCACGAAATTTACATCCAGTGTGGTATTAAACTGATACTAAGGTCCCAGACGACTTCGATCCGACAAAGCAGAAAGGAAAAACAGGTAAAAGTATTAACGACTTGCCTGGATTAACGACTGGTACTCTTCTTTAAGTCGTAAAGGCCACAAGTCCTTGTCCCTCGGGCCGGCTTTCGTCTTCAGGAGTGGAAAAGACTTCAAAGTGCTCTTGGCACAGTCGTCTGCCATCGTTTCGACGTGGGACGAAAGAAAACGAAGGCCCTCCAAGTGAAAGTCGACGGGTCGACGCGTAATCGCATATTCGACGGGGTGACGTCGTTCGAATCGATTCGGTTGATAAGCCGTCGTCGATTCATCGAGCCGTTATCACTCGTCTGAACCTTCTTGGAAAAAAGACTAGAAGTAAACAAATACATCTATGGAAGTAATGGAGATCCAGCCTTAAATGAAGAAGAACAAGAAGTTCGACTGTTAGACGGTAATAAAAATAAAAAACACTATTTCAAATATTTTCTAACGCATCTCTGGTACTGGTCTGTAACTCATAATTGAGCAGAAGATAACGCTCAAGAATGACAGTGACTGCAAAATTTCAAATAGAATGTAATTATCTAAAGCATAAAAGTTATGCTGTTATAATTTCAGAATTTTGCTTTTACCAATGGTAATTATCAAACATTTTGTAATTTTTAAAGATCCCATGTAGCTAACTGCAATAGATACATAGAGCTCTGCCAAGTGTATACTACATTCATTTGCTATTTTGATTTACACTCAAACTCATTTTTTGGGTCGTAGAATGCACATCATGTACCTTCCTCTATTCTGGAACCATCAGTGAAAACTAGGCGGTGATATCATTGTGGATTAAACAATTTGCTAATAATAAACAATTAGCAATTCGTTGATTATTACCAACTTCTGCTGACTTTTACCTTCATCCATCTTTTTCTTTCCAGCACTATACGACAATGTTCACTGAGTTCATTTGTCAGTTTGCCAAATTCAGATCAGAAAAATAAACTGAGTGTAAGCGTTTTCCTAAGTTCAATCATTTTTCCTTGCAATGATAATGATTGGAGACTAGGAAGTGGGGTTTTATGTTCCTCAAGTATTGCAGTCTTCTGGCTTACTGTACTTTTCCTAGTTCCTCATTAAGGACCCCATACACAATTCAGCCAGCCTGTTAGTTATGCCTGAACAGGCTGCCGGTGATCAAATGAAAATTCAATCGACCTGTAGCAAGTGCAGGCAAGTTGGAACAGATAATGGCCACCTTTCTGTACTTTTCTGTTACCCCTGTAAAGTTAAAGTTATTAACTTAAATTACTATTAAGTAATTAAATTAATTAAGCACATTATTCTGTTAAAGACATAGGTCAGATTGGCAGAGAAGCTATCACATATCAAGAGCATTTTGTGGAGCAGTGTGGCCCTCGGAAGAAGGGTCATCCTCACCTGGTTAAGAATGGGCCATGCGAGGTTGATACACAGACACTTACTTTTGGGCCAAAGCCCATGTATGTGCATGGATGCAGGTTGCTCGATGTGCCCCACCTAAATGAATGGTGCAACTCCTTGATTCTATATAGAGAGCGTGTAGGTATGCCAGTTGATATGAGAATCGTGCTTGAGCATGGCAGCAAGTAACTGGGTCCCCTGTTCTGGTTCATGGAGATAACAGGGTATTGCAGGTAGTAACGATAGTGTTGTGTCCATAGCATATGTTGAGATTGACTGAAATAAGGCTCATTGACCCCACGGTCATGGGTTTGATACTCTTGCTAATATTGTAAAATAAGACCATTAATAAAAAAGTTATGACTGACATTTGAGTCTAATGTAAGTTTCTTTGTTTTTACCTTGTTTAGTTTTGCTTTACAATGTGCTTGTGTTTTTGGTGGCTACAACTTCATTTGGAAGTTGCACAGCTGGCATGTTTCCTGAGATCCCTTCATATCCAAGCTTCCATATTAGGATTTTTTTCCCCCTTCGGATTAGAGAAGCGTTTAGTACTTCCAGACCAGCTATACATAATATTACATGCAGGCCTTGGCTATCTTTATACCGTCCTGCTAGCTTTACCATACAGTGATGAGCACCGAGTCAACACCTAAATCATTGTGGATCCCACCTCTTTATACCTTTAAGAAACCTTTGTATTCAAGCTTCAGTCTATTAGATTTAAAAACCACCCATCCATTGCAGACCAAATGTTTATACAATCATACATTAATTAATTTATTATTAATATTTATTTTTAAGTTTTATTTATTAATATTACTGATTAAATTTGTTGATTTAATTCTTAGTTATTTTTTCAAACTTAAAAATTAGTTGTACAGAAAATGAATTGACCAAAAACAATATATTTTGTGTGATTATTATCTCTAAGGATCACTTAATCCTGACAAATAAGACAGAATGTAAGCAACAATATAAACGACATGTTCTGAGCTGCAACAAGGTACAATTCAATTTTGAAACTAGATCAATAATTGTATGTTTTAGTTTGTTAGCCTTGAAAAGGGGCATTGGTCCTGAAATATTTTTAAAAATAATTTCTACATTAATCTAATTGAAACAAATTTTCGCATTTTCTATGAGGATTTCATATCAATCTTGTTTAAGAGATTTATTGCTAATCTTGTTTAGATGGATGCATCTGAAATGTCCGGGAGTATGACATTTGAGGCAGGATGCGACCCGGAGAAGAAATCGCTCGCACTCACAAATGGAACCGTTTCAGATTCAGTCGAATGTGTCATTTTCCAGCAGTTTGACATATTTGCCCAGGGGTTCTCGGCCATGGAGGACATACGCAGACAAGGCAAACTGTGCGATGTCACCCTTAAGGTAAACTTTTTTCTGCCCCGATGTTTCCTGTTTTTATTACAATAATAAATTGTAATTAATAAGGCATTTTCATGTACCCACTTTACTGTTTTCTTCTGTTAGAAAATTTTACATTTAAAATTGTTACAGGTTGATGATCTATCGTTCAGTGGCCACAGGCTTGTTTTGGCAGCATCCATTCCTTATTTCCATGCTATGTTTTTGAATGATATGGCTGAAAGCAAACAGAAAGACATCACAATTCATGGCATTGATGCTGTGTATGTTTACTCAATGCAATAACACTTAGAACTTATTTTTTTAACTTTTTATTTTTTTTTTAATTCAACTAGGGCCCTGGAAGCATTAGTAAACTTTGCATATAGTGGAAAAGTCACAATAAACACAAATAATGTTCAAAACCTCATGGTTGGTGCATCCTTCCTTCAATTAATGAAAGTCAGAAATGCTTGCGCAGATTTTCTGAAAAGGAGGTAAAACACCTTAAGGTTGTTTTTCATTTGAAATTTTTAAGAAGATTTTTATGTTTGTTTGATTTTTTGTTTTTCTTTGCAGATTCCACCCTCATAACGTCCTGGGCATCAGACAATTTGCTGACACCCTTGGCTGCACTATCCTAGTTGAATCTGCTGACAAATATATACAGCAGTATTTCCATGATGTATCACTCTCGGATGAATACATGGCTTTAGATATTAACGAATTACTTGATATAGTGAAAAGAGACGAACTTTATGTCATTTCTGAAGAGCAGGTAATTATAAATTGTATATGAAATGAAAAAAAAAAAAATATATATATATATATATTAAACATCTTTTTCAAATTGCACCAGGTGTTTGAAGCGATAATGCGCTGGGTGAAAAAAGACTGCGAACTCCGAAAGTTAGAACTGCCCAGGCTTTTGGCCTCGGTCAGACTGCCGTTGTTGGCCCCACATTATTTGGTCGACAGCGTTGCTACTGAAGAGCTAATCCGTACATCACACGAATGCCGGGACCTCGTAGATGAGGCGAGGGACTACCATTTGATGCCTGAAAGGCGACCTCTTCTCCAGAGTTTCAAAACAAGACCGAGACGTTGCAATTTCATTATGGGGCACATATTCGCCGTCGGAGGCCTTACCAAATCAGGTACTTGAAAGTCAGAAATGTTTGCGCTGATTTTCTGAAAAGGAGTCATTTTAAGTCCATCGAAAGTTTTAATTGAATTTAATTTTTTTTTTTTTTTTTAAGGTGATTCGGTATCAACAGTGGAAGTGTTTGACCCTGTAGTCGGCAGGTGGAGGATGGCAGAAGCTATGAGCATGCTCAGATCTCGTGTGGGAGTCGCTGTCTTGAAAAACAGGCTGTACGCCTTCGGTGGCTATAATGGCACAGAGCGGCTTTCAACTGTTGAAGTTTTCGATCCAGTTAAGAGAATCTGGAGTAAAGTCTCACCCATGCACTGCAAAAGAAGGTTTGTTTGTGTTTTAACAAAATCAAATATTTTTTAAACATTTATTTTATTATTTTTTATAATGTTTTTAGTGCTGTAGGTGCTGCAGCTTTAAATGACTGTCTTTATGTGTGCGGTGGTTATGATGGCGTTTCCTCCTTAAACACAGTTGAATGCTACCAACCTGACACAGACACTTGGATGATTATAACATCAATGCAGAAACACAGAAGCGCCGGTGGTGTCATTGCTTTCGAAGGCTTTGTCTATGCGCTGGGAGGCCATGATGGCTTGTCTATTTTTGATTCAGTAAGATAGTATAATTTAATTTTGCCTTTTATCCCCTTCTTCTTTCCCCATGCAGGTGTTGACTTGGCGGTTGTAACTTAAACCATTTAATATTTCTTTTAAGGTGTGTCCCTCTTTGTGATGGAACCACATTATATACACTGCTCCATAAAAAAAAAAGTGGCACACTTTGAATTTTTTAAATATTTTTTTATGTACTTGCTTTTGCTGTACTATTAACACCGATATTTTTTATAATTCGGGTATTTAATAAAAGATTTGGTTAAAAAAAAAATAAAAGTTTTTCTCACAAACAAAAAAATTAATTAAAAAAAGAAAAAATCACTTTTGTGTACGAACATTATAAAACAAACTTAACCATCTTTAGTAGGGTGAATTACACTATTAAATTTGCTCTTATTACACACTTTAAACTTCTCAGCGTGCTCATAATTGAGCTTTTAACCACTTCTTGAGGAATTTCATCCCAAACCTCAACTAATGTAACTCTCAGTTCATCCCAAAAGTAATCAATGAGTTCAAATCAGGAATATGCCTTCAGATGTAATTGTTGCCAGCATGCATAACACTGGTGGCAACAGTTGGTCTTGTATTAATTTGCATAAACAAAAATTGTTCACCAATAAACGGAGCAAATGGCACCATATATTCCTCAAGAATTTCTGTCACATAAACGTTTTTACCTTAAAGAAATTACACTCTACACCGTAACTAAACAATCTCCAAACGACCCTCTTCCGGCAATGTTGCATTGGCTGTAGAGCTCTACAGCAGCTCGATAAACTCGAAGACGTCCATCTGGTGAATAGAGAGAAAACTGGAACTTGCCTGAAAACATAACATTCCTCCATTACTGTTTCTGCCCAATGTTGATGTCCCTTGCAAACTCCAAGCAGTTCCGACGTTGGTCTCTGGTAAGCACTGGATCCGTTGCTGGCCTTGTGGGATGTAGACTCACTTCTACAAGTCTCCTTCTTACTGTTTTAGCGCTAACGGACACATTCTGCACAGTTTGAATTCTTTAAGACTTTTCAGAAGCAATGGAAAAGTGACATCTCAGAGTGAAATCTGATAAATCGATCATCAGCTGGTCCTTTGACTCTTGGCCCGATCCTGGCCTCCGAGTACACCTTGCAATCTCCTGGTACTACTGAAACAACTGTTGTTTTAGGCAAATCTAAAACTCTTGCAGCATAATGCTGATTTCTTCCATCCTCAATGAGTGCAATGATATGGGCAATTTGCTCGCTGAATCATTTTTTGTGCCACTGACGCATGAATAAAGGCATTTTTAAAGGGTTAAATGCCCTTGTTGATTATTTACCTTGTGAAGATTTTAAATCAAATTATTAATTATAATTAAGCAGTTTTGTCTCACTATTAGCATCAAAAAGTAAAACAAAACATATGACTGAAACATTGTCAAATTAAAAAAGAAATTAAAATTTCACAGTGCGCCATTTTTATTGTGGGACAGTTTATTATTGTTAAGGTAAAGTCAAAAATGCTTTTAGTTCCAAAAAAATCTGCTGGAACTAAAATAATTTTTGAATATACCTACAATAATATTTAAATCATTCAAGTCAATTCAATGCAGGGTATTGATACATTGAAAACTTGTTCAGGTCAATCGGCTCAACCTTCTTGTGGTCATGGGTTCAATTCCCACCATTGCCCCTGGCCTTTTTTTTATGGTACACTTCCCCAACAATACATTGTCAAATACACACCATTCTCTAGTTAATATGTTTGAGACGTATGGCCATTAAAAAAATAATAAAAATAAAATTTAACACGTTCATTATGGCAATGATTTTTAATACCACTCCCAAAATAAAGGATTTTTGAAGACAATGCATTACAGGGACACCTGTGTCATTCTAGAACAACACCTGTATGTAGTCTCGTAAGGCTTACTTTGTTGTACTGGACCAATGCCCACAATGAAACTGTTGGGACGAAAACATTCCAATGTATTATTTTCCTTTTAACCAGACTAGTCAGGTGATAGTCTGAAGGAGTAAGGTCAGTTCTGTAGGGTTAGAAACATTTCCATTTTTAATAGCTATTTATATTAATTTTAAGGCGGTTCCCTTTCCTAAGACCTATAATTAACAAGTTAAACTATGAGCCAACGTCACTTGAAGGATTTTGTAGACATGCATGGCAATACAGATATTTTTATGTCAATAAAATGAATATTTAGTGTTTGGACAATTTAATTTCAATTTGTTATCTTTATTGTTGTTCTTATTTTATTTATTAATGTTTTCAGTTTATGGTTTGTTTTTGGTTTTTTAATTTAAAAACTGTTTATATTTTCATTCACCTCCAGCAGATGAAATTTTTCTGTACTGGTACTTATTTGTAGCAGTAATTTAATTGTACTTTATTGGATTATAACAAATAAAAGTGTCTACATTATTATTTTCATTTTATATTCTGGAGATTGCCTTATTAAATTAAAACTTAACTAAAGTTGATCTCCAAAACTTGTAAAAGTTTATTATAAAACAAAAAAAACTTGTTTTATTTCATTTAGGTTGAACGTTATGATCCACACACTTGTGAATGGACATCTGTCACATCGATGATGACGAAAAGGTGTAGACTTGGTGTGGCGACTCTAAATGGGAAGCTGTACGTATGCGGTGGCTATGATGGTGTCACGTTCCTCCATACGGTGGAAATGTACGACCCTGTGACTGACAGATGGAAATTTGTTGCATCAATGAACGTCATGAGGAGCCGTGTCGCCCTGGTCGCCAACATGGGAAAGCTTTGGGCGATCGGGGGCTACGACGGCACGTCGAATTTACCTACAGTCGAGGTATACGACCCCAACACAGACTCTTGGTCTTTCGCCTCATCAATGTGCGCCCATGAGGGCGGTGTAGGTGTAGGTGTAATACCAATTTGTAAACTCGAATAAGGTCAGTAATTGAAACATTTAATCTGGTAGTAGATAATAAATATTAATAATGGTTCGTTGCAGGCTCAGCTACATCTGGCCGGAGCTAATTCTGCTCAAAACCAGGTAGACTCCGAAATTCAGTTTCAATAACTCTCAAGGCATCTACATTATTAATTTTAAACAAATCAACTGATTTAAAAATAAATCCAATTGATTATTTTTATTTAATAAAACTTTTTTTAGAATAAATTTTCAGATTTAAGCTTTGGCCCATAATTGATTCAAAAACTTTGTCAAGATGCTCCTGTCACTTAATAAAATCAATTCAACCTTTTCAAAGCAAAACTATAGAGACAAAAAAAAAATTTCTTAGAAAATCAATTTAATCAACGTACAAAAGTTAACAGTGTAAACCTTCAAATAATCTTTCATGTAAACTTGTCTTTAGATGTAATTTTAATTGCATAATAATTGTGTATGGGATAGAACAGATTACTTATAATACATAATATGATAACTTGTGAATGATAAACATTTAAGTGGTAACTTGTGATAAAAAAATATTATTAATAATTAAAATGTGGTCTCGCTAACCTAATATTATAACTATTTTCCAAAGTATCTTAAACATCACTTTATTTTTGTTAATAATATTTGTGTAATTTAAATGTTTGTTATTGTGAATAACTAGAGATTGAAGATTGAAATTCTCATCTTTCCAAATCTTGTACTTATTTGATGCTATGTTGGGATCCTGCAGTGGGTAAAAATTGGATTTTGTTTCCTCCTATGCTGCTGTCCATCTCGCTTTAACTTCTCGATTTCCATGTGCATTTAGATTTTCATATAAGAGCATTTATTAATTTAAAATAAAATTATATATGGATAAACAAAAAAAACTAATTATAAACTGAAATGGTTTGAAACTTTTTGTATATTTTTGAAATATGTAACTAATTTGTGATCAGTTTTAAAATTAATTGTTGAAAGTTTTAAAATTTAAATGAATGAAAAAAGAATTTATTATAAATATCCAGTTGTATGTTGTTTTTGTTTTTTTTAAATAAAATATTACACCACCTCCTCCTAACCCTACCCTAAATATCCCACTAGCTAAATAATTTTTTTAAATATAATATTTATTTGTATCCTGTACATGAATTTTACATGTACGAACACTACAGTCAGCACTGTTCTTGGAAGACATGTGTTATGAGAAGCCAAGATTAAATGCAAAGAGATCTCAGGGCCACTGTCTTTTTATGCGACACGGAGGGTTCTTGGAATGTGAAGTAGACGAGAGGGCTTGAACCTTAGGGCTAGGATGGATTGAAAGATGAAGTGAAACTTGAGGAAGCAGGAACAGATCAATTCTTAAACGAAGGAAATTTTTAATGAAGAGAGTGATAGTAAGAAGTTTAGAGAATTCTTCTAAGAACTTCTGATTGGAATGATCTGGTTGAATATTAGACTGCTTGGTGGTACCCCTCAGCTACACACCATATGTCCAGATAGGTTGAAGTAATGTTTTGTACAGTTTTAGTTTTTTCTGTATAGTCATGACTGATTTTGGACTTATAATTCATTGTAGTTGTACAAACAGTCTATTTAGTTTTTGTCAATTTAGTCTTGTGTGAGGATTCCTCATCAGTTTACTGTCTAATTATTTTAACTGTGTAGGTAGTTCCATGCCTAAAGTAACAGCAAAGATGACTAAAAGGAACAACATTCTGAGGAGGCCCAGTCAAGGCAACTTGCCTTGGTGTCTCCCTTTTCATTCTCATACGCCTGGAGTCAATTGGAATAATACTTTTACGTCTTAGTTTAATAAATATTGAAGGGCACATTATTAAAAACTAAAACCAGTTCTACATACTAGAGTAAGCAGCATGATAATTGCAAAATGTGGTCATCTATTTTATTTATTGTTACACGAATGAGTGATGTTAAGCACTCAATGTATTATGAAACAAACAGTACAATTACAAGTGTACCTAATTTACAAGTAAAACCCTTGTAGATAAATAACAATTTACAATTAATATGATGTTAATGACAAGTATGGTAACCAAATTTCACAATAAAATTCTGATTAAAAAATATTAAATGGATAAAGAAAAAAAAAAGAGTTAGGGAATTTTTAATAGAAGACAAATGATCTTGAGCCAATGACATTTGAAGGCAGATTATTACAATTTTCTACGACACAGTTTGAGAAGAATGTTGATCCAATTAATTTCTGCAAGCACTGTTTTTGAAGTTGCATGCAAGGCCACAAATTTTAGAGGATGTATGTAGTGAGAAAAGTTGAAGCGAAGAGTATATTTATTTGTAAGAATGTTATAGGTTTCGATGAGATCTTGCAATCTGTATAATCTTGAAGAGTTGTGAAAGAGGAATTTAAGTCAGTTGACATAGCAGAACAGCTTCAATTTTTTGACTAGTTTGTCTTTTTGAAAGTAGGGTTCCAAATACTACTTGCAAACTCTAGTATGGGTTGTACATAGCTAAAACCAATTTTTTTAAGTATTTCAGGCGTTAACAGAAATGTACATTTAACTTGATGCATGAACTGCTTTAAAACTTTTGATAGTGTTATCCCAAAGTCTTTTTGAAAGGATGTAGAGGCCAAAGAACTACCATCATGTTTGTAAGTTAAACAACAGTCTTTACCACCCACGCTCTGCTTCCATCTATGAGGTACCCCAGCTAAATACCAGGGAAAGACCTCAATTGGGAAAGAAAGTTCCAGTGGTTCCCTCCCCCCAAAATAAGAGGGATTTTAAGGGGATAAATCTCAACACTTATACCTTTGAAAAATTTTCTTTAATTTAAAACAATAAATTTACCTAGAGATATAAAAATGATTATTTAGAAAATACGTATACAAAAATAATTATATTAAATTAAATTAAATAATACAAACTTCTTTCATAAAAAATAACACAATACCATGAAATATACCATGATTAAAGTTTAAATATAAAATCTTTCTTAAAATAAACATTTTCAATTATTTACTAGATCGATGTATACAACTCGTTTCCAGTAATGTATGCATCATTACATAAAGTTTTCCCTGTACAGAAAACCAAACTCATTCAAATACTCAGCAATACTTAAGTTAATTAATTCCGCCTGATTAACACCCAAAAGTAGCAACCAGTCAGAAATCTTAGCAATTCAAGCATTCAAGTGATTTGGATCAAATGCAAAAATACTGATTTCATTGTGAATTTTGTCCTTTATATCACTGATATAAAAGATTAATAGAATTTGACCTAGGAATGATCCTTACGGAACTCCACTAAGCACTGCATAGGAATTAGAATATGCTTGATCAACCTTGACTTCAAAACTCCTGTCAGAAAGTTAAAATTTTATGTGTGGTGATTAGTGACCGTTAATCGATGATTATTCAGAGATAGTGAGATGCGGTCTGGTGTGATGTAGGTTTCAGAAAAACATTTTCTTTATCATGCCAATGTTTCAATCTTTATTGAGATCATCTTCAGGGCTCAAAGTGTTTGCTTTCTGTGTAATTGTGCTATTCTTGCGTGTCGTGTTGAGAGTGCCCACTGTTCATGCTAATAACTATTCCATACAGACAAACAATATGTACATACATCAACAAGTATGCACCTATGTTCGACATTGAAACAAATGAGAAAAAATTATTAGGGGGCCTAAAAAAAGATAAAATTGATAAATTAGTTTCTACAGTTGAAAGAAGATGGTGATGAATTAGCAACGTTTCAGCTTTCTTAATACTCTAGAGTGTGTGTTTGAGTTGGAACTGGAAAAAGGGAGTTGAAAAAGAAAAACTCAAACACTGGACAAATACTCCAGGTAGAGGCAAGCTAAGAGATTTATAAGCATCTCAAAAGGAAGGGGAAAGAACCCCTTTTTCCCAGCAGGCAGGATTTGAGAAAAACTATAGGCCCCTACCCTTTGGCCTTTTAACTATCATCTTTACTCAATTAATTATGCACAATTTTTTTTTTTTAATGAAAAATTTGTGTCAGGTGGGATTCGAACCCACGACATTCAGCTAAATAAGCTGCTGCTCTACCACTTGATCTACTGTGACTTCGATCGCCCATGCCACAAACTTCCCATTTCGACTCCCTATTTATTCCAATTGTAAGTCATGGGTTCGAATCCGACCTGTGACACAAATTTTTCATTTCTAAAACATTGTGTATAATTAATTAAGTAATTATATAATTAAGAATATCTGATTAAAAAATAATTAAAAAGTTAATAATTATTAATTGATCAAGTGGACCACAAAAACTAGTGAAGTTAGTATTAATCTAGATTCACACCTGTGAATCGAACACAGTCCCTCTAATGTAGTACAATAGTTAATAAAATGTGTTTCTATATGAAAGCGTGATTTGCTTACAATTGGAATATACAAGGAGTCGAAATGGGAAGAAATGCGATTGAAATCATGGTAACTCAAGTGGTAGAGCAGCGGCATATTTAGATAAAAGTTAGAACTAACATCTAAGAAGATGGGCATGGCTGAGACAAAAACGTGCCGGCTCTATCAGGAGGAACTAGAGACATTGGCCCACATCCTTTACAAATGTAAAGCATTAGCCTGTTTACGGTACAGCCACTTCAGTAGGGCATTTGTCATACCCAAGGAGATCCAAGGAGGCGCCAAGGAAAGTGCTCAATTTTATAAAGAATAGTGCACTTTCCAAGGAATAGCTAGCTGTATGCTCTAAGGGTTCCACTATACACTTGTTTAGGTCGCAGTGGAGGAGAGAATTGTATTCTACATTAAACCCAAATAAACCATTTAAATAAAAAATTCAGACATTTGTTAATTGCTGTTAGCTCTGTAGTGTAGATGTAGTTGCTACAGTGCTTGGGAAGTGAGAACATGTAGGTACAATTGGTCTCTACAAATGCTGCACTGGTACCATTTTCTTTTCTTGACCCATCTGTAAAAACGAGCATTGGCCTCGATAGGGATGTTTTAACTCGAAGAAACTCTTTTTTTATATATACATAAATTTTAAAAAAAATTAACAAACAGGCAGTTGTACTGGACATAATAAAATATTTGTAAGTAAAGACAAAAAGAATCTGACAGTATGAAAAATACGACTGTATTAATTACTGAAATTCCAATGAATTTTCTAATCGTAACGAAGACCGTGATCAAATTATTTAATGAATAATAAGAATAATGGGGATTGTATTATTAATAAAATCATCTGACCTTTCTCGCGCAAACTTTCAAATCGAAATTGTTTTTCATCTGAGATAATCGAGAAGTCGAGAGTGTCAGTGAAGGATCGATCTTTTACAATACATTAAAGGAAAACGGAAAAAATATGTTTTTTCTTTTAACTTTACGAGTTTAGTTTTAATAAATAATTTAAATTATTTTTATTTTTTGTTGTTTAACAAAAACTAAAAGGTTCTGTTTACTTTGAAAGTTGTATATCGCTTTGAAATCGAATAAATCGAAACATGGGTTGAATCGTGTTTTAAAGTCTGAGTCAGTGTTCGTACAACTGCAAGAACGAGTTGGAACTTGTACGTTCATGGTGTATGTTCGTTTATCAACAAGGAGAGTTTGTTGTTTTTACCATGAAAATAAGGAGTTGCGATTTATTCAAAACTAAGTGCATGCCATTTGATAAGATGCTTTAACCGAAACGAGTTGTCCTAGTCGGAAACAAACACCCAGTCCGGGTATAACTGGCAAATACCTGCTTGGACTCGGTACAGGACATATTTACGAATTATGCTGCGGTTGTACGATGTCGTTTTATGTTTTTTCCTATTCGTTGTTGCGCCGTCGTTTCAGAACGAGAACCACGAATTGGAAAAGCTTCCAATATGCTCTAACCAGTTGTCCAAGGAGTTGAAAAAGTATGGCTTTATTTCAATTTCTTCTTTATTTTATCTGTGGATCAGTGTTCACTATATTCCCGCTGTTATTAGGCTGGTCTTCGTGAGCACCCTCGATGGAAGGGTCTCAGCGCTCAACCTCGAAGACGGTGGATCAAAGGAGTGGAGCGTACCAACTGGGCCAGGCCCTATGTTATCCTCCAGCATACACAGGCTTGAGGTGAGCAATTGACATTCAGCGCAAAACTCCGGGAGCAGGCCCTTCACCAAATTCCAAAATATAGGACGCATACAAAATTGACATTTTATGAAAACAAAACATTGACCTTACATGTCCTTTGTTGATAACAAATCTTTTTTGCATTAGTTCATTATCACCATTTTTTTACAAACTTTTAAATGATTGATAATTTTAGATCAAATTATTGTTCGATAATGAATAAATATATGCAAAATGCTGTAAGATACACCATTTGTACTAGTTGGCATGATTATCTCAAAAAGTTTTTTGATATTTATGCCTCTCGTTTTTACTATTTCTATGATCCAAAATGAATTTGCATTGATTGATGACATGGCAATATGTCTAATAACTGATAACAAGAATATGAATCTTCATAGATCAGATAAACTTTTTTTTTTTTTTTGTCTCGCGTAAATACTTCTTATAAATTTGGTCTTCTGATTTCCACCATCACATTACTGGCACTAGATCACTACCTGGAGGTCATGTATTGAGGACCACCTGGCCCTCTTGCACTTGAGGGATTATGGGGCAAGTAGGTCTCTGGGCCAGTGTCGTTTAAGGTGATAAGGAAGATTATGGGGATGGGAAATACTAAGGGCTTGAACGGAAGGGAATCAAATCTTGGACGAAAGGAATGTTGAAGCCATTGTAGATTGTAAGATTAGATAATAGTAGGAAGATTTAGATAATTTGTCTAAAGACTTGACTGGAAAATTTGGATGGGTTGGGTATTTGAAGGCACCACGTTACCCAACAATTCTGCTCTGTATGTCTAAATAGGTTGAATTATTTTAATTAATTAGTTTTGTAAATCTTATTCGGTTAGTCATGTTTAATTTTGGTCCTAGCAGTCTTATTAATTTAATTGTCCTGATTTTTCCGTTCAGTTCTTATTGCTTCATTCTAGTGTGTTGATTCCGTCTAGGTACAGTCTTCAGTAATTGACTTGTGAGGATGTCAGTAATTCCTTGTTGGCATATAGTCTGGAGCAATACTTTCTGCACCATTCTTTGATGAGCATGAGGTGTTTCTGAATATTAGTGGCGGTTAGAATGGGATTCGGGTTCGTACGTAACATTGTGTTAACATCCACATAGGTTGAAAGGATTGGTAGGTCAGTTATTAATAATTAAAAGTTTATTTATATTCTAAAATGCTTTGTCAAAAGTTTAATTATTTTTGATATGTTTACTTGCGTAAAACACAATTTAAAAAACTATCACTTGATAGCTATAATGAAAACTAGCTTTAATTGTACTAAAGAATCTTTGTGTTTTATTGGTAATTTTTTTATCATTATGATCTTTCTTTCCTTGACATTCTTAAGTGATTACATATGACAAAATGCCTAAATGCAACTAGACCAAAACAGGAAGGATAAGCAGGCTGTAATAATCAGAACTGACCAAACTGCATATTTATTACCCCCCCCCCCTGTCCTCAATAAGTCTTCAATTTATTAATAAATAAACCTCACAATCGTTATATTACAGTTTACACTGTCTTGATTTTTTTTTTTTAACGAGGGTTCGAACAGTAGAGGTCGTATAAACCCTCAGGGTGCCGATGTTTTTGAAAAAAAGCCCATTTGTCGAATTCGACCACTGGAATCGAACCCGGGACCTTTACCTTACAGTGATAAGCGCCGTGTCAACACCTAAACCATTGCGGCCACCGATGCCCTCTTGAAGGATTGTTAATAACCATTTTGATTGTTATAATGTTATTTTATTAGGGTTAATCTATTCTTGTTGAATCTGAATTTTTTTAATATTGGTTGATTTAACTTTGTTTAAAAGCTTTAGATATTTGATTCCTTCTGAATTGGTAGTCACGAGACTGAAATTCTGTTAAGACATCCATTGTACCGGGCATTATCATATTTCTCAAATTCTCGGTTTGAATGCAGATTTGCCTTTGGAATTATTAAAACTAAATTTTTTTTTATTTAGATATACTTAAAACAACTTGAAAAATAGGGAACAATAAATCATGATGTTTTTATTTCCCTACTGCGTTTGATGAATTATGCCATTAGTAACTGTTGCATCATTATTGACACAAGAATGACGTTAATCAGTAAATAAGAGAGAAAATTCATAAATGATTTTTTTTTATTACCAGATACAAATTCAATTGAATGTTTTGTTCAATTATAATGGTACAAATTATTAAACTAATAAGTGTTTTTAAATTCATTTTATTAGCACGGGGGGGGGGACTATTTAACAGTTGTTATTTTGTGTAAATCATGTTTTCATAACTTGCCCAAATGATAAAACTATAGGGAAGTAAAATATATACATATATAAATATATAAATAGTGGAAGTATAAATAAGTTGCACTAAAATTAATATCTGCTTCTTTATTTTGATTAATTGTCAATTTTAAAATTTGCATATGTATGTTTACATCCTTGTTATATATCCTTGTTATATATCCCTAAACAATCTTCCTTATCCTAAAGGAAAAAACATAATAAGGGAACAAATCTTTTTTATCCAGTTTTCTTAATTGCTAGTTGAGGAATCAGCCAGGGAGGAAAAGAGATCAGTGTTTATATTTGCCATTGTATTTCTAACAAAAAAGAATCCAACAGGACCGACGAAAAAAATAACTAGCTTTTATATATTTTGCCATTAAAACATTCCTTTAGATAGAATAAATAATTACTTTTTTCATAATTTTTTTATATAAGCTGATTGCCAACCATCATATATGATTTTTCAGTCTGACTTATTTCCCATCATATTTTGTAATTTATAATAACAATAATTTAATTTATCAATTTTTTTCTATGCATATTTTTTGCTGATATGTTCTCAGATGTTTGAGCCTGGTTTTATGCCTTGCTCGCTGGTTCTAGGTCAGTTGCTAGTTGTTTATGCAACACTATATTGATTTTTTTTCCATTTAACACATTTCAACACTGAGCACATCTATGAATTCTTGTTACGTTTTGTTCGTTTATTAAAAATTACAATTCTAATCTGCAAAAAATATTGGATGCTTCAACATTTAGACTTTATTTTATTTCATGTTTTACAAAGATGCATATGTTTGCATGTTTATTTTTGTCTATAATTTACATGCCTGTAAAACACAGTTTTTAATTCCATATATTCTTTAATATGAATTTTATAATTTTCGTGAATATTCTTTTCCTTGTTCTAAATCCTTTCATAGCAGCATTCTTTGTGATAAATATTTCAACAGGAGTTGTTAAGCTGACAGGATTATTTCAGCAAGCCTGTGTTTTTTATTTAAATAGTACATTGACATAATATCTTTGATATCATTTGATACGAGTATGTAGATTGAGATCTTTATCTAATACTGGCATATCAACAGTTGGATCAGTAGTGGCCATATCAACATCACATTAGTGGATAATAAAAAAATTCTAAGCTACTTGTTTGAAATTTAAATGTAGACTCTGATAGAACAATGATTGTTTGTCGACTATAAAAAATCTGTACTAAAAAAATGTATAAAAAGATTTGTTGACAACAGTTGATAATTAATAATGGAATTTGAAGTAAACAACTTAGCTCAACAAGGGTAATGACACATGCAGCGGTTTTGGCCGAAGTGTTTATCAAGACAAAAACTGAATCAGTGAGTCGTCCATAGTTGTAGTATTGTGCTTACACATATAGCGGTGCATACCAGCTGTCAGTTTTGAAACAGAGTCAGATAGTGATTGACATGACTCTAAAAGTCAATTTGGAAACCGCCTGGCATTCAGTATTTGCATTGATTTCATTCAGCCCCGACATATGTGGGGTTTCTTTGATTGATTCATTCTACCATTGGAAAGATTGATCAGCGAGATTGAAAAGCCCTCCTCCCTTGTGAGACTTGAGAACTCATGAGTAGATTGATTGAATGAAAATCTTAACAATATGTGTATTTCAATTAATTATTCTTTTTATGGTCTTGGTTGAGATGAAAAAGTTAGCGTCACAAGCGGGATTCAAACCCACGACCTTCAGCTCAATACGCCTCTGCTCTAACCACTTGAGCTATTGTGACTTTGATCTTTCCTAAACAACCGAAAAGAAAAAGATCTTACATAAAAAGAATAATTAATTGAAATAAGTAATTTGGTCAATTAGACCAATGAACATAAATGGATTAATATTCAATAAGTAAAAAAGTATCACTTTTTTTTAGACACCAGCTTCCCATGGCCAATTCATAAGTCGCTGAGAATCAAATCCTTTGAAAAATTGAGACATTTGGAAAATGGCAAAAAGAGGGAAAATTCGAAAGGTTGTAGGTTGAGATGGGGGAGTTGGTGTCACAAGCAGGATTCAAACCCACGATCTTTGGCTCAGTACACTTATGCTCTAACCACTTGAGCTGTCATGACTTTGATCGACTCGGACACCAACTCCCCATCTCAACCTACAACCTTCTGCATTTTTACCTCTTTGCCATTTTTCAAATGTTGTTTAATCAGGATTCATTTCTCAGCAACTAATGAAAATGGCCGCGGTGAGCTGTTAGTGAAGTGATTACTTATTTTACTTATTATATTAATTAAGTAGGTTTAGATGGGGAGTTGGTGTCCAAGTAGGTCGAAGTCACGATAGCGCAAGAACAGTGCCATATTGAGCCGAAGGTCGTGGGTTTGAATCCCACTTGTGACACTAACTTTTTCATCTCAACCAAGACCTTACATAAAAAGAATAATTATTTGAAATAAATAATTTGGTCAATTTTAAACTTAAATGGAATAATATGTGTATTTATTTACCTAATAAGACATTTTGAGAAATACTAGGGAAGAGAACTTAATAATAGCCTTAATAATAAGCCTTAACTTAATAATAATTTTTAAGCCCATTTGTCAGTATGCTGGATTTGAACCCGGGACCTTTACCTTACAGTGATGAGCGCCGTGTCAACGACTAAACCTTGTGGCCACCAACGCCCCGGTAACAGCTGTTTGTTGTTACCTGAATTGGTGTTTTTTATATTACAAATATTAAAGACACTGCATTTAAGACAACATTTAACTTAAAAGCCACAGTAATATGTGTAAATTGTTAAATAACAATTAATTTTTAGTTAACAAATAATGGCCAGTGGGTGAGGATGATTCCATCATTAAGCGGAGGACTTTACAAAATGGATGGCAAGAGTATTGAAGCCGTGCCAATAACAGCTGACAATCTTCTCAAATCTTCTTTCCGATACTCTGATGATTTAATCATATCAGGTAGGCCATTTTGATGATTGATTTTTCTTGTTTAATAATTTTTTGATTTATTATTATTTCATTTATTTATTTTTTATTAGGTGGCATTGAAAGTAGAACTTATGGTATAGATGCCAAAACGGGTAATGTCATGTATGAATGTTCGATGGCAAAATGTGATCATCCAAACGGCACCAACAAGCCTGCTGATGTGGTACTCGTCCAGAGGCAGACTCAGACTGTGAGAGCAATCGAACCAAAATCAGGTGTCGAAAGGTGGAACTTTAGCGTAGGTCAGCACGAGCTCAAGCTGTCGTCTTCGTCTAATTGCCACAACAGTGACAAATCCGAATCGAAGACGGACGACTTTTTCTTTAAGGTCATCGTCCCTGAAGGGCTGATTTGTGCTATGAGCAAATCCAAGCCTGGCATTGTCATGTGGAAGCACAAAGTGAGTAATTTATTTTAAGTAATTTGACATTTAAAATTTATTATGTTATGCATTTTTTTGGGTTTAGTTTGAGTTTCCAGTTGTAAATGCTTGGCATATAAGTAAAGGGCTTGTACAAAAAGTCGATTTGTTTGGGGGAACTCAAAAGCCTGAGAGCAAGTTCTACATTCCAGAATCACCTGTCCTTTATGTCGGAATGCACAACAAGCAGGTAAAGTACAAATTACTATCAAATATTTAAGAAAATTGGCAATATTTAAAAATTAGCTTACACACTGAAACGACTCCATCTGTCAGAAATATTGAGTGTATTTGTGAGAAGCACAGATCTAAAATATATAGTTAAGATTTTTATTGTGAATGGGTCCTCTAAGCCAGGGATGCATGGACTGTAAAGAACATTTTTTGTTTATTTTTTTAAGAATAAATATATATAAAAAATATAAATAATTTATATTGAGTTTTATAAGTTAAAAAAATACAAAATTATATAAACTTCACTGTAATAAAAATTCTATTTTTCTTAAAAGCGAAGCCTTAGGTAGTGAAAAACTCAAAAAATCCCAACTTGCTGGGATCGAGTCCCAGGACAAAACCAAACAGATGTATACAAATGTTTCAGTCGGTTCCAATCAGAGAAGGCTCATGATATTCCCCAAGTTGGGCATATACTGAAATTCATAAATCAGATGTAGTCATTTCCAGTATGAAAGCAGCCTAAAGCATTTCTTTCATGCAAGCTACGTCTTTTTAGCTGTACATCCAAGAAAGTGTTCTTCTGCAGAATAAAATACTTGAAAATATCAACAAACTAAACCAACTCATGATTGGGGATGAAAATCTTCCTAGCATACCTTGGAAACCGATTTATGGTATTGTGACATTTAAAATAGTTTCTGATTAGCTGAGTACAGTATCGATAGCCAAATTTTCTTGTTTTAGCTGGTGTACTTGGAATAGAAGGCTCGACAGATCCAATTTTACAAATAACAGATGAAACTAGCCATGCATCAACCACAGGTCTGTCAGTGCTTTACGCTTCTGAATATGTAAACGGTATTTATAACAAAAACTTTTTTTTCTTTTTCTTTTTTTTAAAATAATTATGGCATATAATCATTATAATTTTCAGGTCATGGTTTTTTCCTTTATGGGCCGGCATACAAAAAAGAAGATGCAAACAATATGTTGTGCAATTCAGAAGAAAAAGTAAATATTACACTGGAGCTGGACAAGAATCCAGATGCAGAAGATGCTGAAACGTTCATCGAGGAAGATGTTTATAAAGAAACAGAGACCGAGACCCCTGTACAAGTCATTATAGTATCATTTTGGTACTGGTGGTAAGTACTCGAATTTGTCACTTATGTGACCTCCATTGGATGACATTGTATAAATTTGTCATTTAACAGGAAAGAAGTCATGCTGACAAGTGTTTTAACAGCAATATTAGTTAACATTATCATACAGAGGAGGTTCATCAGTTTCTTATTCCACGTCAGGCAGAATGTTATAAGACAAGAGAGCTCAGGAGAGACGCAAAACACGGATGTGCAGAGTATTGGGACTACTGTAGTGCCGAACCAAATTCATGAATATGTTTCAAGATATTTGACAGATTTTGAACCTGTCCACTGCCTTGGGAAAGGTGGTTTTGGCATAGTTTTCGAGGCCAAGAACAAGATTGACGATTGCCATTATGCCATTAAACGAATTCCTCTTTCTAACAAGTAAGTTAGTTCTTTTTTTGTTTTATTATTTATTGAGCAAGTCGGTGATATCTTCATTAGCTTTGTTCACTAAAGGTGAAGGTAAAAGGTTGCTGGTCAGAATAAAGCATCAAACAATATTTCTCTAAACAAAAAAAAGATTATTTGAAACATTCATGATAAGTTACTAGTAAAATTAACATCGCAAAGATGCTAGTGGATGTATTGCACAAACTAGTACAGGACAAAGAAAAAATAATTAATCTTACAGTTATTCAATTTATCTTATAAGATAAACTTTTTTTCTATATAATATCAAACATTGCATTACTTTATGTTCATCCAGAGAGGAGTCGCATGACAGAATGAAAAGAGAAGTGAAAGCACTGGCCAAACTTGACCACCAGAACATCGTACGATACTTTAACTCGTGGGTCGAGGACCCGCCGCCCAACTGGCAGGAAACACAGGACAGGGAATGGGCTCATAAGTACAACAATAGCATGAATGAAATCGCTGTTGATCTGAGTAGCCAGCTGACGCCAACGAGTGAGCATGGCCCCTCACTCCGTAAGAGAAACATAATAAAGTCTCTCTGGGAAAAAGCATCCAGCTTTTACACTAGCAATGTGAAAATAGAAAATTCTTTTATTAAAGTGAACAAACAAAGAAAGGTGGAATATACAACCTCTGGATCTTCCATTGTGTTTGAAAGGTGAGAACTAATTTTAAATGACTTATCTTTATTTATTTGCAACTTTACTCGAATTTAAAGAGAACATTCATTTTTAAATATAAACATTTTTTTAACAATTAGTTTTTATAAAGATTGAACAACATACTCAATGGTGGTCATTACGTTTAAAGTACTCGTGAGTTACTCATCACTGTAAGGCTCACGATATACTAGGCATCCAAACGCTAGACACAAATAGTAGTGTCTGAACTGAAAATCGCTGACTGTGTACATTAACTGCGTGCAGACATACTGAGTGAACGCTGGAAAAGAGTGAACTTCTAGACGTCAGGGTTCCCATGTTTGAGGTGGGAGAAGAGCGTTTTGATGCCTAGTATGTCATCAAACATGAAAAGCAATTTTTTGGACACAGTTTTAAGTGTAGCATTTAGATGCCCAGTATCTCATGAGCCTAAGATTTGAATTCAAATCTCAGTAGCCCTGAATTCAAAGCAAACATACAATTCCCAAATACAATTACAGCATACATACTTTTTCTAAAAACACCGATACCCTAGGGGACCGCGGTAGCCGAGTGGTTAGCATGAGAGACTCTCACGCCGCGGTCGTGGGTTCGATTCCCACCGTCGCCTCTGGCCCTTTTTTCACAATAACCCCCCCAAATTTGATCACACATCTATGAATTGTCACTTGGCTAATATGCATAGTTCATAACGCAAAAAAAAAAAAAAAAAAACCGATACCCTAGGGGTTGATATGACCTTGCAGTTAAAATATCCGTGTAAAAAAATTGTTTACACACATTTTCTGTTAATTCTTGATCAGTTAGTTGATTACAGTTTAAATATGCCTAGATCAAAAAAGGATCAGAGTGAGTCTGTGATATTTGAAGAAGAGGAGGTAAAGGACAGCAATAACGACTGTAGCGAAGATGTGAGCAACAGCCGATTTAATGATGAAAGTCGTTATGACAACAGTTACCACAAACCAAATCTGAAGAGGCCTAAAACATTAGATCTCCACATCTCCGGTTCGACCAACTCCCCAATGCAGAGCAAGGGGAAGAAGTACCTTTACATACAGATGCAGCTTTGCCGTAGGGACTCGCTGAAGGACTGGCTCAGTGCGAACCAACAGCGGGACACAAATGAAGTGCTGAGGATATTCAATCAAATTGTCCAAGCTGTAGAGTACGTCCATTTTCAAGGGCTAATCCACCGAGACCTAAAGGTAGTCAATATCATAAATTCCCTTTTAACATTGTTCATAAATGAATTTTTGTTGTTATTATTACAGCCTTCAAACATTTTCTTTTCCCTGGATGGCCAAATTAAAGTCGGGGATTTCGGCCTGGTCACAGCGATGGCAGACGAAGGAGAGGAATTTTTGAGCCCTGTCTTGGGTAGGAAAGTGTCAAATGAGAAACATACTGCACGAGTAGGCACACAACTCTACATGTCACCAGAACAAGTTAGTTTGAAAGTTTGCAATTAACCTTATGCCACTTTGAGAAGTGAAACTGTAAATATTTACATATTCAAGATATCACAGTTAAAAAATGGGTTTATTGGCTTATCCATGACAAATTTTGAATTATTTTTTAAAAAAATTGTTATAAGAAATTTACATTAAAAATTACTTTTATTTTTTAGGTATCTGGACAGCAGTACGATTACAAAGTTGACATCTACTCTCTCGGGGTAATTTTGTTTGAGCTATTGACAAATTTCACAACCGAAATGGAAAGATGGAAGACGTTGGAACAGGTGCGAAAGCTCCAATTCCCATCAAAATTCAATGATAAATTTCCTCACGAGGTGAGTACTCTCTTAAACTGTCAACTAAATTTATAAACTCACAAAGACAGCTAATTGAATAAAACATAAAATCCTGCAGTATGAACTCCTCTGTTTGATGCTGTCCGAGAATCCGAAAAAAAGGCCGACGACCATTGGAGTGCGGGCGAGAGAACCGCTCAAGTCGCTGCAATCCGAAAGCTCCATATCTGACGACTGGCACTTTCAGCTGCCGCAGAGGCATCGCGACACTTCATTCAGTCGATCTTGCTCCGGTCAGGAATAGTCAACTCTTTTTGTGTAATTATTTTAGTTAAGTTTATTTATAAGTTTATAAATGTATTAGTATCATTACATACATTTTACCCCGGTGAGAATTCAGTTTGACAGTTTTTTTAAAAATAATTAGTAATTAATTTTAAAAAAATACAAGAGAAAATAAAGACAAATCTTAAAATTTTGACTGTTTCACAAAGAAATTTCTTGTTTAAAACATGATATTTTGCATCTCTATATTAAGGAAACAAAATGTGCTCAATAACTACCTTTTACATTTAATGTGCCTTATCCCATGTAGTAATTAAGCTTAGATAAGTGTGAATTTAAATTTAGATGTGATAAATTTTCCACCTTTATAAATAATATAACTTTTTTTATTTCCTTGAATATATAATATGAATATGTGTATATATAATTTTTTTTAAATTACTTAATTATCTTCTTTTTCTCATTTTCTTGTTTTCATTTTTGTCAAAATTGTTATGCATTACCTGTTGAACTAAATCGGATTATTTTTATATAATAGATCTTGAATCTTTAATTTTTCTAAGTGTGCATAATCTATAAATATCTCTTGCAATGGTTACATTAACTTGTTTTATTTTTAAAAAGAAACTGTGAACGCTTGTGTCAATGTTCCAAACTGATATTGTCATTGTCAAACAAGATTGTGATATATGTAATAGTTATTTTCAATGTTCAAGTTGTATATTGTAAATATGTTGCACTGTTAGTTTTAAAACGTTGCATTGTTAGTTTGTTATTTATTTAATTTTTTTGTGTGGTGTCATTCGAGATATGATTAAATCGCAGTAATCGCTTGTTAATCTCATTCATTATTGAATCACACAAAAAATGTTAAAGGCAATCAATTAAAGGGAATTTTCATGTTATTAAATATTTTACCAACCCTATCGATCGCCATTTTGTAGTTTTATTTTATTTAGTTTCAAATCTTCAGTTGGTCTTTCTAGCTAAGGTACAGACATTACTGTTAATGAATGACGAAAAAAAATTGTTTAATTGGTAATATAATGACTGATTGTTTTGTTATTGTACATTATTTATGTAAGTTAATTTAAATAAGACTATCATTTAAAGACAAAAATTATATTCCTATGTATAAATGAATGACCTTATGACTCAACTATGTATATATTATTTTTTTGGTTCTCGAAATTTAAAGTATAGTGAGAAAACACTATTAAACTGTACATAATTTAAAAGTAAATAATCTATGTTTGATATATAATAAACCTTTACAAATGATTTTTTTTTTTATGTTATCAAAAAGCGTTAAGAAAAACACCTGAACCCTAAGTTGAAAAAAAGTTAGTCTTTCCCACTGTACAATGAATTTGTAAAAAAAAAAAAACTAGGAAAGTGTCCGTCTGAGGCTTAAAGAAGTATATTTGAATTATGTTGTTAACCTTTTTAGGACTAGTGACAAAACTTTTTATTCAGTTGTATGCTCCCTAGGCCCAGTGACGAGTTATCCTCATGATTTTTTTGCCTTTTAGTACCCCAAGCTGGACTCTCAGGGCATCTATTGGGCTGAAGTTGTATCCAATGTGATGCCTCACCCCTCACACCCTTCCTTTCTCATCATCACCACCAACTAACCTCTCTTTTCTACCGTCTTCTGTTCACGTTTCTTGAAAACTATTCAGCCCGAATAGATACCTCTCTGGGAATGTCTTAGTTTCACCTATCTCTCACCCTTGCCCATCTCTACCCTTTCCTACTCTATCCCCATCCTCTACCCAACTACCTTATTGCCTTTTTGATTTTTGCCCGAAAAGATTAATAGCTAAAAAAAATATCTAGTAACGACCAGTGGTAGAAGGGCATAAATCCACTAAATAGTATTTTATTTATATTATTTTACTTCTATAACAGTAATTTTTCTTCCAAATCTCCATCGTCTTTCTCCTTCATATGAAAATTATCCAGTGTACCAAGTTCACATCAAATTTATTTTAAATTTTAGTAATAAAATGGAATTCCGTTTGTACAATTGATTCATCTTGGTTTAATGACTGAACAATCTTGCCTTAATGTTGAAATGAAACCCACGTAAAATATGTGAAACTTTTTATTTCAATTAATTAAACCAATATTTTGAATATTGACTACTTTATACAAAGAAAAAATAGATAACCTAGAGGAACATTGAAACTTGTTCAATTAATATAATAGAAATAGTATTGAATAAACATTAAAACTGTTAACACTATAATAAAACGTTACAAAAAAGATGTAAAGTCAAATCAGCCTTAATTGGTTAGCTTTTTCAAATTGAACCCAACAGACTCCAACAATTTTTCATAGTCGGCAGCTGTAGTCCTTGGCAGGAAGGGGTCAGAGAACTGCACAAGACGTTTCTTTATTTCCTGACCTTGTGCAAGGTATTCCTCGCATTTTGCCCCAGCGTCTTCAAGCTCTTCCAGTTTGATCAGGACATTAGGATCATAGAGCGTCACAATTTCCAGTAGCATAAGTGAAACTTCATCTGTAGGATAAATATTTACAAATTATATATTCATGTGATTATTAAGTTTATCTGCATAAATATTTTTTTATCTGTAATATAGCTGAAGCTGTGAAAAGATTGGAACAGAAATTTACAATTGAGTAAAAATTAAACAATTTATGGCCCTTAATGTTTAACAAGCAGTGTTGGGCCAAACTACAATTCTTGAATAACCAACTAAATATGCCAGTTCGTGTTATCACACAGTCATAACAGGCTTGATTTTTATTGTTTCTCGCTTCAAAATTTTTGTAATGAAATGATTCTATAGTTTGGTTATTTCTGATCATTTGGCCTGCCTATTCTGATTGTTTCGGTCTGACAGAGTGGGTTTTAGTGACAAAACAGTGAGGATAAGTAGACCATGACTAAACCACAGGTTCACCACCACTTCTCAAGAGGAAATTTCACAATAAGATTATTAAGTTAAGGAATAATCTGGGTGATCAAGTTGGCCAAATTTATGCACATAAACATCAAGTTCTCTAATAAATAATTAAATATATAACATCCTAACATAACGGGCATAATAAAAAATGGAAGATTTCTCCATGTTGTCAGCAGGATGCTGAAACTCATGTTGGATTGTTTCTGGTCATCACCTGTCCTTTCTTGGATTATTTAATCACTTATCATATTTTCCACTATATTCTTGATATTGTGAGGTTTTTGCTGTGGGATGTACTAGAAAAAACGACAAAAGACCCTTAGAATCATCACTGAATCACCACTAAAAGTGAGAAGCTAAAACAGAACAAAACAGCGAGGATAGGCAGACCAAAATGATCAAAATCAGAACAATTGGTATTGTAAAATTCCACCTGTAAGTCTGAAAGTTGATGAACCTGAAGTTCGGCCTTTCTGATATCCCGTCCTTGCGAACTTGTTCTGAGTCACTTTTCATATTTCTCGTTACATTCTCTATTTGTTACTTTTTTGGTAATAAAGAATTGTTTAAAATAAATGGTTATTCCAATTTATAATCCATTATAACAATAAAAGTGTGATCATCATACTTTGCACCAAATTTTTCATCCATATCGAACATTGTAGTTTAGTCATTTTAAATCATATTTGTCTGGCTACCATATTGGTAATACTAAATTACTTATACTATATTACTTATGCTAACATATTCTGCAGCAGAATCTACAAGAACCAAAGACATTCCCATTTCTTGATTTAAAGCTATTAAGAAATCATCAAGGATAAGTAGACCGAAATGATACGAATCGGAACAATTGATTTTGTGAAATTTCCTAAGTAAGTCTGCAGGTTGATGAACATTAAGTTGGTCATTTCTGATCATTCTGGTCTGCCCTTATGGGTTTGGTCTGTCAAGTGTTTCAGCTTCTCACTTTTTCAGCGGTGATTCTGTGGAATAAACCAAGTAAGGACAGCCGGACCAGATGACCGGAAACGATCAAACTTCAGGTTCATCAACTTGCAGACGTAAAAAGGAAATCTTACAATCTCAGTCTAACAACGGCTATGCTGTAGTAGCACAATCACTGCTGAAAAAGTGAGAAGCTGAAACACCCCACAGACCAAACCAGCAAGAATAGGCAGAATCAAAATAATCGAAAAAGACCAAAATACAGGTTTATCACCCTAGAGACACCAAGAAGAAATCTTACAATATATTGGAAGTTGCTTGTATTGTAACGTTCTTCTTTAAATATGTTCCAGTATTAATTAAGCGGCATCTACTTACTATAGAGTTGTGTCACCTTTGCTGTCATTTCTTCGACCTTCAACAAATTTTTATTGATCTGAGCTAGAAAATCTTTGTAAATATCGTTTGAATCCATTTTCCTGTAGGCCTTTAAATGTAACGGTTAGGTGGAATTTTATTCTTTATTTTTTGTTTTGTTTGTTAGGGTAAGAAGTAAGTTTGATTTCGGGAGGGAAGGGAGACGTGTAGGCGGCATTAAATCAGGTGATTGGGCAGCTCGGTGACAGGCGGAATCAGCTGTTCCAGCTGATAAGGGCTCAAGTGTGACTGTTGTGAGACCGAGGCTGGGTTTTGGTGCTAGGTGAGTGTGACAGGAGGATTTTTTCAGTGAAGAAATGCGGAAAATGGGCCGAAAGGTTAATTCCTGCATGATTAAATGGAATAACAGGCTGAAAATCCTCATCAGAGGACCGCGGGAAAAAATTATTTTGTACGTAATTATCCCTGGCCCAGGACCAAATCCCCTCTTCTTTTCCAGCCGCGGTCCAGGCCCACGATAATAATAGACACCCCTGGATCAAATTCAAAATTCCCGGGGGTGGACCGATTTTTCCAAACGCGTCTCTTTTCTAGTACCGACCGCGCCGATTTATTTCCTTCATAATTTGGATAATTTTGGTTCTTTTTGGTTTGAGGAGGAGAGGACACGAGATGAGCGACGGACAACAACAGTTTTGCCTCCGGTGGCACAATTACCAAAGCAGCCTACTTTCCAGCTTGCCGCAGCTCCTCGACTGGGACGACTTGACCGATGTCACTCTTTACGCTGGCGGTTCAAGCATCAAAGCACACAGGATTGTCTTGTCAGCCTGCAGCCACTATTTTAAGAGCATATTTAAAGTGAGTACATTTTACTTCTTAATAATATACTGCATTGGCAACAGTTTTGTTTCACATTTGCTTCACTTGAATTAAGAATTCTAATTATGGAGATCTAAGATATCTCTCTAAACCTGACGTAGCTTCTAAAAGAAAGCACCTTGCCTGAGATGTACAAACAGGAATAAACTGTACTTCTCTATTACAAAGGCGACCATCGTTAATACCAATAGCTCCAAGAATTCAATCGGTGTGGGAGCTCCAGTAGTTATACGTTTGCTCTTCCTGCAATAAGTAGCAACCTCACCGCCAAGCTCGTTGGGCTGCATAAAAGTTTGAATATTGCATTCCCTGTCACACAAAAACTGGTCGTCGTTGACAGATTATGAATCAATTCTCCCTTAATTCCATAATTCAGGAAATACTTCTAGCCCCGATCTATTGTGGCAAAGATCTTGCTGACGCGGCAATCACGGAAGGGATCTAGACAAATCGAGTATTTGGGGAAAACTTTCTCACCCATATCAAGGGAACAATTTGGGAAAAGTGGTGTAATGAATGCCCCTTAACAAGCTTAGAAAAATTAAGGAAAATTTAAAATAATGGATGCCGCCACTCAAACCTCCCATAATAAAGAAACAGTCCTAGCTCGTCTCAGAATGTCACACACGGTTTCCTCATGGTGAGAGGGCCTTCTCTGATCTGTCAAGGTTGTCAGGAACCACTAACACTCAAACATATTCTTACTGTCTGTACTCAATTTGAGCCAGAAAGGAGAGCACATGTGGTGTTTCAGATAGTTTATGACAGATTGTCAGAACATGAAAAACTTTTCAAATTCTTGAGGATGATTGGTCTGCTCTTTAAAATTTAGGAGACGAGGCATGAATAGAGGTGGTGGCTGAGGCCGTTAACGGGTATGGCAAGCCTGGCATGGTCATGTCAGTCCTCTTACTGGGCAGCAGTTTCTGTTCATCACCATCCTAAACATATTTCTGTTCAAGGCAAATTATGACCCTTAGAGGTTGCTTACCTTTATGTAATTTAATTTTAAAAAATTCTGTTAAAAAAGATATTCTGACAAAGCTGGCTTCAGTTTGTTCAACTATATTTGCCCTAATTGTAAGAAGTCAGCTGACTCTTTTAGCATTACTCTGTGAGATTTCTTCTTGAGTTCCAAAATGGAATCTGAAGTATTTATGCTGGTCTCATACTGGAATCCACTACAACTATTCACTCGTATGACTTGAGCTCTCTCATTGAAACAAACTTGTCGGGGCCATCTGTCCCTTATTGGTGGTTGTGTCGTGGTTGACATGAATTCTGATTTATTATTTTGTGTTTGTAGGCTAATTAAATAGTGTTTAAAAGTGGGTTGGTCTACTTAGTTTACAGTAGTAGGTTGATGAAGCAGACAAAGATGCTCACAAAGAAAGGAACTGGTTACCTTTTAATAATGGTAATGAAACAGTAAACTCAAATATTAATAATTCACACTGCCACTTGTGATCATATAAATTATAAAAACTGTAACTCACTGAAATTCGTGGATTATTCTAAATACCCGAGTGTGGTTATTGATTTACTGTTTTACTAAATATAAGCTCAACTCTGCAATACACTTGTATACACATAATACATGTACAGAGTTGAGCCTATCACTTTCTGCAATCCACTGGCAATGCTAAGTTTTATTTTCTACAACAAATTACCGGGAAGCCTTAAATGACCTATCCCGGATATTGGCAGACCAGGTTCAGACCTCAGACTTATCTGTCCAGCCACTGGGAGGTTGGGTTTCAGGGCTATCAATAGCTAGGTCATTTCAGCCTCCGTTGTATTCAATCTCCCATTCACACTTTCACTCTTAAATACATTCTTTCCTATTTACATACCATTCACTGTTAAAATAGTGGAGACTTGATATTCCTTCATCACCCTTTACATCGATGTAACTAACACGATTGAGGCCCACTAACATTCACACCAATAAATACTTTCACCAACAACACACCCCAACACATCCACTAGACACAAAACTATACATACATCATCAGTACTATATACAATAAAACAACCCTCTTCCCTCTAAAATTTGGAACAGGGAGCCCAAATACTTGCTCCTGTGCTCAATTCTCATATCGGGTGGCATTCCTATATGCTTTCTATATGAACCCAAGGAGAACACCTTACAATTAAGTGGGACACCTCTCTTTATGCCGAACACATACACATACTTTAGACCAAAAGTAAGTGTGTGTTTGTCAACCATGGCCTTCCTCAATCAGGTGAGGATATCCTTCTTATAAAAGTCAGATCCTCCAAGGGACCTATTGTCAGTGCTCTTGATATGTGAGAGCTTTCTGCCGATCCACTCTACCCTTTCTTTTAATAATGTGTTTTAATGCATTTTTAGCATCAGATGGTTGGATGAGAGGGTTTAGTTCAGAGATGGGTCATCCTGGCCTTAGCCACCTTTTCATTATCCTGTAGACCTATGGGTCCAGGAGGATACTCAGACCAACTATTTGACTAGTTGATGGTGTATCTCTCCAACAAATGCACGAGAGGGTCGATGGACTGGTCAAACTGTCTAAGTTTGAGTTTTGTTGAGCGTTTATTTGGGTGGATATACTATCTACAGTCAAATGTATTTTTCTTTTAAATATTAAGAACAAAATTAAAGACATCAATGTATTTAATAATTACTGTAAATCATCATATATCAAAACAAGAGGAATCCAATAAAAATTTAAAAAATGAAAACAAAACTGTGGACCTCTTGCTTTACTCGATTGCTCATTAAAAGAAGAAGCATCGGCTTTGCTCAGTTGATATCTACACAGTCGCTGCATTCGTCAGGAATTACAAAACCTTCTTCAACTTCATATAATATATCTAATATCTTTTTTATTGTTTCATCTTCTTTGTCTTTGTCTTCACAGAGTAATTCAATTTTTCTAAGTTTGCCATAGTAGAAATCTCTTTCATTTTCCATGCCATCGAGTGCTATGTTGAGCATTTCGATTTCACTCTTAAGCTGGTCATATTTGTTAGCCATTACTGTTTCTTTTTTCGACTGACAGCTCGAGGCAGATTCCGATGCTTTTGCAGCCAGTTCATTTACATTGTTTCCCAATTCAGTATTTGGGCCCGAGTTAGATTTTCGTTTTGCATTTTTCAAAGCGATTTGCGATTTTATCGACAGTAGTGATTTGTCACTGCCTTCCTCCATGCAAAAATTTGCATCATGGAATTTTTTGAACCACTGCAGAAACTCAAAGTTGTCTTGGAACTTACCTTTGACAATCCTGTCGATTGGTATAATCTTGTCGATTCCGTATTTGTTGAACGCAGCTTGCAACAATTTGAAATTTTGTATATATTCATGTTCCAGATTTGATTGGAATTTTACCTTTTTAATTGGAATACTCCTTGGAAACAGGAGGTTCATGAACTGGCAATAAGCTGCTCCTGTACACAGTGATTCCACTTTCAAGTAATTGCTGTCCAAACATTTATTCAGCCAAGACAACATTTCATGTCGGCTCAAATTGTCCATTGTGATATTTGTTGCATACACGTTTATGACAGGCATAATACAAATTGTTTATTCAAAAATAAAAATTTCAATCTATGCCACCGGATAACTCACCAGTTTTCCAAATACACAAAACTATCGTTATTCTCCTCAATTCTGAGATGAAATACCGATAACATATAATTTTTAACTTTCAATTTGTCATATTGATTATAATAAATCAGATGGACAATATAAATTATGTGCCAAATTTCATTTTTTGTAATGATTTTAAAAAATATGGTTTTAAGACTAGTTGTTTTCCTGTCGGTTTTCAATGTGAAGAAATGATTGATTCATTGATGAACATTTGATTATTTTGAATAATTTGAAATTTGTTTGTGTATATTTCTTTGTAATAAAATTTGGACAAAGTTGAGTTTGAAAATGTTTGTCTGTATATTTAAGTTATTTAAAATACTGCCCATTTCCAAATTACGATCATCTGCTATTTTTTACATGTTACTTTTTTTCCCTAGTACACATATTATAATACTGTATTAATAAAGTCAACGTAATAATTTTTCATGGATCTATTACTGATTTCTATAAGCTGAACTCTGTACACATACATACATACATACACACGTGTACAGAGTTGAACCTATTCAATTCCCACTTTTGTATTATTAGCAATAAATAACCAACAGGATTTGAGACTAACCCACCTCGGGTGGGTTTTGACAGTTCAGAGTCACACGTCAGTCTTACCAGTCCTGTATTTAAACTTGGGCTCCAGGGGTTATCCATATCTAGGTCATTTCATTCTGCAACACATCAATTTCTAAATCCAAAACCTGTGGGAGCACTCACTATTAAATACATTCTTATTCACACTATTATTGAGTATCAATCATAAATTTTAATCGACCATAAGATAGAGTTAGGTAGTAGATCGCTGGTCAACTGAATAAAACACTAGCCACTTTTGCCAAGCTTTCGGAGATATATTTTCTTCTTTCTCAGGGCCTATATTTATGTACACAATTTAGGTTATTACATTATTTATATAAGGCTTTACAATTTCTCAGGAACTACTTATATGGTGACTCTTATTAACTAGTAAAATTTAACATTTAGGTTTTTGTCTTAACAATTGAGTCAAATATCTAGAAATTTGTAAAAATGTCAATGATAATAATAATAGTATTAACAATAAAAAGCATTAACATAAATACAGGCCCTGAAGAAGGAGAAAAGCATTGTAAAGCTCGGCAAAAGTGGCTGTTTTATTCAGTTGACCAGCGCCCAATCTACTATTCATACTATTCACTTATAGGGTGGTGGAATACTTATTATTACTTTAAACATGTTATTCATATAACTAAACTAATTGAGAGTTGGTGGGGTACTAATATTGAGCCCTCGCACACTACATATTCATGCTAATAAATACATTCAGTCTCAATATGTACAAAGGAACACATGATATCTATAAAATACTAAATTCAATGAAACTTTATTGAGCGTGAAAAAAAGACCGGGGGCAACGGTGGGAATTGAACCCACAACTGCAGGGATCCATTAGCTGAAAGTCTACACTGACCACTCAACTACTGTGGGCCCTCTTTTAAATTAATTTAATACATTACAACTTAGTAAAAACTGTGAGGGGTTGGAAATTACTGTAGATGCAATGTACAAGAAACAGTGTTTTTAAAAAAATTATGATTTTAAAGTTTTTCGGTATAATCTAAAAATAAATTTCATCTTTGTCAAATTATGATTTTATTTTAGGAATTGCAACCTATGCAACACCCTGTTATAGTCGTACCCGGTGCAGATTTTTCAGACTTGAGCGCTCTCATCACATTCATGTACAACGGGGAGGTTAACATATATCAGCACCAACTCCAGAGCCTTATCGCACTTGCAGATACACTGCACATCAAAGGGCTTGCTCACTTTACCCAAGTGGGCGGTGAGCCGCCTGAAGACAATGGGTGGTTTACGAGCAACAAGAGGCCACGTTCAGAAGAGCCGACCAACCCTGTTAACAACAATAATGTAACTAATTCGGTTTTCAACTTATCAAGCATGAGCAACGGTTCACTTATCGGCCCTTCTCCGACGAAAAACATGTATATAAGGAAGGCAAAAGGCCCGAGAAGGACCAGCCCTGGAGTGCAGCCTGTTCCGACTGGGCCTGAAGATCTCAGTAAAAAACAGGAGGATTCACCATCGCCTCCGTCCAATTCTAGTTGCTTCCAACAAGCAAAAGGTAAGCTTAGTTTTTTTCCCCCAACATCTATTTCATCTATTTTAAGCCTCATTCATAAGAAAGTTTAAATTTTTATATAAAGGCTGTTATCTTAACTTAGTTGTAATGTTAACTGTAGTTATCAGTCTACAAAAATAATAATAATCTTTTCTAGAAGAAGGCGGAGGCGGAAAATCTTTATCAAAGCTATATGTAACATGTCAAATCTGCGGAAAGCACTTAAGCAATCAATACAATCTTAGAGTCCATATGGAGACGCATTTGAATGCACATTACGCATGTTCTTCTTGTAGTCATGTATCTAGGTCTCGTGATGCACTTCGGAAGCATGTTTCTTACAGGTGTTGTCGCTATTTCTTTAATGATTATTTATTGTTATTTTAAGCATAGATATAACTTTTTTTTTATATTTAGGCATCCTCCTCCACAGCCCCAGCAGGTGACTACACCGCCGAGCTCAGAAGAAATAACAAGCCCGTCCAATTCAGAGCTACCACAACTTCAACAGATAAGCTCTCAGCAGTCATCCCAACTTTATTGACAGTTTATAAAGCCCTGGCTTTTTACGAAATGTTTAGACAATATTGGATGATTAGGGTTGAAATTAGGAAAATTTTAATTCATATAAAGCAACGGTTGTATATAGGTGTAACATGGTTTTTAAATAGAGGTAAACGTGCCTTTCTATCTTACGTTAAAATCACTTTTTGCCCATTTTTTAAAGATAAAAGTATTGAAATTTTCATCAGTTGTTTTAACATACTACTTTTAAACTGTGACTTCCGAATTAGCAGATGCTCTCCAGTGAAATAATACCATTCTTTAAAAGACTTGATATATATTTAAAAACAAATATATTTTACAAAATATTACATTAGTTCATGAAATTACTTAGACAATGCTTCATGTGCATTTTCTTCTTCATTTATTTTTTTTTTCACAATTGAAGCCCAAGTTACCAACCTTAAACGGTACAGAGTATTAGGCTCGAAATAACTTACTTGATTAGATAGATAATTTATTTTAAAATAAGAAAGCTATTTTCGAAAATGTAATTAAGTATTTTACCAAATGAAAAAAGCGCACAAGATAACACAGTAGTGTGATCCCGTCCGATTATTTTAAATAAAATTAGTCACTTTTTCATCTTTAATGTCTTTTTTCTAACTTAATGAATTTTTAAAAAAGGAGTGAGTTTTATTATTTCTTAGAAGAACTTTTGATGAGTGGCAAGCAGTCTTTATAGTTACCAGTTGTAATAATATTTAAAATAAAAACCAACAATAAAGTACAAAAGTAATTAGTTAAAAATTTATTCTAGTGAGATTTTTGTTGTTCTATTATATATGTATAAATATGTATATTTATTTTTAATTTTTTCGTTCGATGCAAATTAAATTCAATAAAACACGGCTGTTTATTTAGGTGCCTTATAGTTCCTAGGTTTTGTGAATAAAATGTACTTTTCAAACATGTTAAAAACATGAAAAACATATTGTAAAACAAAATCAAATAGTTATTATTTTTTCTTGGTTGATATCTAGTCTGTAATGAAGTACTTAGTCATATTATTTTAGTGAAAATAATAATAATAAAAAAGAACAAGCTCATCAACCTGGCCTTCTTTCAGTGGAATAAAAGATACATATAAAAATGACCAAATATTCATTATTAAAAAAGTAATAATAATAATAATCCTCCATTGGATAGAATGTTTCAAAAGATTGTACCTATTAGAATGACTTCCCGGTGTATTTAAATTAATACAGCGGTGTGGGAATGTAAAATTTAAAAAAAAAACTTATTTTATAAGTATAAAAATATGTATGCAAAAAAATTGGTTGTGATGGAAAGTTTTGTTAAATTTGATGTTATATTTATTTTTGTTGAAAAATAGACAATATATTATATTTATTTTATTTTATTCTTTTTTTTTTTAAATGAAATAAATTCTGTTCATTTTTTGAAGGAGTTCATGAATCCTTTAATCATCCCTTTTCAATTTAACAATATTGCTTTGAATCCCTCCCACTCACTCTCTCTCTCTCTCTCCTTTAAATATCATAATTATAGGACTAATTAATGTTTTGAGTTTTAAACAGTGTTATCCTTTAGTCACAGATCATTTGTAGTCAGTCAGTGGACTTTCGAAACGTCTTTATTTTTTTCTGCATTTTTGAAGCATAAAAATAATAGTTGAAGTCAGAGAATCACCCGTGTTGGACGTATATTGATTTTTTATGGAATGTTTACCATTCCTGAACAATGCAGGATAGTTGCAATGATCGTCATGGAGACTCATAAACTAAGGAAGCATGTCTCTCTCCGGCAATGGGCATTTCAAGACAGAGGTAATAATTTAATTTTATACATTTTTACCGAAGGTAGATCAATTGAAAAATTAGTTTGTGAATCAATAAACACCTGTTCTTAATTTGAAATGATTATTGGAATTGATTGAAATCCGATCCCACCTCATTTTCGTGGTTTTCACTCTATTGGAGCTGAGTGGAGAATTAGAATTCTGTAGTAAATGTTAAAAATAAAATGTGATTGCAAATTAATCGATCAATAATTCAAATTCTTTGAATAAAACATAGGACAAATGTCCAAAACTGTTCTAAAAAAATCCATATGTTATCTATTGTACAGTGCTAACATTATAAAAAAGAGCTTTTTTATTTATAATATAAATAAATCAGCACTGAAGTTTTCTTTTAACTAAAATGGAAGAAAAGCCAGATTATTCTGAAGAAAATATTATTTCAGCTCAGGTAAAAACAAAGCTGGTGTATATATTCTTCTGTTTATATATTTAAATTATACTCTTTACATATATTTATTTCTTTATTGTAGGATACAAAGGAATCAGATACAAAGTCTGAATATTCGAAGCAAATATCAGCAAAATCGTTAGCGTCCAACGATGTGAAACAGTTGAAAAAGAAGAAAAAGCCCTATCCGATTCAGTTACTCAAGGATTATCAAATCGAGGATTTAAAAAAAGCTTTTGTCGTTTTTGACGTGAAAAATGAAGGTCGAATGTCTGTGAGGGATTTGAAGGTAAATTCAACTCTTACATTAACCAAAAGAAATTGAAATTCCTATTCTTTTGGCATTTCTAGACGGCGATCCGTGCTTGCGGATTCGAACCAAAGAAAGATGAAATGAGGAAATTTCTCTCCGAGTTTGACCCTAATGACGAAGGTCTGAACTCTCAAACTTTTAATTTAAAAAAACAAAAAACTTTCATACAAATAAAACATTAACTGCCAATTAATTTAGGGTATATATCTCTCTCCGATTTCATAACGATGTTCACAATGAAGCTGGCTGAAAGGGACCCAAAAGAGGAGATGCTCAGAGCGTTCAAGTTCTTCGACAGGGAGAACAAAGGCGGCATAAGCTTCGAAGATCTCAAAAACTGCGCCTTCGAAGTAGGAGAAATGTTACACGATGAAGAACTCCAGGTAGAGAACAATCCTTCAACATTTTAGGTTCAAGTTTTGAAACGTTACATTTTTGTTTTAAATACAGGAGATGATGGACGAAGCCGACATCAATGGTGACGGTTTAGTGGATCAGGACGAGTTTGTCAAGATTATGACAAAAACTTATTTTTACACTTAAACAATGTTTACATTTTTATTTTTAAATATTCAAGTGTAGTGCACTGTAATGTAATATTTTGTATCAGTATTTTTTGTATTCAGTATTATTAGAAGAATTAACATAACTATAATTTTATTATTAAAAAAAAGAAAATTTGTTTTACAATAAAGTAGAAATCATTGTTTTAATAAATGAATTATTTCAAACTGCCAACAGACTTGCAAAACAAATTCTCTACCCTCAATTAAGCACAGAGTTTTATGTACTTTTTGGTTTATTTTATAACTACGATTTTTAGTCACAATAAGCAAATGAGATAAGACATAATGACTAAAAATCACCCAGCAGTGACACCCTTGGGTCAATCAGTTTCTCAAGAGATCTCTCGGCCACAACTGCTTCCAACATGTGGGATTTCTAAGAATGTTGGGGCAAGAAAGCTGTTGGACAAATGGATATGGGGGTGAAGGTTTAAATTTTTGTATTGGAATTTAATAATAATTACAAATGGGATTTAGAGACATTATAGATTATTAGGTTTGAAACATATCAGGGGCAGTTTTATATTTTTTTAGCAATTGATTGAATGGATTTGATTTTTTGTTCTCAAACTTCAATTATTCCGTATGCCCATATCAGCCTCAAGAGGGTCTTGTAAATGGTAAACTTTTTAGTAAGGTTAATTTAAATATATGGCCAACTAATTCAAGGAGTAATTTGCAGCGTTATTTACTTTCCTGTCTTTTCACTTATAAATGAGGATTCCATTAGCCTTTTGTCAACATTTAGTTGTAGTCAGCACAAAATATCTAAAATTGAAATGTGCTTTCCATTGAAATAGACTATAGGGCAAATAGATTTTCAAATGTAAAGGAAGTGTAAGTGTATTTAGATTCGTTAATTTTCATTCTCCATTTGTGTGACCAATATTGGATAAGATTTAAATAGTTGGGTGTCATTAGCAAGAGAAAGATCAGGATTATATGACAGGATGGATGGGTCATCAGCAAAGTATTTTTAGGGAAGCAGGAATGTCGACTGTGTATATTGTGAATAGGAAGAGCCCTAGGTTGCAGTCCTGTGGGACACCCGCTTTAACAGGAATTTAAGAAGAAAAGTTACGTCTCCTGAGTACTGTCAGATAGGATTTTAATATTAAAAGGTATGTGAAAGGAAGGAAGCCCTTGAGCATCAACAGCAAACCAGAATGTATTCTAAAAATGTAACTGGAAAAATCAATATAGATAATCAGATAGATTATCAATAGATAATAGATCTTAGATATCAATCAATAAAAGATAATTTAATACTTGATTACAACTTTAATATTATTGATATTTACTCGGCTATACATTTATATATTACATACTACTTCAAACATCAAGGCATTCCTCCCTAAGTGGACATTAACAACCCTGGGCAAAAGATTCTTTTGATCGTAGTTCACTGAAATACAACCTTTACAGAAATTATTTAATTAATTAAAAATAAAAATCGGAGATTTGCCAAGATGCAAAGACCTTGTGATATGTTCTTTGTGACTATAAAACAATGATACAGTACCACTACTTAGACAAGAGTACTAAAGAAAATAGAAATTCTCCATATCCCTCATGCAGGAAGTTAACATCATAAAAACCAACGGGAACTTACGAAGTGACCCACAAGGGCCCTGCCTTTTTACATTTTATTTTCTATATTAATATTCTCTATTTCTATATTTCATTTTTTTAAATATACTTTATTAGCCTAAAAAGTGAAAGACAAAACAATATGAAAAGCCCATATTTTGTCGAGTAGATTGCTGATTTGAGAAAATTAAATAAATTACATATACTATCGTGGTTGCTGCCTAGTATTTGTTCGATGTTTACAGGCAAGGAGAGCAAAAGTGTATGGGCTGTATATAATGTGCGTGACGTAAGTGTGTTTTATTGTGATGAGCTGATTCCACAAATGGGAAGTGCCTCTCATGCCATCAAATGACCCTCTTTACAGCCCGGCATTGCACAGGGAAATAATAAAAAGTGTTATTTCTCTTTTTTGTAAATCCTGACGTCCATTATTTATTATATAGTGCCTTCTAACTTCTAAGATTCTAATTGTTTTCTTATTGTTCGACTTTACGATGCAATTCATTCTAGAGTTCATATAGAATATAACTCGATTACACCTCCATTCATTATAGCTGAAATAAAATGAAATTTGGAATAATAAACTAACTAGTCTTATACTAACTTTTATTATCCACATTTTAAACTAATTAACAAAAAATAATACTATTTATCACAATAGGTTCTAAGGTAACTTGAGTACCCAAACTTTGTTATATTATAATTTAATAGGAACAATTAGTTTATTATTATTATTATAATTTTAACAAGATCTTGGAATTATATTACCCCAATTAAATTTATTTTTCTTTCCAATTTTTAACAATTAGAAATTTATTTATGCAATGTGGTTTTTATATAATATAAATTTATACTGTTTACCACGTTTTACAACAATCTCTTACATGATACTTACATGCTTAATTGGAAAACTAAATAAATAAAAATCATTCCCTTCTTTGTAATTTGTAAGAAACTTTGCACTCTGGGCTTCCAGATTCATAGCCAGACTCATTATTAACTTCTGACTTTCTTTTCCTGGGATAATTTATGTCAATACTGCAATATAAGTCAGGATTAAAATTAATAAGACTAATTAACAAAAAAGTAAAACATACTCTGTAAGTAGGGCTAAACAGGATCTAAGGTTATTTGCACTATAGCCAGTGAGAGCCACCATCACATCAGGCCAGGCAGGCCTAATACCGTGATCAAGCCTAGCAGCTAACAAGCAAGCAGCCGCTACTTGTGAAGCGAGATATTTTAACATTCCTACTTCTGATGATAAAACTTGAATGCTTAAAAAAATTTGCGTATAAATTCAACCTTACAAACTCACCTGACAATGAGAGGTCGATGAATTCTCTCATCGTCCTCCTCACCGCGTCTGTCAGGTTTTTCGAACTTTTGTGAGTTGGGTCCCGATCGCCTTTGACCACAGCAAAGACGGAATAGAATTCTGCAAAATGTGCCACAGTCGGCCAAGAGATGTTCCACGAAAGCGACTGGAGGACAAACGCCTCGAGGTGGATGAGCTCGGATGGAGTCGATGTGATGTTAAGAACAGAAGGGATGTCGGTGAATTTAGGGACCTGGACGTCCTCCTCTTCGAATTTTGCTGCAACAAAACTTGTCAGTTCGGGGACCAACATAATCAAAACTAACTCTTACCAGCTAATATCAAGCAGACGACTGCTGCAGGTACAAGTCGACTGTTCAGTATGTTATGTTTGTCCATAAATTTATCAAGGAGGAATATGCCCAAATGTAATGTTACTTGCGATAGCTTTAACTTTTCGGATACTGTTTTTAACCAATCAACTAACTTTGGCCTATGAAGTAGCTGCAATCGCAAATTCCTTTATCATATTAAATGATAAATAAATACCAAACCACAAACTATGTACACAGAAATAATGATTCAAACTGCACACTACAAAGTTGAATAAAATATCTATTAATGCATCGAGATGAATAAATAAACAAAAAGGTTGAAGCATTCATGATTTATTTATTAATTCAAATCCTAGAATAATAAAAAATAATGAAGAGGAATAGCAATTAAAACATTTTAACACAAATAAAAAGAGATAGTGTGCAGTATAACTATCAAATTTAATGGATATTTGGCAAAATTATTTATTTACAAAGAAAAGCTTAGACAACTTGCAAAACTGAACTAATGATAATTAATTTTGTTACAGAATAAAAAGAGCCTAAAGAATAAATTAGGGATGCTCTGTATATATAGATTTTTTTTAAACTGAATTTTCTAGGGTGAATGTGTAGTGTGAGAGGATTGATGGTAGAATATTGAGGACCCCATTAATTAAATTAACTGTATAATTTATAATTTGATCCTTACTGATCATCTTGGTCCGCCTATACTCATTGTGTTGGCCTGTCAAAAACAGTTCAACATTTTTCCATCTTCACAGGAGTGAGACTGGGTATTTTTTTGTGGCACACTGAAGATGGCGAAATGCTGAAACATGTCTGACAGACCAACCCAAAAAAGATAGGCAACAGGAGGAAATCTCATGATGAATAATTTGTGTAGAGTTATGGAGAAATTTTGAATACATAATATACATAGGAAAGGATATATTAAAGAATGTGTGAGTCTATGTTTAGATTAAGACTACAAGTTAAATGACCTAGCACCAGAGCCAAACTGGCAGACAGGTCAGCTAAAACTCAGATCCGACTGCCAACACTGAGTAGATGAGCTCCAATTCTTCCAATTCAAAATAATTGAATATATAAATCTTATTGTATTTTTTCAAATCTAATATGAAAATCTTTATTTGTACAAAGGTATATTATTAGTTGGTATAACTAAATATAAATTAAATAATAAAGAATGGAACTTTTGAGCCTGACTTTACGTCTTAATTTTGAATTTCTGAAGAATTAAGTTTTAAGTACACAAAAATCGACTCATGAAATTAATTTCAAAATGTAAAATGAAAACAGCATGGCTTTCTTCAACCCAGTGGGAATATTATTGTTTACATTATCAACTTTTAAACATATCAATTTATCCTTGAAATTATGTGCAGATAATTTAGATTTACAAAAATTTTTGCAAGTTATTTCTTTTCTCAATGATACACAAGAAAAATTGAAAAAAAAAGACAATGACAAAAATTTTATACTCCATTCTGTTTAAAGCGGTCAGTTCGATCAATGTTCTTCTAAGACATTCTCAGATACTCTCAGTCAGGCAGGTACAAAGGTACTAAATGCATATGCTTTCAACTCAAAATTTGTTTGGGAGGGCATAAATTTCCTAACAGCTCTAAGAAAACAACAAGATTACATTAAACTAGTTCCTGAACATGAAGATGCTAAAGGAAATGAATAGACTGACCACCTATCCAAAAAATGGGCAGCCTTCTCACAGGGCTAGAACCACAACTAGGTGCACAGTAGTTGGAACTGGAAAAATGGCTTCAGAAAGAAAAACCCAAGCACTGGACAAAAGCACAAGGTAGCAGGCAAGCTAAGAGATTTATAAATTTCTCAAAAAAGAAGGCGAAGGAACTACTCTCTTTAAGCAGGCAGGATTAGAAGGAAATTATAGGCCTCAATTCCTTCCACTGCCACCTTAACTACCATCTAAAGATGGGCCAAGCAGAAACAGAAGCATGGCTACTCAGTCAGCTCAGGAGAAACCAGACATCAGCAATATATCCTTTTGAATGTGAAGTATAGCCCTGTTACAGCCACTTTGGTATGGCAATTATCATACCAAAGATGTGCACAAAGAGGCACCAAGAAAAGTGCTTAGGCTTACAGCAAAAAGTGCACTTTTCAAGTATGATTATAATTTATATAGATCCACAATATGAAGGTCGCAGTGGAGGAGAGGATTTAAAAAATCATCCATAACCATCCCTAAGACATTTGCAGATTTCCGAGTAGATCTTTGGCTTATTCAAATAATCCTGAAAGGCTTAAATGTTAAGAAAAATAGACGTGACTGTTTACAACTTTATTATTTAATTTTTATTATTCGTTAATAATTAAATAAAAAAGACCTGAGGACTCTGGAATTTAATATTCCTCCCAAACAGTTCTCGCTCCTTGAGATTCCTGTGAATGTCCAGTGTGTAGGGGGTGGTGAGGCACCAGGAGAAAATTTCATCCATCTCGATTCGACAGAAAACGAGAGACTTTCTATTTGGCCACATCCATCGAAGGGAAATATTATAATAAATATAATAAATTATTATGATATGACACTCTCCGTCGGACGGCTACGATCTTTCTTTTCTCGTGGGAGCCGGCCGGTAAACAAAACCACGAGGGCCGGTAGGTGTCAGGATCAAAGTCAAACTTGAAACCTACAAGCTGGGTGGCCCGTAATAACAAAAACTATTAATTTTTTTCTACCAAAAAAGATTGTATTTTACATATTACATTATCACGTTTATTGCAAATAAAACCTCATTAAAACGAAACACATTTCAAAAACTTTTTTAACAAGAATTCAAAAGTTTATAAAATTAAGCAAATTATGAAGGGGCATACGTGGTCATTTATATTACTACTATTACTATAGCACAGACCAGTAATAAAACAGGTACAGTCTAATAAAAATGAGAATGTCAAAAAGATTTATAAATAAAATTTGGGGTTTCAATATGTTTTGTTAAACGTATTTCATTTCCTTATTCAATCAGTTGTTAATATACAGTTTATTGGCATGGGGTCACTTACTATTGACGAAAAAAAGTCTTTGGTATGCAGAGAAAGAGCAATGAGAGCAATACATAATTTAAATTATCATGAAGACTGTAGATAGAGTTTTAGAAAAATAGGGGCATAATACAAGTACTTGTATTATATGTATTGTATCACCAAGGATTGCAAGGATTTATGTTTAAAAAAACACTATGTACTCTACACTAAATGATTTTCCTGTGTTTTGGTGAATTTGCCTTCTAACCATCATAATTAAATATTTTTTAATTGAAACTCATAAATTTCTGATCTCATTAAATTTAGTGAACATTAAAATTATAGTTTGAAATAAACAAAGAAATATGATTGTCTTTTTTAAATTGTATAATTAATTAATTCGTTTTTTTTGTGTGTGTCTTTGATCGTATAAAGAGAGCAAAGTCAATTAGCTTCAAATCTGGATACCTAGTCCATGCTCACTCAGACACTTACTCTTGCTCCAAAGCCCAATCCGTGCTTTTGTGTAAAGTTTTATTATATAAATTATATTATATTACATATCTTATATATACATATATATATTTTTTGTAATTAATACCTATTTCGTAAATATAAAAAGCAAGTATGTGCGTACATACTTAATATAATTTTTATGTAATAACTTGATGAAATATAGTAAAGACAAAGCCTAGCAAAAAAGTCATGAACATAAAATTTGTATATTATAACACAAACCAAAAAAAATCATAAAATAAAAAGAAAAATTTTATGTTCTTGTCTGGCGAGTGGCAACACTGTCTTGTGTTTTCTGAGTTCTGTTATAAGTTTTAACCGCTCTCGTTTTCCCGCCATGCCTACTTTTTTGTTGTTGTTAGACTTTAACAGATTAACTGCTTTATCCAGAATTCCAGAGAGCCAATGATGTAAACAAGGACTATGCTCTAATAATACTCTGCTAATACTCAGTAAGAAGCTTAAGATGATGCTAGTTTGGTTCTATTTGCCTTCGTTTGCCATTGTGTGCACAGAACTTAAAACGTTTACTTGCTCATCTAGATGAATTTTCCGGCGGCTGATTGTTGGTGAGTTAGTTTATTTTATGCTTAATTCCAGTGTATATTCTCCAGTCAAGCCAAAAAAGGAAAAAAGCTCGTCCTTTCCGAAATATAACTGTGAACCTGAAGCCTGGTTTCCTGATGAAACCTGTCCATTTGGAAAGATTCAGTGCACAAGGGCGTTTTCAAAGAGACCCATTTCTTTTAAACGTAGCAAGACAGATTTTCAGGACAACACAACAAATTCCTTCCAGTCAGAACAAAAAAAGAATTATAAACTTAGGTGTCCAAACTGTCTTGGTCTTTCCTTAAAAAAAGTTCAAAAATGTCTTATTATCTCTCAGAAACTTCCTGCTACTGGCTATCAATTCTGCTTGGGCTGGCTTTATTTCCAACAGATTCCTTGTAATTCGAAATTCGCGATTAATTTTGTTAGTATGCTGTGCAATTTTGTGTTATGCTTGACAGGGTGCTCCCAAAATCGATCGTCTCATTTTGTTCGTGCCCTTTTGGGAATACTTTCTTTTGGTAATGAGTTTTTATATATTTTATATATATATATATTTGAGAGAGAGCCAACGGGATTTTTCTCATTGTGGCCCAAGGTTGAGGTAACACCTAGAAGCCCAGATAAGGGTTGTCCATTGTCCTTTTCCCAGCCAAGTTTCTAACCCTCCTGTTTCCCCTCTTACTTCGTTCGCAGAAGGAAGCTTCAACCTGAGGTGAGTGGGAAATCCTTGTTACAACTTTAATTTAATTTATATATTTTATTATTATCCAACCCCCCGTGAGAACATTGAAAATACTGTCCACTCTAAGCCAGAACACATTTGATCAATTTTAGTAAATAAAATGTATTGAAAAAACATTTACAGTGCATGTGTCTGCCTCATCAGAATCATTTCATAGAATGAAAAAGTCCAAAATGTTGAAAAACTAATAGGCATTATTAAATTCTAAAGAAACCTATTTAAAAATTTTTTCTTCCTCTTTTTTATTTATTTGCACCTATGTCGTTTATTTAGTACACCTACCACTTATTGCACTTTGGTAAATTTGATAGCATTTTATAACATAAAACAAAACAAAAAGAACACAAAAATATACATAAAATAGAAAAAAAGTAACTCAAGTCACTCTATATTAGTAGTAATATTCACTGTCACTTAGGAGGTCGTGAGGCCATTGATGCTTCAGCCATTGGGAAGGATGATTTGGATTTGTATAGGCTCATGTACAGATATATGTCACCTAACCGTGGATCAATAAAATTTAAAATTCCCTCCTTCAAGCTTCGGCCCAACAAGTTAGTTTTACTTGCCCCAGTGGTATTTTTTAAAGGAATGAATTTTATATTTTATTCTTATTCAGTAAAATAGTTATGTTAATTAATAAAGATATAAAATGATGAAAGATGAAAATGTAAAATAATAAAATATTTTGTTTTATTTTTTAAGTTAAACGTTTACTATAATTAGGAAAGATACAATTAATACGAACAATTTTCTTTAGAAATTAAAATAAAATACATTTGTGTTATTACAATTTTTAATAATTCGGTTTTAACTATAAGAAACAAAATAATATATTTTTCCTTTTTTCTTTCTTAACAAACAAAATAAATTCACTTGAAATTTTGTAAAATAAAATAAATCGAAATAAACAAAATGAATTTAACTACAATCACTCGAAGGAAATTAGGAATAGAAAAGAATGATCTTAAATACCTTATGCGTTTTCTAATTAGGTTGTTCCAACTCGGGTTCAGGAGAGAGAGTCTCCGATCTCTGTCCCCTCGAACTCCTCTATGTTTATCTTTCTTTTATTTACATTGGTACCAACCTTTGAAAATTCTTATTAATTAATTTATTATTATTTTTATCTATTTTAGTTTATATTATTAATTTAATTTTAATTAATTTAATTTTTTTTTTTGGGACATCTGTTTTTTTTTTGTCACCGGCAATTCCAGCTTTTGCTATTTACACTAAATTGCCGGCAGACTCAAGAATCACCCACCCTGGGTATTGACAGTGCAGAGGCCGGCCTCAGTCTTATCCATCCAGCCACCAAGGTTGGGCTCTGGGGAAGGGGTGCTGTCAATTCAGCATCCAAAACATGCAGTTCCAAATCCATTTGTATTCACGTTCTTAAATATGTTAGACCTTTATAGTATTTTTTATGAAAAAATAAAATACAATTATAATAATAATAGGAATACAGAATTTATTCATTCCAATTATTTATTTTTAAAATTAGATTTACACCACCATTTTTGTTCTTTTTAATGCAATGTTCGAACTTAAAATTTACAAAAAATGAAAACCTACTCTCCTTGAACTAATATAAAAAACTTAAAATATAATAAACAAGAATTTAAACTATTATTAAAAATAAATTAATTAAAAGTTATGTATGCACAATCCCAAAGGAATGAAATTAAGGAAATATGGAAATAAGAAATCTCACGCGATGAATGCTCTTTTCTTGATGTTCTCCAATCAGATGATTCTTCACAAGCAAAGTTGAAGTAGCCAAGTTCAAGGTGGTTTGATTGTAGTCTCGAGATGGAATGTCCCCATTATTCTGCCTTTCAGCCTTTCTCGACCCTTGTCTCCCATAAGTTCCAAAGTTTATTTTGATATGTTTGTTACAAATACTTTCATTCCTATTTTCATACTCTTCATTCAATTAGGGTAATGGAGTAATCGATCGGTATTCCTTCATCACCCTTTACACATATTATACAACTAGCTTAATTGAGGTCGATGGGGTACTTGATACTCCGCCATCGACCCTCTCACATCATACATTTATGCTAAAAAGTCGTCTGTCTCACACTTGTGAAGTCACGATAGCTCAAGTGGTAGAGCAGTGGCGTATTAGTTGAAGGTCGTGGGTTCGTATCCTGATTGTGACACTAACTTTTTTATCTCAACCAAGAAATAACAAAGAATAATTAATTGAAAGTAAATGTTAATAAATAATGCTTTTATTTTATTATTATTGTTTAATTATTATAATTATTAAAATTTAAATTATAATTATTATTATTTAATTTAAAATGCATTTAAAAAAATGAATAAATAAAAAAACATGGAAATGTCTGACTTTAACCAACAAATTTAAAATAATAATAAAATTTTGATTTAAAAATAATTATTTTATTATATATTTTTTCATATCATATAAAATGAAGAAGTCTACAATGATGTTGAAAAACCAATAGCCATTGTTAAATTCTAAATAAACTTATTAAGATTAAGATTTTTAGATCTTTCTCATCTTTAAACAACTCCTCTGTCGTCATTAAGATTAAAAATAAAAATTATGGAAAAAGGTGCCTGAAGGACTTGAAATAAATTATTGATATAATTTATTTCAAAATTGGTGGACATGAAGTGGAACTTATAGGGAACGATTGAAAGGCACATGTTCAGGTTCAGTTGAACCAACTTTGCACCAGGCTGGTAGATATTTCGTACTCCAAAAGTACACTGGCGTTGCTGGAACACCAAACAGTATGCAATCTGTTCTAGTTCTGCACTGCTGGAACCTGGAATACCAGTACCACACTTTGTCACTACTGTGCATGCGGTAAGTAAGCTGGAACCAACTTATTGAGTTCCCAATAAGTATTTGTGGAATATGAAAAATGGAAACTACCACATATATCTTGTATAATCACTCTTGTTTGGGTACCAAGGCATGCACGGCAGAAGGGCAACAAGGAGGTCAATAAATTGGCCGAGGAAAGTTTGATGGAGACCTGTTGGCCATGGACCCTTTTGCAACATACCAAAGGAAATTTTCCTCAGCACACTGCTTTGAGATACTCCAGATGGAATCTCATGCCACTGGAAATAAGCTTTCCTGCACATTTTTATAAATTGCAGTTATCATATTTGTTTGGAATTTTAAGAATTAATTTGTTTACTCTTTGTCATGTATAACGCTCATAATACTCTAGGATCGTATAATTTTATATTATATTGACAAGTTTTTTTTGAGATTTTTTATTTATTCTGTTTTTAGTTCAGTATCTATGCAAGGCCAAAGTGAAATGGCGCACACTACTTCTAGGCAGCCATTACTCGGCCATATGGACGAGACATTGTGTGAGCAAGCAGTCAATCAAATGCAAATGCGTGTTTTTGACAAGTTAAATGCTTTGGAAAAGGTTTTGAATCTCGTGAGTTGTTTACTTTATCTCAAAAAATTGTTGGCTCTTCATTTATTTAAATCAATCCTTATTCTCTTGCAGACTGAATTTGCCGTCCTTTGTTCTGACATTATTGAAAACATAAATGATTCAAGGATTATTTCTAGAAATGTAAGTACTGGGTAGTCTTTGTATATCTAATAATTCCAAAATTATTCTAATTATATTTGCCTTTTTTTTTTGCCCTCTCAGGTTGATCATAATGCACCTTCTGTATCTTCTTCGTATTTTCCATCTCAATCCACAATACAAAGTGAGTATTTTTTTAGGTCTAAATTGTCAAAATAGTTAAAGAAATTTAGATATTTACAACACTCTAGAAGTTCTCATATATGTTATGAAAATAAATAAAGATGTGTTTTGATTAGTAGAAAATAATTTTTCAAGATGTGTGTAGTATTTAGTGACACAATTTCAACTTCAACAATCCAAAAATATTAAACACAGAACAAAACAAACATAAATGTAACTTTTGAGAAATGGTTTACATCAACAGAGATAAGCACAGCATCAATTACAGAACCCGCAGCTACACTAATATCATAAATCAAATTCGATATCAATAACATAAAACATATAAAACAATTTCTACATAGTCTAAATATCCAATAATTTATCCTTCCTTTCCATAATAATCCCGGCTATAATAATCCTGAGTAGATAACTAAGCCTGAATGACAAACCATTACCCTTTTTTTTCCCATTGTCGGCCCCTATCACCTCAAAGAAGCTGACTCCTTATAGAAAAATGAATTTCTTTCCCTACTTCCTTCTCCACCCCTTCAAAATCAAACATGTATAAACAAAAAAACATTTATATCATACTAACACTCGCAACACGGCACAAAGCCGTGACACATCTACACAGAAAACATACACTTTGAGTGAGTACAAATACTTTGAATAAACCTAAAATTTCTATATTGCGTACATCATTGTATAAATTCATTTTCACATATTATATTTGTATAATCCAAACAATGTTTGTAAATCCCAGGCTCAAGGGGTACGAGTCTACCCAGGCATTTAACCCCTCGGGTCTTGGTCGCCCACCCTGCATAATATATATAAATCCCATCCCCCCAAAGTTGGATTATGCCCTTCCATTTTGCCGTACCTAAAGATCACTTTCAGTTAATCTTTTTCCTTTGTTGATTTCATTTGATATTATTCTTATTCTTTACCTTTTTCAATGGCTCCAGTTAGGCATTTGAGTAAGTACAACAGTGTCAGGGTCATAACATTATTAAAGAAAGGATACAGCCAGTGTCACCAGGAGTCTGAGTGTAAATCACTCTATAAAAGGAAGGGTTCTTTGGCGCTTCAGAGAAACAGGACTTCACACTAGAAGGCCAGGACAGGGTTGACCTAGGTCTACAGAGATTGAGATCATTAAGTTCAACGAAACCCCAATATTACGGATGATATAAAAAATCTGATAAGAAAAATCCAAAATGTTTCGATTTCTTCCAGGACTGTAAGAAGAAGGCTCAATGAAAAGAACCTCTGAGCTCAGCACCCAACTCATGGAGCTCTTCTGACCATAGATCAGAAATTGGCCAGGCTTCAACTCACATGAGAACATGTAAATTGGAATTGGAAGATTGGGGACGAGTTCTCTCTGCAGATAAGGCGACAGTTGGCCTCAAATCTTTAGATGGGGTTAATTTCATATAGAGACGCTCAGGAGAAAGGGATGCCGCATGTTGTGAACTCAGGTGGCATTCCATGGTGGGCCATTGATGTTCTGGGATGTCATTTCTTTGAATGCTCGCGCTATCTAGATTTATTTAACTTCAAAGAGGTGCAGGTAGACAGATGATAAGACAGAAGACATAATCAAAGAACATGTAGTGCCATTTGCCCCCCCCCAACTTAGGTGAAAGATTCTTGTTAATGCAGGATAATGCCAGGCAGAACACGTATTGTGGATAACTACCTGACGAGATTGGAATTGAGTGCTTGGTGTGGCCAGCTCAAAGTTCAGATTTGAACCCAATCGAACACATTTGGGACCAACTTAAGTGATGAATATGATGGCGAAACCCAGATCCTAACACCCTAGCAGAGTTGGGAACAGTTGTTCTTGATGAATAGGAAATAATTCCTCAGGATTTTATTAGAAATATTTTCCAAGTTAATTCAAAGGCTTTTAATGGATGTGATTGATGCCAGAGGTGGAAATACTCATTAAATGGGACAAAAAGTTTTTTTTTTTTTTTTTATTTTTATTTGTTGAATTTTCTGGATAAATTTTAATTTTTAAATGTCTTATTTTTACAACCAAACCTATTTTTGGTACGCAAAATGTGAATATACCTAAATACATTTAAATTTAAGGGTGATGCCTTTATTTTGTCCATCAGTGTAATATGTAACTTGTATGTGTAACTTTTTTTTAATGCAGATACTTAACTTGACAGATAAGTAGTTTAAAGCCCAAGAGTTTTCTCGTTATTACTTATTTAGCTTTCTAATAGTAAAAATTTTATAACCATTTCATAAAAAAATTATTTTCAGTTCATGATATTTTTGTAGATGCATCATTAATTAGAAATGTGGAAAATACTCAATTCCAGCCAGTGTATTCCCAAAACACTTTCAGACATCCCAGTAATATCCAAATTCAGAATGGAAAGTACAACAGACATGTTAACAATAATAATGAGCCACAAAAGCTACAAGGTAAAGCCCATACTACTAGTACAAATTATATATTAATAATAAAAATTTTAGGGTCCATTTACCATGGAAGTACAGCAAATTCAGTCACCTTCAATCGCTCGAACAGAGGTAATAAACAAATAAAAGCAGCCACAAATTTGTCATCTGTACCAGAAGAAAATGGTGAGTTCTTTTTATATGTGTGATAACAATATGGAAAAAAAATTTTTTTTTTTTTGTTGAGCGCTGCCCTGAGACACCATTCAAATATGTTCTGGTCTATGTCCAAACCAGACGTTATAAGGAGAAAAAAAATTTGCACAATTGGTCATTTGAGTTTGTAAAATTTATCTAAAAGTTCCATTTTGATCTTTAGAATATCACTTGCCTGGGTCTTTCCAATGGAAAACTTCACAGCCTAGTCTCACGCACATAGCTTTCACTTTATGCATATTAATTTTTTCTTAAAGTGTCAAATGCACTAAATAAGTACTTAAACATGTTTGCAAAATGGCATAACAATCTAGCAATATTGGGAAAATATTAGAAAGTGTTTCACAGAAAACGTTAATTTTCTGGATAATGCTGTCTGGGAAGACATCGGGGATAAGAATTTGCCTCTTCAAGTTTCACTGTATTTATGATTTTTAGACAACCTCATGTATGTGTTTTAAATTTTAAACTAAATATGTAACGTAATCCCTGAGCACCTTACGGCTCTAAACAGCAACTCATCCAAGCACTTAGGCTGGCTCCACACTAGATGAAATGTGATGGAAATTTTGCGTCGAAAAATTTGCCCAACCCGAACAAGTCAAATATACAGCAGAAATTAGCGGAATGACTACAATAACTGTATGGATATTCAATTGATAACGTGACTCAGTTGGTCGTGTACGGTACAATGAAACCACTTTTCATTTTGTGTATTTACAAGGCAATAGAGAAGCAGAAGAAAATATTGGATTCATCCTTTGAATATGAAAAGGGTAACACTTGGTCAATTCTACTACCTGTATGAGGAACTTCCACTCTATCCTGTCAAGTTCTTCCAATATTCTACTATAGCTGATGATAATAGCTTCATTTGACGATTCTGGACTTCATCCATCCTATATTAGCTTCCTTTGCAGTTTCCCTGTCCAAATGCCTGCCTCTTCCATTCTACGCTTTGTCAGTGTGGCCTTTACTTTGCACTGTTTTGATCTGTTTAGGTGGAACTCAGCGGAAAATTACGTTGACGGACGATGGTGCACCAACGGCGCTTGATGGAGGCATTACATAATGTCTCCACCTGCATAAATAACTGTCTGTCGCTTGCTGTGTTTTTTGAATGTAAAGTTGTGCAGCGGACTTCCGTATAGTGTAGCGCCAGCCTTAGTTGACATCTTCTCCCTTGAGAAGAATCCCTGGCGTCTTAGTACATTTGTTAAATTGCTTATATAAATTTAATAAATAAAACAGACATAGTATTTTGAAAATGGTACAAGATGCCAAAACAATGGATAACTCATTTCATATTAAAACACCTTCATTGCAAAAGGCCTACAAAAAGAATTTTATTTATCCATAAATATAAAAAGGACAATAACAAAGAAAAGAAGAATATTGAAATATTTATCTTGAAAATTTTTATTTTTTACATGCTTCCTCTGTACACCTCAAACATTTCATCTTTATTCTATTATGAATTATTAATATATCGGATATTCTGTATCGTAAGAAAGTACTGGTCCCTAAAAAATCTCGTTAAATTGTATAAAACCAATGCATTTCAGTCCTGTTGGTGTAACATATTTTTTTCCGCCTTCAAGGTCAACAAAACGTCTTATAATTAGTATGAATTGAAATCCCAATTAATATGTTGTATGAATTGAGTGGGAGGGGTTTCCTTATAAGGATGGACCAAAAGCTCCAAATCAAATAGAACACAAGGAGGGTCTATTGCAACCAGTTGTGGGTGTTTCCAGGATTTTGTTTGTTACATCCGATGTCACTGACTCAAGATAAACCACATTGCTCAGTGGAATGAATATTGCAGACAAAGCAAAAAAAATTACTTAAGTACATGTGGTTTCCTAAAGGAGGATATATCAGCCATGGGACTGGAAAATGAAATCCAAGCCTGCATCTGATGCATCTCTTGTCACAAAATGAAGAAAATCCCGTCACTTTTAAGGGATTTGTTAATTTTGACAATGACATTGCAGTTATGCTGGAATGCTTAACAACGATGAAATTTTAACTGAAACAGCCAACATGGATGGTGAAGAAGGAAGTTTTATTTATTAAATCAGTCCTAAAGTGCCCAAGAAATTGATCAATTGTGCATGTTATTTTTTAACAGCAAATGTGGTTGAAAACGTGTTCGGTGCAATTCAAACTATTGCATTAGTAAAATGCAGCACATTTTTAAATATTTTAATGCAAACAAGAATTGATCAAACAAATCAAAAACAATATATACATATGCAAATATAAAAAATACAAACTTTCCTTACATACATATGCAATACACTAAAAAAATTAAAACATTCAATATAGTGGATTTTTCTTTATGCCCCCCCTTTTTTTTGCCCTCGGTGTACCATAATCTTGATATTATCGTATACCGTATACTAGAGCAGCGGCGTATTTAGCCGAAGGTTATGGGTTCGAATCCCACTCGTGGCCCTAGCTTTTTCATTTCAACAAAACCTTACACAAAAAGATTAATTAATTGAAAGAAGTGATTTGGTCAATAGATCACTAATTAAAATGGATGTATTAATTACTTTTACTATACCCGTTTTTAGAACATAGGTAAATGATTTGACCCATGATGCCAAAACATTATAACACAAGTAAAAGTATTATCTTTAATCTATTTACCTACCTTCCAAAAAATGTTCTAGTAAAAGTAATTTATACTAATATTAATAATTATGTTTTTGTAAGCTTTACAATTGGAGAAAATTAATCCTGACAATGGTTATGTAGGTAGTCTAATACATATAGTAATAATATATATAGTACAAAAGAATTATTATTATTCTTACTTTTCTCACTTACAGATGAAAATTGTGTGAAGATTGGACCACCGGATAATAGCATACTAACTCCCTCAGAGGAGTTGATGTCACATTCTTTTGAGTCTTCTGAGCCAGAAGAATCTGTTGAAGTGATTAAAGTGAATAAAACTTCTTCCTCAATTACACAAGCATTGGCGAAAACTAATTTAAAAGTTGATTTTATTATTAGTAATTGGACTTTAGAACTCATTAATACTACATTGAGAGTAAAGGGAGATAAATACTCAGTGTAAGTAGCTTTTTATTTTATTTTTATTAATTAATTTTTTAAATTAATTTGTACATTTCTTTAGGTCTGATGAACAATTACTGATTGCTCGAAATCCAGATGATTCCAAAAAAATAAAATAAAAAATTTTACTTTCTATAACTGATGGTTTTACTCCTTGATTTGTTGTTTACAATGATCCAGATTTCGAGCATTAAATGCTCATCAGGTTGAAGGGTTATATACGATGTTTTATGAATCATTTAAATACAAAGTTAATTGTAAATTCCCTGGAGGTTTATTTTTAATCTGTTGATCATACCAATCTGTGTACAGTGATCCCTTAACACTTGCGGTTTTGGCATTTGTGGATTTTGCTATTCACAAATGAAAAAATAAGGAAAGTTTTGTCATTTGCATAATGTACGATTTTTTTATTCGCAGAAAAAATAGTTGCATAAACAACAAATGTATCAAAATAAAAAAATATGGATTGGAGGCTCTAATTTTCAAAAACTTTTGCCTTCTTTCAACATACTCTTCCTTCTTTCTTCTCAGTTTGTTTTATTCTCTCGTGGAAATTGTGTCGCAAAATGCCGCCTCTTCCAATATGGAAAAACTGACGACTCTTGGTGAAAGAATAAAAATTTTGGACTTTTGACATTTTTTATGCAGGCCAAAGCTTTTCTTCAAAACAGCTCAGGGAAATTTTAACCTCAAGGGACCAACTTAATAAAAAAGCAATGGATTTCAACCCATCTCTAAATCAAAGTTTGAAGTTTAAAAGGGATGTCAAGGCTGCTTCAAATCCTCATTTAGAAATTCTTAAAGAAATTAATTATTCAGCGAAACCGTGAACAATTAATAGTTATTTCTTTCCTTGCACATCAAAAATTACAAACAATGAAAACAATTAACATGTACAAACACTGTTATGTCTTCTATTACGTTTCTTTTGAATAAATGATTTTTTTTTTTTTAAGTTTTGAATTATATCCAAATTTTTGGCGCCGTGGAACATAACCCTCCTTTTAGCATACGTTACATAGATTCAACGTTCACGGATTTAACATTCAAGCAGTTTTTTGAACCAAATGCCTACGAATGTTAAGGGATTATTGTATTGCATGTTTTGGTCAATGATAATTTAACCTAGTGGCGAGCTTAGGTCCACAATTTTCCCATTTGCTTCTATTGTACAATCTTTTACAATGTTATAATATACATATATAGAAAATTTAAAAAATTTCTTAAAATTTTGTTTCAAGGGATGGAAAATTGGTGGAGGAGAACTTTCAAACTTCTGCTATAAAAGCAGCCAGGAGGGTGAAACCACTAACAGTTATTAAAACCAACAAAGAAACCTTTTGTTTAGAAGGATTGCTGATGGATCCTCAAAACAGTAAGATTAAGGATTTATTATACCTTCTTTTTCAATTTTAAAAATATTTTACAAATTTGTGTTATTTGCGACCGGTTGTTCAATAATTTGTTGAAGCCATGAGGAGCGGTCCATCCTAATTTTGTGGAATTCCATAATATGTTGATTGGTAGGAAATAAATTTGTCTTTTCCACAGTAGGCATTTTCAGTCTAATATAAAGCATCTTCAGTGACTTTTTAAAATAAAGTGGTTTGATGTTCCATTCCAAATAGCTTACAACAATGTATAGCTTACAAACCACTTTGTTTAAAAAACAAAACAAATAAGCCACTAAAGATGGTCTATATTAGATCGAAACGCGTCTGACAAAAAAAAAAAAAATGCCTATTGTGGAAAAGACAATTTATTTCTTATCAATCAACAATTATTCTTAAAATGTATTGTTTTACCTTAGCTACCGAATAACCCATATGTTTAGTGGTTATAATTGACCTCATGTATTGTTTCAATTAATTAATTTTTTTATGTAAGGTCTGGGTTCAGATGAAAAATGGCCAAAAGAGGGAAAACTTGAAAGGTTGTAGGTTGAAATGAGGAGTTGGTGTCTGAGTGGGACAAAGTCAAGTGGTCAGAGCAGTGGCGTGTTGAGGCGAAGTTTGTGGTATTGAATCCTGCTCATGTCACTAACTTTTTTATCTCAACCAAGACCTTAGATAAAAAGAATAATAGTTGAAATAAATATAACTTTTTTTAAATTTACAGCTATTCCAAAACCAGTCAAAAGCATGTGTAAGAACACATTCCCAATCTTCTGGAAAAAAGCTGCAACTTTGTGGATTTCCTGCAGTAAGAATTAAATATGATTGTTTTATTTTGTTAATCTTTTTTCTAGAAATCAATGCATATTTACTTCTTTTTTTTTTCTTTTTTTTTCAGATTCACAGTCTAAGAAGGTGGATTCACCATTAACTGTAAAGGTAGAATTGATAATTTTTCATAAGATTGTATTACCCCCTTGCACATCTGCCCAATGCCACGCAACGCGACCCTACTCTATGCTAAGCGATGCAATCAAGTTCCCCACTGTCCAAATTTTTGTTGAGTAGCATCGAGTACACTCAAAGAAAAAAGATCTAGGCACATATTTTTTGTAGTTTATTTCAAACTATCTGTTTTTTTGTCATTATATTAATTACAACATGCTTATTTAATGTAAATAAATTAAATGAGATCAAAAATTCATGAGTTTTTATAAAAATTATGATTTTATGTTGGTTTGGCAGAAAATTGATCTTAATGCTCGTAAAATTTTACTAACAATTTATTACATGGTTTTGCTCATAATAATGCATTAAGAGCAAAAGAGGCATTGCTATTGTGATACATGCTGTGTGACTGCACAGCGTGCACTTGATGTCGAACAGATGTGCACACCCTACCAAAACGAGACAAGGCGGGAGGTAGCATCAGGTCACGTCACGTTGCATTGCATTGGGTGTGTTCCCCGTTTAATATTTTCTTTCTGCTCCCTCTTCACACACCTACACTGTAGGTAGCAGTAAATGATATAACCAGTTTACCAGAAAAATTTGAGCATTTATTATTGTTTTAATAGTGTTAATCAATATTTCTCTTAATATACGAGGTTTAGGAATTTACATCACCATGAGAATAATGCACTATTTTATTAAGAGAAAAGGTTTTGAAAAGTTCACTGTAAATATAAAATATTTCTTTCTCGTGGCTTCAAAATCCATAAATTGTATGTGCTTCATCACCGAACCCTGGAAATAATGGAAATCGAAATAGACCAATCTATCAATATTCTTGATCTAAAAAAACTAGATCTATTAATAAATTAAATTTTAGCATGTTTAGAAAACCAACTCACACAGGCACTAAAACACGCCCAAGCTTCCCATCCAACATCTCACAAACTAGCTGCCTTTCATTCCATGATAGACAGATTTTACAGAGACCAAGTCAATCGCTAAAACCAGTGGATACATACAATAACCACCTAATAGACAAATTAATTTTTTTGGAAAGAATCTACCATGGCCAGAGACCTGATTTTTCCTAGTCCAAAAAATACATAACTCTTCCATACCTAGGCAAAATTTCAGAACAAAAATAAAACATTCTACATAGTACTCAATCCATTGCCTTTTACAACAGAAACAATTTGAGGACACACATTTTACATTCTAAAGATAAAATTAACCTTACGGGCAGAAATGGAGTATATAAATTAACATGTTCATGCGAAGCAGTTTACATCGACCCCACTTACAGGAAATTCCGACCACACAGCAAGAGTATTACTGGGAAAAATAATAAATCCATATTTGCTGAACACATCACACAAAATGCCCACACTTTTGAATACACGTCAGATATAACAATCCTCCATACTCCAAAATCACAATTATTACAAAACACTGAAAATTGCCAAAAGCAAAATAAGTAAATAAACCTATTGTGGAAAAGATAATTTATTTCCTGCCCATCATCTTATTATATATATTATCTGAAAAGACTTATTATATAAATTAACAAAAGAATTTATCCTCATATAAGAAAACATCCTATTTTTTCAATTGCTTTATACAATTTGTTTGTTCATAGGTTCCCAATCAGAAAAGAAAAACAAAATCTAAAGGTGAGTCACTTTTTTTTTAACGTCCCCTCTACACAATGGCCATTTATTGGCCTTTCACCATTGATTGGGATGATGGATTGGCGTGATGGTAGTGGTGAGGGGCATGACTTTGGGAGCAGTTTTTCCCAATCATCAAATGGAACAAACCTGCACAAACGAGTGGGCACAAGTTCCTACCCCGTGGGAACCCGCTCATCATTGACCAATGTGTGGATGGGCATACTTGGACTTGTCACCACTGATGGCGACTGCCATAGAGGCCATTGTGTAGAAGAGGCAGTATTAATGTGTACATTTTTAATCATATGGCTTTAAGGGGGGGATGCCATGGTGTCTGTCTTATATTGCAATCTAGAGGTTCTGGGTTCAAATCCTAGCAAAGCCCATAACATTTTATTAGAGAATAGTATGAAAAAGTATTGTAATGTCATTTGACCCCTCGTCCAACCAGACAGGTTAGAAGTGAAGCCCTCCTGCGTAACAGGAATTACATCACTTTTCTTATAAAAAAAAATTTTAATTTAAAAAATACATTTTCACCAAATTATCCTTACTATAAAATGACCCATGCCGAATACTGAATTATAGACATATTTACAAAGACCAAAATTATTAGAAGTAAACTATTTATTAATATTAGTAAATGTACTATTTAAAAAAATTAATGTTCTGTTTTTTGTCTTTTAGACCAACTGCAAAAAGAAAGAGAAGATAACCGAAGGTGTCTTCTTGATCAGTTGATGTCCAATGAGGACTCTTCGAGAAATGTAAGTTATTTCATAATTTTTCCAAAGTTCTTAAATGTTGAAAAGTTTAAACAGCCATTTTTATTTGTCTCGCCTTAATATACATTTATTTTAACAAATGTTAAATTAAATAGTTAGAAAAAATAACTATTTAGTGTGGCTTTGCTTTTTAAAAATTAAATTTATTGTAAAATAATTATTAAATTTATTACAATTTATTGATAACAAATTTTTTTTAAATATTTTTCAAGGGAATGACCCCCAGCTCTCTTTTAAACTCGGTGAAAAAAAAAAATATCCAAAAAGGCCAGTACACACCTCCGACAAAGATCATCAAAGAGGTGATAGATGTCTGTAAAGTTACGAGTGAACAGAAATCAGCAGTGAAAGAGCCAATCGAAAAGGACAGAAAAAAGTAAATACCATTCTTTGCATTTTCATGCTCATTATAATCATGATTTTAAAACTAACATGTCTCTAGAGAAAGAGGTCTAATTTTGCATTGTTTCAGGCACAATATTGTTGTTGAGAGGATGGCAAAAAATCTCAACGCTAAAAAAAGAATTGTAAAATCTGTTGAGAAACCTGTTTCAACGGCAACTGCAGCCGTCATGGAAATCCCTGTAAGAAATGAAGATAAAGATGACAGTTCCTGTTTCTCTAATATTAGTTCAATAGAATCAGAAAGTTGAACAGATATAATTTAAAACTTAATAATTTATTTTTAGAAATACAAAAAAAAAATGTTGCTTGCTAAATGCAGTTTTATTCATATAATTGTAACTGCGGCTTTTTTAATTCCATTAAAAGTTGGATGTAAAAAAAAAATTTAGTCTATGTGATATTTATAATAAAAATAAGTGAATTGTTATTTTAATTTTGTTATTGTTAAAAAGAATTGTAAAACCCGTTAAGAAACCTGTTTCAACCGCAAGTCCAGTCATCACGGAAATCCCAATAAGAAATGAAGATAAAGATGACAGTTCCTTTTTTTCTAATCTTAGTTCAATAGAATCAGAAAGTTGAACAGATGTAATTTAAAACAATAATTTATTTTTAGAAATACAAAAAAAACTGTTGCTTGCTAAATGCAGTTTTATTCATGTAACTGTGGCTTTTTTCATTTTATTAAAAATTGGATGTAAAAAAAATTTAGTCTATGTAATATTTATTATAAAAATAAAAGAATTGTTGTTATTTTAATTTTGTTATTGTATAAAAGAATTGTAAAACCCATTGAGAAACCCATTTCAACAGCAAGTCCAATTGCTATGAAAATCCCAATAAGAAATTAAGATAAAGAACAGTTTCTTCATCCCTGAGCTTAGTTGAATAGAGTTAGAAAGTTGAAAAGATGTAATATAAAACTTTATCATTTATTTTTAGAAGATACAAAAAAAAAATTGTTGCTGGCTATGTTTGGTTTTATTCATATAATTGTTCGTAACTGGCAGATTAATTACTTTTTTAATTCCATTGCAAGTTGGATAAAAAAAATTGAAATATATGTAATATTTATAATAAAAGTAATTGCTTTAATTTTATTGTAAAAAGTAATTGCAAAACCCATTGAGAAACCCGTTTCAACAGCAAGTCCAATATATATAAATTTTGAACAAAGTATTTCATTTCAATCAGTTCTGAAGATGACCTTGAATAAAGGTCATGTATGTACTACTAATCATATGTTAATCTAATTTAATTGATTTACTGTCTGGTCATTTCACTTAAAATAATAACATTTTTGTAAACAATAAATGTTTTGACAGTCGTATAGTGAAAAAACCTTCAAATAAATTTGTTTTTCTTTTCTAATTTATCCTAGATGAATGTATTGAGGGACAGCACCACAGTGGTGATCAGGGGAAGTGAGCATCAGCCTCTTAGTTAATCAAAGATCCTGCGGTCATGGGTTCAATTCCCCCTTTAGACCCTGGTATCTCTGATCTCTCAATGAAGTAAAAAAAAACTTATGTTCAACAATTATATGGGTCTTTGGTAAATAAGTAAAACAAAGCCATTAAAAAAAATTCTAACATAATATATATTTCTCTCTAAACTTTTCCTTATAACATTAAATAAATAAAATTAATCAATAACAATTAATTTATAAAGTTACTCTAGAGTATTGTTTTACAGTTTCCCTGAGCCATATTAGATGATAGGAAACGTTTGTCAGGACACTAAATAGGTTGGATTTTCCAGTTTTCAACGAGACGACACCATGCACAAAATGAATGTCTGCTCGGGTGAAAGTCATCCCTCCTCCGCTGTCACCAAACTGGGCTCCAGAACCTTAAATCGTTGGCAGATGAGCCAAGTTGTTTAAATTTAAATACACGTGCCACTCACCGTTTTGGTAGATAACACAGAACTTATCTGTGGTGATGAAGAGGGTGAATTCAGGGAATTTTTCCCAGCACTTTTGTTTCAACAAGTATGGCATATGGATCTCTTTAAGTTCATCACTGTATACCAATTCCTCAGTGAAACCCCAACCGACAATCTGAAATATTTATTACAGATTATTAGTTAAATAATTCCAAAAAATAATAAGTTTAATAATATATTTTGTAAGTTTTGATTGTCTTACTGTTCCTAATGCATTCAGGGAGTAAATGCCTTGTCTTTGCCAGTCAATACATGCTGGAAGAACAAAATCGTTTAATGCAAGAGTTTCAGCTAGATTAAGTACTGCAATATCATGCTCAAAACGAGATTTAAATCCTGCATAACTTTCTGGAATAATTATATCCCTAACCTATACTGGAAACAGAATATTAATATAAGAAATTATTTATTGGATCGCATGTACTCACTCCTGTTGTTTGCTGAGCTTCTTCGTGATCTTTTAAGTTCCTTTTGAATTTCCCTGCCGCTACTACTACTTCCGATGCGTTTATTACTTTGTTATTCTTGTCAACAAGACAGTGAGCAGCTAAAATTTGTTTACCTGATTAATTTGAACCGCTTGCAAAAAGAAACAATCAAAAAATTGTTGCTTAATTTAATTACCAGTTAAAACCAAATTTGGATGAATGATAGTACCACCACAAACATTGACATAACTGTCATTGTAACTGAATAGTTTGAAAACACCTACGTGCCAAGGGTACTTTCCGTATTTAGCTCTTTTGCCTCCTGATATGGTTAATTCTACAGAGTCCCTCTTGTTCACAATTCCACATTCTAAGCAAACAAAATACATTATATTTATTATTATGATTTTATATTGCATTTTCTTTTTACCAGGAATGCAAGTTGGTAGTGTCTCTTCCCATTGTCCAGAGATTGTACATTTTGTGGTACCAGTGAAAGCGAAATAGTCCTTACTTTTATAATAAGGCTGGCATTTATATTCAAGCTTTGTGCCAGGGCGGACGTAATCCAAACAGCTTACTATTTCACCTTTGTAAATGCAAGTGGTAAGGACGAATGCCTTTTGCACAGGTGGACACAATTCTATACATTGAACACAACTGTAACAACCTTCCTTAATAATCAAATTAATTAATAAGTACTTATGCATTCTGGGTCTTCGGGGAACCAGGATCCCGCATTGCAGATCACAGTTTGCTTCCTGCCTTCAAACGGTGAGGCGTATCCTTTACCGCAATTGACGATTAATTTTTCACTTTGCTGGACCAAAGATAGAGGCTTCAGCTCGCAATTTCCTCCAGTACATTCTTGAACAGTGTAGCTGACACCCCCCTTCTGATATGGCAAAATACAGGCACCCCTGATAAATTAAAACTTACATATCTATGTCTAACAAATGGCTCAGAAAATGAATATTAGATATAATGGTCACCTTATCTTGAAAGGAAAATTATTAGTTAAAATGGTTATTAATTAATTTACAGATATTTCAGTGCTCTCTCGGTTCAAACTAATCACTGCAGGGGGGGGGATATCGGAGCAGGTTAAAAAAATACATACATATGAACAAAGAATCCAACACAACACTTTATTAGATATATGTTGAATGTATGTATATATTTTTTTCTGTTAAAAAATCAGCTGTTTTTAATTTATTTAACAATTTCTTCATTGCTTCTTCCTCTTTTTGTCTAATTTGTAGAATACTATACCTAACACAAGAAAAATGATCTAACATTTCATTTTTTAGTAAAGAAGAGAAGTGAAGGTTTGACTGAATAAAAGATCATTTTTGATTCATTCAACTCTCACACACAACTAATTTGTATGTGATATATTTATAAGTAAGCTATCACCAGTTAATGTATCTGGTATTTCATTTCATATGTTCACCATATTATCACCAAACAGACGTGATAAATGACTGGGGGATGTATCACCCGAATGATTCCTCCAACTTATTAATGAATAACGTTATTAATTCTATGTACTATATACCTTCTCTACTTTTATTTAATTTTTATTTTATGCAGTATTTTAATAGTAACAGACTTAAAGTTACGCAGAATATTGTTTCTGAAAATAAAACTAGAATTGTGTCTAAATAATCATTAAACCTAGAATATTGTAAAGCCTGTTAGAAATTTTTAGTTACTCACTTTAGTTGTCCGTTTGAATCGAAAATATTCCCGCACTGCATGCTTGATTCATCTGAGCCATCGTCACAATCTGGGACCCCATTACATTTGTCCCTTTCATTTATGCATTTACCATCATTGCAAAGGAATCCGTTGCATCTAATTAGATACTTTGTTAAATAAATTGTGCATTTTTATTATTTTTGACCGAATACCTTTCCATAGCATCGATTAAAGCCATTTCATCCTGAATCCAATTTTTGTATTTTGTTATATTTGTCGCAAGGGAGAATTCATCAGCAACGTTTGCACTAAGAATGCCTTGTATGTAATTAACATTGTTGACATTAACAATCACTCCAGTACCACTATCCCCGTCTTTCCTCCCTGTTGTGAACAGACAAAAATAACGCTTGTGTTTTATAAACAATATATTGTAATGTAATAACCTTGACTGGTGATTATGCAGAATTTGTCATGGTTGATGAACCTTTTGTACCGAACTGAGGTGTACTGAGCAAGACACTCAATCGGGTTCTTGTACTGAAGAACGGCCTGCCTTAACGTATTGCTGTACTTTCCTTCTCTCTTCAAGCCCCAACCTGTCGCCTGAAAAGAATTAAACTGCCATTCTTAATTAGATATCCGTCCAATGTGGTTGTGCATTTATAATACTTACTTTGACAGTTTTCCAATCGACATTCTTCCCCACCTTGTTATTCCAAATAATACAAACTGGAGAAATAAACTCATTGAAGTCAAAATCGCTGGACAGACCGAGAAGAGCAATGTTGTTTGAATAGCTTTTAATATCGCCCAGATAAGCGCTATGAACTGTAATACTCAACACCTGCAGTGGTCAATAAAAATTTAATAATATCAAACGTAAAGTTCTTGATTATTATCTGAATACACTTACACTCTTTTCTTGTGCATTTCTGTCTGCCTCTTCCCAATAATAGGACAATTTTCCAGCGGCTACTTTAAACTCACTCGGCGGTAATGGTTTTAGCGCCTTATCATCAAAAACACAATTCGCAGCTGGAAAACAAATAGAGAAAAAAATTGACTTGTCCACCAAAAATAAAAATGCTATGCTATTACCTGTAATTATAGTGTGCTTTGAAATAATGCTACCACAGCAGATATTGCTGTATCCTGTTCCGTTAAATCTGTACACGCCGACATGCCACGGAGTTTCTCCAAAAATGGATCTTTGAATCCCGACGAAATCGCTGTGATAATTGTACTTTGACCTTCCACATTCTGATACAGAAGTTTCAATTAAAAAATAAATTTGCACAGAAATACTAAACCAACAAGACATAACAACATTTCAAGTTTAGCATACCTAAATAATTTTATTAATTATTAGTTAATAAAACATTTATCTAAATTATTGTAATCTTATTATTGAAAAATTGTAGTGCTACATCTAGGATCATGGAAATTTTTTATAGTCATATAATAAACAATGTTTTGACATCTACATCCCACAGCCATGAGATCATCCTATTATCGACCTTGAATCTCACTCTTCTGCGAATTTCCAATTAATAGTTTCAAGAGTTTTAAAAGATCATAAACATAATTCTTGATGTATGTAATCTGTGAGACATTAAAAAAAAATTGAATGTATGATAAAACAAGCAATACTACATTTCAATTGTACTCATTTATAAAATTATCTTATCGCTTATTTTAAACCAGAAATCCTGCATTAAAAGAAAATATCTCTACCAATCTGCATTATTATCTACATCAGCATGGGAAAAAACTGGCTTAAATTAATATTTAGATTGATTTTTTTATGAATGTTTTTTGGCTGTAATTAATTAGATTGCAATTTGTTTATCATATTTTATATTGAAGGTCAACTTTGTCAACAGTTAGTTGAAAATAACTTTTATGTGAAAAAAATAAAATAATTATTGCCTTTAATAAAATAATGAGTTTTAATTCTACATCCTAATTACCGGTAAAAAAAGAAATAAATATAAATAAAAATAAAATAAAATCTTAAAAACCTCATAAAAATTGTTTATGTAAAAACAAAAAACAAGGAAGAAAAAGAAAAATTTTAAATACTAATAAATAATTAATTATGTTGAATTAGACAGACAAAATGAATTATGCATACAAAATCTGTCACACATTTATATTGTTAATATTATATTTATCAATTCATGTATTACATTTTTTTGAGCTTACCGAATCTATTTCTGTATTCGACACCAGTTACTGTCGTCAGTTTGAAAACACCTGTATGATCGATGGAAACGGTTTAGATTCAATTTAAATAATTTAAATTAACATCCCAAAGTTAATATACCATTGGTCGTTTAAGTCGCATTTTTGTGTACTTACACGTGAATAGGATTAACTGGCAAAGCATGATAGACTGGAACCTGTTTTGAGCCAGTGGAGCTATGAAAAAAATCAAGTTGCCTGACCTTGAGAATCTGGCCGAATCCATACTTCCTCCTGGGGATTAGGGGATTACGTGCTGCCAGATACTGTTATTACGAATTTGTGAACAATTTAATGACCATAAACGAGAATATATCAGAAGATAATTAGATAGATAGTTTATCTGCTATATATTACTACGTTGTCAGATATAATATATATACACAGATGCGCAGATGAATTGATCAATGACTGACTTCTAGCGTCAAATAAATGCAGAAATAAATAGGTAGAAAAATATTGAAATAAATATCAAACAAACCACACAAGTTAAATTTTTATATACAGCATATAATGTATAATATAAACAGATGAAGAGTATTAAAATAAATAAAGAAAGAAATCTGGTGTTGTTTGTTTTTTTGGACATTTTAAGCTATTGGCACATCAGCAGACCAAGGGCTAATTCGTGCTTAGGACACAAAAACCAACAGGCATTCCTTTCAACAAATTTTAATTAAGGTATTATGTCATTCTTCCAGAACTGAAAGAAATCTGGTCTATAATTACATGAATAAAAAAAGAAATCCTGCATATCAATTTTTTTGGACTATGAATTTTAATCTAACTAAATGATAATTAATCAAATTGTTTGATTTTGGGTTTATTTATTGCATTGCTGTTTATTTTTACACTTTATTTATTATGTTTTTATATAATTATAGATATTATCTGCGAAAATATAGTCAAAATGCTTGGAAATATTAAATACTTTTATTTTGTCCTTTGTAGTTGACACGAGATATTATTATAGAGTACTTCAAAAGTCTTTATACTTTCTTCCAGTACCCAAAAACTCCTCCATCACAATGAGCCTTTTATGTGGAAAAATGGCTAGTGTCATCACCGTTTTTATTTACCTTCATTTATTTATTTATTGAGTGGCCAACTGGAATAAATGAAATATGTTTCTTGGTCCATCTTTGTTTCATTGACGCGATGGTGACTAGTAGTTCTGTCAAAAAACTCAAGGATTTTCTGCACGTGTGGGTACCGCACGGAAAAAAAGGCGCAATGAAGAAAATAACGGCATCATCCTTTGTAGATGGTTAAATGCTGAAAAGGTAAAATCAAAGGATGATCATAGACAGTCTAGCTATGAACTATATTGATGATTATGATTGCAACACGGCAACTGAAAGTAATAAAATAGAGTAAAACAATAACACTATTACAAATGTTACAGTTTGAATTTTAAAAAAAGTTAACACTACAATTTTATAAATAACATTTATTTTAGAAATAACACATATATATATCAACTATATTACAATTTGGACACCAATATTTTTCCTTCTTAAAAATATTATTAAAACCTATAACAAACAAGTGGTAGTTCACCCCGGTGTTTAAAACAAAAAGAAATACATCCTGATTGAAAAATAAGGCAAACATGACAGAATGTATTATAGGTGACAGATTTGTACTTAATTTTCTGCACCAAAGGTTTGAAATTTGATAGTAGTGTTGGCGCAAATGTTACAAAGTTCAAACATCAAGGTGCTTTGGACCCTTAGATAAAAGATTTTTTTTTTATTAACTTCCTCTTTTGGCACCTACGCCTGTATATTATTTTATTTATTTATTGCATCAATATTAATATCCACTCTTTTAGCAGTTGGTGCCTGTCTGGATTTGGTATCCTTCAACTATCCATGTCTTTTGGTTATGCTTTACATAAAAGCTGGATGTAATTGTGTTTTAAACTAACATTTTGGACCATTGTGTTCTCTATATTTTTTGTTTTTTAACCATATCTGTTGTCATTCTGTTTAAAGCGTAATTGAAGGTCTATCAAAACCAATAATTTAAAAAAATCCATAACTAAAACATTTTTCATAATTAAATTTACAATAATTGTATCTAGAAAGCTGAACTACAACTACAAGATACATTTGGATATTTGGCTGACCCTTTTTGAAGAGGAACTACATAGCAGTATTTTAAAAGGAAGATTATTTATAATGTTTAAAAAAATCAATTTAAAAGAAAAATTGACCATTTTGTTGTCAAATGATATAGGTTTGTTAATAACCTTCCTTGAATAAAAATTGACAATATTACATTAAGAATAACCAAGTAGAAAAATATAACGTAACTCTTATAGTTAAATTTATTTGTACATCAATAATTAAAAAAATATGTATTCAAAGTAATACTAAAAATACATATATATTTTTAACTTACATTTTTTCAATTTGACATAAGTATATTTAAATTAATAAGTTAAACTTTTTTTTTGTAATGTTACAAACTACACAATTAACCATGCGTTGTATCGTCTTCGACGAAATCATAAGCCTCTTCTCTCGTTACGCATTCAACGTGACTCACCTGGAAATGGTTTTCGTTGTGAATATTTTTTATTGAATTTTTTTCCCAACAATCTTTCGTCAATTACCTTATTTCTGAACTTGACACCGTAGAACTTGTTCGCGTGCTGAAGAAGCTCAGGCCTGAAAGTGGTCGTAATGAATTGTGCGTCCTCGGACATTTTGTGGATCATGTCAGCAACGGCTTTTCTATGTTGGGCATCCAAGGCCTGAAAATCAAGATACAAAAATATATATATAAAATTGTAATTTTTGACATCACAATTCAACAGAATGAACTTTTAAAATATGACAAAGTACTGAGGCTTATCTACAATACAAAACAATATAATAGACAGTCCATGAAGATCAACACAATTTTACAATTAAAAAGTACTTGTTGACTTTGGAAGAGCCCTAGACTGCTAAAATAAAAAATAAAAAAAACCCTATAACAGATCCTAGCTAACTTTCCAACAGCAAAGCATAAATAATTTTAGTATAAATTTTCATGTTTTAAAAGACAACTGCCACTACTTTTGCCTTATGAGAACTAGACGAACTAATAAATAAGTGGAGGTTCTCATCATTTATTCATCAAATTCAGTTTGTTAATTCTCACTAATAATTAAGAACATTTTATCAAGGGAACCGTAATGTCTGAGTAGTAGGGCCCACTCGTATTTGTCACACCAGTTGTTGTGGGTTTGAATCCCGGCAGAGCCCATGGCTTTTAAGTATACAGTATGAAAAATGTACTATAAAGTGGTTCCCCTTGTCCACGACGCTCACTGGATAGTTGGGAGATAAGCCCTCCTGAATGACAGTAATTACTTTACTTTCTATTGTTTTGTCATTGCCTTTGGTTATATTTTATATTTTGCAGAACAGTTTGTTTTGAAACAAAATTGTTACCCTGTGGTACATTTAGACTTTTAGTATTTTTTTTAAATTTTATTTATTTTTATTTTTTTAAATAGAAGTTTGCAACAGCAGAGGTCATATCAACTATCAAGGTGCTGGTGTTTTTGGAAAAAAAAATTTGAATGCAGGGAAAAGCTGGATGTGATGAGTGTTGTGTCAGTAGTGATAATTAGTTTCCATAATTGTCATAAATTGTGTTTCGTTTTAATAATATAATAAGGTGGGTTCTGAAGGGTCAATGTGAAGTTTTTGATAATTATTTACCTGGTCAATTTCATCAAAGAGATAGAAAGGTGCAGGATCGCATTTCTGTATTGCAAAAATAAGCGCCAGTGCTACCAGCGACTTCTGACCTCCCGAAAGCTGGTTCATTTCCCTCATTTCGCCGTGGCCGTTGAATGAAACCCTAATCATAACGCCAGAAAATTGGTCCGAATCGAGTTCCTGCAATTGGAAATAAACAGGTGAGATATATATCTTTGTCCCAGTCTATCTTGTTCTTACAGGATTATGTTCAAGATGTTCATCACCATCTGTTGTCTTCATAACTAACTGCGCATGCCCTCCTGGTACAAGTTCTTTGAAAACTTGTGAAAAAAACATTGAAACCTGTTTAAACATGAATTGAATCGCTTCGCATTTCCTCTGTTCCAAAACCACCATAAGCTCTTTAATTTTTTCATCACTGTAAAAATATCAGTAAATAGTTTTTTAAATTTTGAATTTGTATGCCTTTAAACCCACCCTCTGTCAAGCTCTTCTTTTCTTTTCATGAGTTTCTCCTTCTGATCAGAAAAGCTCATAAATTGGTCCAAAGCTTTCTTATTTACATGACTGTACTTCTTCAAATGGCTATTCGCCTTTTCAAGCTCTTTGAACAGCTGAAACGTCAAAGAAAATTAATAAACATCATTACAAATCTGGGAAATGTTTTTGTAATACGTTTTTGGTCGTGTACGACATGTATTTGTTGACCATGTCGGGAGATGGCATGGAGCCCAATTCTTGAATCTTTGTCGTGCATTCTTGGATTTTGGTTTGAAGCATCTGCTGCTTGGAAGTGACTTTGCTTAAGTCTTTGGTGTCTGAGTCTCTCTTTTCCTGTGCTTCTTTCTCCTTCAGCCTCCACTTTTCAACTTCTTCATGTTCAGCTTTTTGCTGTGTAAAAAAAATAAAATAAAAAATTGTGAACTTCAAATCAAGAATGAATACAATAAACTGAACATACCCTTTTTACAGTTTCTTGAACTTTCTTTTCACACTGTTTAAAGTCTTTGTTAAGCTTTTCCAATCGTTTTTCAATACCGTTCAGTTCAAGGCGGCTGTTGTCCAATGTCCGTTTTCTCTCCTCAACTGATATTTCTTGCAAAGCCTTGTCAATTGAACAAAATACAATTCAATAAAATGAAAATCATGAATAAAAAATCTAAAAAACAGATGAAAACCTACCTGGATAAGTTCATCCTTTCGCCTGATGAGATTGTTAGTCAGCAGGTTCTCAAGTTTGTTCTTATCGGCTTCAAGTTTCATCCTTGTGCTGAACGCTGCCTTGTTCTCTTGGGTCAACCTCCTGATGTCGTCGTTCAGCCTGTCCATATCACGCTGATCGGCCGCAGAGAGCTGTTCGAGCAAATCCTGGTGCAACTCAGATTCCAACCCCTGCTTAGTGCTCTGCATCGCTTCAAGATTGGAGATACACTGTGCCAAAGATCTTTCCTTTGGTGTCTTGTACCTTTCGATACTTGATAGTTCTTCTTTCATCAGTCTAATATCGCCTTTCAACTTGTCAAAATACCCTCTGTGACAAAACATACAAATGAATTTATTTTCAAATTTTGTTTCATTGTGATTAAAAACAAAATTATTACTTAGCCTTGCTGTTTTTGGTTTCTGTTCTTTGCATGTCTGAGACAATTTGGGTTATGTTTGTCTCAGTAGCACTCAGCTGTTCTCGGAGCTGGACAAGCTCCGTTTCTGCATCACGGATCTGTGCCATCAGCTCTGTCCGATTTTTTTGTATTTCTAGTTTCGACCTGATATTTTTGAAGTAGCCACCTGTGAGTGTACCTTTCGATGATACCTGATCCCCGTCGATGGTTATGCAGTCAAGGTTGTACTGCTTTGACATATCTGTGGCCACCTCTAGGTTACGACAAATAAGCGTCTTGCCAAATATGTATCTCATCGCCTTGTCAAATTTAGGGTCGTATGTCAATTTGCTTACCATAGCAATCGCATTCTAAAATTAGCAAAATTTAAAAATTATGCCAAAAGGGCAAAACAAGAAATTATTTACCTCCGATGAAGGATATCTTTGGTCTTTAACATGCAAACGATTTCTCGGCATAAATGTAACCTCCCCGGGAAGATTCTGCCTGTTGATTTCTTTTAAAATTTGAGTACCGACACTGTCTGACTCTACAATATGATAAAACAGCCTGAAAAATAATTTAAATTAAATAAAAATATCTCTTTTAATTGTTGCTTTTTACATTCTTTTCGTCAATTCTAAAAATGGAGAACATACAACACAAAGAACGCATAAAAAAAGCTTAAAATTTGTACGATTTACCTATTTCCAGCTGTGACTTCAACTGCAGTGTGGATGCTTGTGTCACAATCGAAGTTTTCAATGACCTGACCAAAATAGCTATCAGCTAGGTCTTTGTAAGTTCCGCCCCTTTGCCTGAACGTCTCTAACACCTTCCTTACGCTGTCTCGACCATTTAAAATCGGCTGAAACATTTAAACTTGCAATGAAACTGCACTTATGTTGTACAATTAAAATAAATTACTTTTCCAGCCATGCTTCGCAATGATTGATCAGCCTTGGCAAGCTCCTCTTTGAGCGATGTCATTGTATGCTGGAGCTGGTTTTCTTTCCTCCATAATTCACTATATAAAAATAAATAAATAAAACAAATACAGATAATAAAAACATAAAAAAGCTTATTTTTAATCTTAAAAGTCAATCATACTTTCTTGAACTTTGATACTGGTCTTTGCTCTTCTTTTGCTCATAGTGCTGCTTGTTGTATTCATCAATTGCTGTTCTTTGCTGTTCAAGTTCAGCTGTTTGTTCCTAAAAGAAATAAAATTGTCATGTTTGCTAAATTTAAACAAAAAAAACCTTGTATACAATGTCATTTTATAGTATACTGTTTTAAACTTAAGTACACAAATTGAATAATAAATACAATAATGTTTGTTTGTAAAATACACTTACTGTAATCTTTTTCTCTAGTTGTATTTGTTTTTCAGCGTCTTTTTTCAAATCTTCAGCTAGTCGTTCTTTGTGCTCAGTTTTGTCTTTGATTTGTTTATTCAAAGACCTAGTTAAATTTAACATTAAGAATTATTTAAAAAAATGTAAAAATCGATAAAAATTATAGCACATACTTTAATTCCTTCTCGATCCATTGATCTCTGTCGCCTCTGTTAGTAAACTGATTCCCTCTTCCTTGCTTGGCATAAAGTTCTTTCCGTTTTTGCTCTTTTAACGCTAGCCTGAAACAGAGCAATTTATAACCATTCAGCTGCAATTTTTTTAAAAATTTTATTTCACTTACTCCCTAGTACATTCCTCTTCCCTTTTCTTTTGAGCCTCATAGCGAGGCTTGAGTTCTTCAAGTTCAGCCTCTCTTTGAGCAATCGTTTCATTCAATTTTACCAATTCTTGCTCTGCACGATGCTGGAAAAGAAGAAGAAAAAATTAATCAAGTGATTAAAATAAACATTTATAGAGTGACTTACCTTACTCTTGTCATCTCCTTGCACTTCATCGGTCAAGTCTTTAATTGTGAGTTCTAACTTTGTTTTATCCTTTAATAGTTGTTGCTGCTCTACGCTCAAAGTTTCTCTTTCTTCTTTGGCCACCTGCACTTCTTTCTTTGTCTCTTTTAACTTTTTTGTCGCAGCTTTCGCATTGTCTTGGGCGGTTTTCAATTCACCAGCTAACTTTTTTTGCACCTCATCATAATTGTTCATCCTCGTTTCTAGCTGTAAAAATAAAATATTTTAAATTTATTGTAAACAAGAGAGTTAACTCTGATTGTTTATACTTCATCAAGCTTCTTTTTTGTTTCTTTTAATTCTCTGTCGTGAATGCAGTACTCAAGAGACCGCCTCATCTTGTCCCACTTCTGGTATTCTTTCAACTCTTCCTTCTCCTCCTCGAGCGTCTTCAGCCGCTCTTCAATTGTCCTTAAAAACTCGTCTATTTTGTCCAACTTCCCTTCAGTCTCTGTGAAATTAAACAATAAAATTAAGATTGCATGCTAGATGAGAAACATTTTCAAAAGAAAAGTCAAATAAAAAAAAAAAAAAATTGCCTTTAAGAATTGCTGTCGACTCTTCTTTACGTTCATCGTAGACGCGTGTCCCCGCCACTTCTCTTAGGAGTTTAAGACGATGAGAGTCAGGAGCTGTTGCAATTTGATTAATCTTCGGAAACAATTAACGCTCTTAATTATACAATACATAAATAAATAAATTATTAATCACTATTTACCTTCCCCTGCTTGACAATATAATAAGGATTAGACCTTGAAAACCCAGCAGACTCCAGTAGGTTCATAACATCAGAACGTGGAACCATTTTTTTGTTTAAAAAGTATTGATCTTTTTTCGCGCCAATCACTCTTCTCAAGACGATCTCTTCTTTTTCAATCTGAAATAAATTTAATGTTACAATCTTATACAGAACAACTCTAGCGTATAAAAAAAACCTTACAGGCAATCTGTTGTCAGTGTTGTCGAAAATTATTTCAACGTAGGCGGTTACCACTCTTGGACCCGTTCCTTCATGAAGCAAAGCTTGGCGCTGTTCAGGCCTCAGATGTGAAAACTCATCGCTCAACACAAACTGGATTGCTAAAAAAGGTGTTTATTTTTAAATAATCAATATGTAATATTTCTGTGTCATTCTGTTGCTTTTTATAATTACCATAGAAGAAATTACTCTTCCCTGATCCATTTCGACCAACTGTAACAGAATTTTTTTTAAATTTCTAAATCGGATAAAGTTTAAATTTAAAATCGCTAAGAATACTAATGCTTAATTGAAACTATACTTTTATAAAGAAAAATTTTCTCCCTGGCAGAAGTCTAAGAAGACAAATTTAAAAAACATTTATATTTTACATGTATTTATAGAATTATTTAAGGAAGTTAAAGAAATGTAAATAGTTTAAAAGCAGCAAAGGGAAACCCTGTCATCCATCTTATTTGATTTAGCACTGAATTATACCTTTATGAATATAAGGACTAATCCTAGTAATCCTAATACGCTGTGCTTGGCCTTTTCAGCTAAGTCTCAAAAAGATTATAGCAAGGGGAGCCCTACGATCATTTTATTTGATTTAGCACTGCAAAATACCTTTAACTGCCTAGTTTATTCAACTATGTTGCCTGGTTGACTCTCAACTAGGTAACTGCCATGAGAAAGACTTTCCTTGGCTGATTTCACATCTTAGAACTTTTGGAATCAACTTCTCGTCCCAACTGTAGGTCAGCACAATGTTAGGACCAGAGAAAGCAAAGCACTTCTTGTCCTTGCTCCTCTGCAAGAAAAGAAGCAAAAAAGGAGGAAACCCAGTTGAAGAAAAGTGTGGGTTCATCTGTTATTACGAAATCAGGAAACTGTTCCATGTTGAATCATGCAATGAAAATGCTTTCTATGAAAACAAGTACAATATTTTATGCTCTGATGGTCGCATACATTTATGGAGAAAATCAGATACTGCATTTAAAAATTAATGTCAGAACAACAATGAAACATGTGGAGGGAGCATTTTAGTTTAGTTATTGCCACCAAAAATTAATAGCTGGATGCTAGTTTTTAAATAAATTTAGTATTGAACGCTTAACATTTACATTTTTGAGATTTAAGAAAAAAGTGGGTGCCCAATACTTTTTTGACCCTTGAAATTCATACTCTTATTTATTATTTTTATGTTATTTTTATTTCACTCGATTTATTGCCACCAAAAATGAATAGCTGAATGCTAGTTTTTACATAAATTTAGTATCAAACATAGTTGTCACAATAGCTCATGTGGTTTGAGCAGCGGCGTATTGAGCTAAAGGTCGTGGGTTTGAATCCAGCTCGTGACACTAACTTTTTCATTTTAATCAAGACTTTAGAGAAGAAGAATTAATTTAAATAATTAAATAGGTCAATTATGACCACTAAACATATATGGATAAGTAGTATCAAATGATTAACCTTTATATTTTTGAAATTTAAGAAAAACTTGTGTGTGCCAATACTTTTTTGACCCCTGTACTTTCGGTTGAATAAACCACTGAACAACACTTCAAAGTTCTTCGATGAATGCCACTTGGTCCACAAAACTTTTGTGATTGATTGAAAAAATCAATCAAGGGATGATATGTTTGTGGCAAAAATCAGGCCGAGTAAAATTGCGGAGATGAAAAGATAGATTTAAACAAATGAGTAAGGTGAATGGAAATACTTACCGACAACATTGTGCCGTCGGTGAAACGGTTCGACGATTGTCTGCTCCCTGTAGGATTTAAATCCGTGGATAATGACCTGATAATTATATTAAACAGTTAATAAATTTAAAAAAAGGGTACAAAAGCGTTTTGGGCGTTGTAAATAAATCGAGCATTAAAACCGCCAATTACCTGTTTAATAAACATTGCAAATCGACCTGGTCCAGAATCGTGCAAGGATCTGCAACTGGGGAAAAGTTGGTGGTCTCAGATTTACGAGACCGGGGCCGTTCTGAAATAACAGCTCCGTTGAATTTCTCACCGCTGGAAAATCGGTTTTCCTCCTGTTTTGATGGAATCATGAAAATCATAAACAGCAAGAACGCCAAAATATACGAGGTTATTGAAATGTAGTTTCAACGGTCTCCAGCAGGACGACTTAGTTTCTAGCGGGACCGTTTGAATTAAGAAAATTTCACATCCAACCAGGATTTCAACATTTTTTTTAATTTTTTTTTTTATAGTGATTGTATGCTAGAATATCCAGAAACAGCCTACAACAGAAAGCCAGAAAAACAAGCCTAGATCCATGAAGTAGAACTGTGTGCACAAGAAATACTTACAAAATTATTAAAAGATATTCTTAGACAGCCAAGCAGCACCAAAGACCTTAAACTTTACTTTCTATTTAAAGGTAGCCTGGGAATGCTTAATCAACATATCACCACCAAACTGTTACAGTTCCTAGACTACATAATGCAATCATTTGCAGCATGGTGTCAAGTATAAATAAAAGAAATCAAAATTCATGCAAGTAAAGTACTGAACCGGCATTAGGTAACTTATTGGTTCGTGTTCACACATGGTTCAAGTTCTCAAATTTGTTTTAGTATTGTGCCATATTCAGTGAGGAACTGTCTGTCTTGCCCATATGCCCTGGGCTGCTATTGGGTCTATCAGTTGTTGCTGAGTGGGATTAAAGTTTAATGAGTTTTGCTAACAAATCATTTTGGTCTCAATTTAATAATTATCCTATGCATTCTCAAGCATCGAAGTATTGTATTTTTTCTTGGTCATTTTTGTCCATGTGGGGCACCGGTGATCAGATGTCGACATGGTGACTCACTGTAAGAGTCTTGGGTTTGAAAACCCTTGTCTTTTTTAATTTACTTTCAGTTCAAGTAGTTTGCTTTCCTTGTGAACTCTTTGAAAGGCTTAGACTTTAAAAGCCAAGCACAGCATATTAGAATTACTAGGATTATCCATAAAGGTATTTTACAATTGATCAGCCTTCTCAGTCTAAATATTTTTTTTTCCTTTCCAAAAGGTAGATTGGGGATGAGGCCAGGAAGACAGAAACAACATTTATTTTCTTGTCGAGCTTTCGGCAGAATATATCGCCTTCATCAGGACTTCGAAAAAAATCGTTATACTATATGAACAGGTACATGTGTGGATAACAGATAGCCTATTCGGATAGGCTTCAGGGAGTAAGTTTTTCTTCCTTTTATTGGTTTGGTTAACAAATATACATTTTAAATTAAGCATTAATAATAATAAAAAATGGTAAAACAGGTAAAAGTTCCTCACTGAACTTACATTTTTCAATATATGTGAAGAGTGTTGTGTTACTATTAAAAATTCTTTTTTCCCCATTTTTAATCGAAAAATCTGCAAGTCGAATTTATTCTGCAGTTAAAAGATGTCATTTCAAAAGAAAGATTTTTCAAATGTGTGGTGTTTAGTGACCTTTACTTGATTATTATTTGGAGGTCGTGAGATGTGGTCTGGTGTGATGTAGCTTTTAGAAAAACATTTTCTTTGTCGTGCCAACGTTTCGATCTTTACTGAGATTATCTTCAGGGCCTGGGATTTATAAACATTGTTTAAATTTTACAAATACCTGTAGAATATTTTTTTTAATCTAAAATTTTCTAGCATTGTATAAATTCATTTTTTTCACATCCTAAATGTATTTGTAAAATTTAAACAATGTTTATAAATCCCAGACTCTGAAGATGATCTCAATAAAGATAGAAATGTTGGCACGATAAATTTTTTTTTCTAAGCGTTCATCACACCAGACCGCATCCCATGACCTCCAAACAATCATTTTTTCAAATCTTACTCAAGCCAAGTCACGTTTTCAGACCGAAGCTGCTTTACAAAATTTAAGTAGTTGGCTTTTATTCTATTTTACATTTGACTCACTTTAGGCTTCAGGTTGAGTTTCCTACCATAGAAATAAATAAAAGAGTTTAACATTTGCATCGCCTGGAAAAAATTAATTATTTGGAATCCACACCAATAAAACAAAAAGAACTAAACAGTTGAGATTAAATCTTGGTAGATGATCTGAACTTAAGTTATGATGGATAGTGAGTCAGTGTAGGGCATGATTTTTTTTTTTTTTTGATCCATGGTAAAGATCACTAGGACATTGTGGATGTTCAAGAATGTCCAAGAATAACCATAGGAACTTAATTTTCAACAGTCTTAAGCCTTGTGACCTATGTACAATTTCTCAGTGTCTTTTTTTTACGAATGCAAAAGGACATTTCAAATTCTTTGAAGTAAAGAATTGAAAGGTAAAGAAAAGAAATGCCCAGATTACAGATTGGAAATTTTGCATTATATCAAAGAAATTAGTAGATTATAAAATCTGTAAGTTAAAAAAAATTAAATTTGTAAACAACCAGAAGCAGTTGAATGTCAAGCAAAAGACATTCTTAAAAGAAATCAAAATTCATGCAAGTAAAGTAATTCCTGTCATACAGGCTTAACATCCAACTTCCCAATGGGTGGAATGTACAGAGTCAAACCACTTTACAATTACGATTAATTAAGGTGTCTTCGGCCGGGTTCGAATCCCGCTTGTGCCATTGACTTTTTTATCTCAACTGAAAACCTTAATTAATTGGTCAAGCGGACCACGAAACTAGTGAATTGAACCACTTTACAATATTCTCCCATATTATTCACAATTAAAAATCCATGGGCTATGCCGGATTTGAACCAAAAACCTCTTGCATGACTAATACAAGTCGCACGCCTTAAACACTTGGCCACTGCAGACCCCTTGATAGATATCCATGTGGGCTAGTCTTAACTTAGAAATCAAGTGGCTAAAATTGTGCATTGTGAATTTTGTTTGAACAGTTTTTCTCTGATGTAGTGTTTTTTTGTATTGTCTAATTTATTCTATTTTTTTTTTATATGGGGATTTGCAACAACGGAAGTTTTATCAGCCACCGGGATGCTGGTGTTAAAAAAAATGTGTGTGGGTAGTCCTGAATTTGAACGCAGGAACTTTACCTACAGTAATGAACTGCTTTAATCATTGCAGCCAACGTCAACAATATTCTACTATAATTTTTTATATACAAATATTTATAATATTATATTTATTTAAATTAATATTATTTAAAATTATCATAGGAAGGAAAGAAAATTCAATTGCTAAAGAAGGACTTAATACAAAAACAATATTTGCAAAGAAAAAAAAAAAGGACAACTGGTTTAAAACTACATATAATTGAAATTAAACATAAAAGTAGATTTTGATTTTATAAAAATTTGAAAAAAAAGAACATAAAAATGAAAAATTGTTCTGGTAGAAAATGTATTTATAAACTTGTACAACTATACAAATGTCAAACAAGAGATCAATAATGTGTGCAATAAGTATAAGAAATGAATACATATGTAGAGTTAAAATGTTAAACAAAAAAGAAAAGAAAAAAGAGAGAGAGAGAGAGAGAGAGAGAGAGAGAGAGAGAGAGAGAGAGAGAGAGAGAGAGAGAGAGAGAGAGAGAGAGAGAGAACGAAAACGACGCAAGCAATTGTAAACAGGTAGAATGATAAAGCCAAATGATGGCCAAACTACTGACAGGTGAGCATGATGTTCTTGTTTTGTGTAAAATAAATAATTTTAATTGTATAGAAATTTTGGAATAACCTGAAATGCATTAAAAACAATTACTGGAATATTTTGAATTAACCAACACCATTGTCATTAAATATCATATTATTAAATTAAATAACAAACAAATATTTACACAATAAGTTAACATCATTACTTTCTACATTTAAATATTAAACAATCTAACATAAATTTAACAAAAATACATGCAACAAAGATGTCAATATTAATTTCATCAACTCCATCATGTCAGTTTTCGTGGCTGTCTGTTTCGTCAAACTGATTTCCATCAGGCAGCTGTAATCGGGTGCAACATAGTGGCATCCGTTACTTTGTTCCAGGATTGTTCGTACTGTTGCAAATACCCTAAGAAAATGGCTCCTCACCGGTGTGAATGAGCATGTGATTATCGAGGCTGGTTTGGTGGGCGCATCTGTACTCGCATGTACTGCAAGAATAAGGGGTTTCTCTGACGTGAATCAACATGTGGCTTTTCAGGTTCGACTGCTGAGAACATCTGTATTCACAAAACCCACAGGAAAAACACTCCTCGTCTGAGTGGATGAGCATGTGACTCTTCAGCGCATTAGATACGGAGCATCTAAAGTCACAAAGAGTGCAGGAAAAAGGCTCATCGCGTATGTGAGTCAAAAGGTGATTTTTCAAATTGCGCTGATGTGAAGATCTGTAATCGCAGTGATCACAAGAGAAAGGCTTATCCGCTTTGTGCAATAACATATGGCTCTTGAGATTGCTTCGATCGTTACATTTATAGTCACAAAGACTACAAGATAAAATTTTATCTTCTGTGTGTTCTTTAATATGCTTCTTGAGTTTCGCTTGGGTGGTACAACTGTAAGAGCAGAGATGACATGAGAAAGGTGTTTCGCACGTATGGATGAGCATATGGGACTTCAGGGTCCGTTTAGTGCTGCATCTGTATTCACAAAGATTGCATGAAAACCTCTTAACTCCCAAGTGACTGTGCATATGTTGCTTTAAACTAGACTGGTAAGAACACTTATAATCACATATGCAGCAGGAATAAGGCTTCTCGCCTGTATGAGAGAGGGTATGACTTTTCAGACTGGAGAGATAAGAACATTTATAATCACAAAAATTACACGCAAACGGTTTTTCCCCTGTATGTATCATAATGTGTCTCTTTAGATTTGACTGTGTAGCACACCTGTAATCACAAAAACTGCACGAAAAAGGCTTTTCTCCTGTGTGGATTGACATATGTCTCTTTAAATTGGATTGTTCAGAACAGTTGTAGTCGCAAAGTTCACAAGAATAAGGCTTCTCTCCCGTGTGCACAGACATGTGTCTCTTCATGTTTCGTTTGTCGCTGCAGTTAAACCCGCAAAGTTGGCACGAGTACGGCTTCATTCCTGAGTGTTTCAGCATGTGTCGTTTCAGATGCCACTGAGTCGTTCCGCTATAATCGCAATATTTACACGTGAAAATTTTCGGAGGCTTTCCTTCTATGTGCGACAGAATGTGCGTCCTGAGATTCTTCTTCTGGCTACAGCTGACATTGCAATGGTAACAATAATAGCGTACTTCTGATTGGACGGGCGCATCTTGTGACTCGACGCCATTGCTCGGTTTATAATCAAAATCGCACTCGACACAATCTAACACAGTATTCCATTCCCCTAATGAAGAAGTACTGCATGCCGTTTGTTCCTCCATTTCTAAAAAAAAATCAGTCTTTTTGTGACTGACAAAGCCTGCAAAATAATTATGACATTACAAACAATTAAAGGAAAATATGTGACAAAAAGGTAAATACTTTTAGAAAATTAGCAGTTTTCATTTTTTTTACTGCTTCAGTTAAATATATTGATATTTATTTATTTTTAACGAGGGTTGACCGCTGCAGAGGTTATATCAACCCCCCAGGGTTCCGGTGTTTTTCCACCGAAAAAAGCCCTTTTTGGAAGTACTTTGGACTTGAACCTGGCACCCTCACAGTGATGAGGCCGTATCAAACTGTCAACACTTTAAACTGTTACAGTCACAGTCAACAATCACTTAAAAGCCTATGAAAGGCAATTCAAAAAATTAAAAAAAAAAAAAAAACAAGGAAAAGAGAGTTTTCTTATAATAATTGGTTTGCCACACTCACCCTTTTTAATTAGGGAAATAAGGTGGCCATAGATTCTAAAGAAAACTAATGGTGAAGAACAGGGAGGCTCATTCTCGTATATAAAAGCCGAATTGACAACGAAAACAAACCCATTCGATCCTGAGATGGGTGGATCGATCATCACCATCATTGCTTTAAATTCTAGGAGTAAGAAATAAAGGATTGTACGTCTTTTTAAAATTGAAATTATTTTTATTTCGCCGGATAAACGAGCACTCTGAGATTCAACTTATTGAACCTGGATAAATCAATTGAAATTGTGTTTTTTTTTATCCGATCCTTCATGATCGATCCATTAATATTGTCTTTGTACATGATATGAAGGGATGATATGATATGATGCTTCCTTCGCTGGTTAAAGGCCAGTCTTACCGACAAACACAATACGCTTAAATTAATATCCTCAATAATTATGTGAATTCTCGCATAACTGAGCATATTTTAAGTAAATATATTGGAATCTGATCTACACTCTGAATTCAGGCCATCTATCAATCTTTTCTTTGCCAGATTTATTTATTTAACCGGCAACAAGCCTTTTTACATAATACATAATAATTGTATTTATTAATAATAATTATAAATTAATCAAAATAAAATAATAATAAATATTAATAATAATAATTTTATTTATTTAAATAAAATTAATAAACCATGCTTATAATGCAAAATATATATAGAATAACAGTAATAACCAAATACAATGATAATAAAATAAGTAATTTAATATTAATATAATAACTAAAATAACAATATAATATATATATCTATCGATCTAGTTCTGTGACTGACTGACAGACAACGCACAGACTAAACCGCTGGATCTAAAGGGCTGAAATTTCGACAGTGCATTCCTATAATGACATGGATAGCCACTAAAAAATTTTTTTGAAATTCCACCTTAGAGGATCTTATGGATGATTTTTTACCATGTATAGACTGGAGTGCACTGAAGATGAGAAAAATTTGAGAAACGAGACATTAAATTAGAAAGCCATACTAGCACTCTGCATCACATTAGAAAGGTTCATTAAAAGAGTCCCGCATGAATGAAGTTGCTGGCATAAGCTAGTGTGTAATAAATAGAGACAATAATTTATAAAATAAAAACACAGTGTAAGAAATAAGAAAACCTCCTGAAACCCCTCCATGGCCCATCCGACATATGACAAATGAAAAAGACAGATACACCTCCCCCCTAATATGCAAGAATAAACAACAATATAAATGTATGTATGCCGGAACTGAATCCAGTTAGGGATCGTTCAAGGAAATAACATTCATAGTGTGCACAAATTCCCTAAGCATGATACAGGAATTTAGGAGAAGAACATTCACAGACCCATCTATCAGACAAATATATGAACAATTGAAAAGGAATGATGTCAACGAGAAAAAGGTCATCCTTTCATGGGTTTCTGGACATGGGAATAAAAAAGAAGATAAGGCAGCAAAATCCACAACAAGACCACACAACTCTACCCACTCTGTATGTTGAGCGGATTTAAAAAGAAATGTTGCTAATGCAATACAAAATTAATGGAGAATCCACTGGACAAAAAGAAATACATCTAACTTGTACATATTTAAAAAAGACATCTGCCCGTGGCCTGCAGAAGCTGGGTTTAGAAGGGAAAAGGTCATACTTACCAGATTGTGCATAGGTCATACCAACAACACATGGACACCTAATAGGTGTGAAATCACGTGGAAGCCCGTTGTGTGAAGAAATTAACTTGGTAAAGCACTTAATAACAGATTGCAAATCGCTAACTCTTCAAAAAAAAACAAAAAAAAAAACAACATCCTCGGGCCTTGGAGCACAGCAGCAGGCCAGGCACAGATCGCTTATCCCCAATTACGCTTAGAAAGATCGGCTACTCTGGGGTGAATGAATATGTGAATGTAATTTATTAGCTTGAATGGAGGGGTTGAACTCCAATTTCCTGATGGATATCAAGTACTCTGGGGTAGTGTGAATGTAATGCATTAATGTGAATGAAGGGGCTTAACCCCCAATCCCCCGTGGAATACTAAGTACTGTGGCATAATGTGAATGAAGTCTGGTTTTAACAATTTTATTTACAACATTCAGATTGTACGATTTCAGTCTTCTTTCTTCCTTGACTAGCATCAGTTGCATCAAGGATGTTTTTCTATGCGACTTCCAAAAGGAAACATAATATAGGGTTCTTGTTCTGGTGTCCTTTAGCCAGAAACATGTCTTTTGGGACATTCATTACCAGCATAGACCTCCTCCTTTAGGCTGGTGGCTATACTTTATTTTGTGTTGATTTTAATAATATAATTAAATTTTGTTTCAAAACTTTTTTTTAAAAGAATCTTCCTCTTTTTAAAAGAAAGCCCTTTCAATCCTATCCTGATCCACCCCTGCATACTGTTATATGTGTGAATGTAACTTATTAGCATGTATATATGTATGGAGAAGTTTATCTCCCATTAAATTAGTAATATCAAGTACTCTGGGGCAGTGTGAATACTAACCAGACAATCATGTTTTATATTTTTTCTATTATTTGTTTTATTATATCCACAATTCATGTGGTCCTGAGATTCAGAGAACTAGCTAGCTGTAGGATAAAGAAAAGAGTCAGGTATATATCACATAATATCATAACTTGGCTGGAGAAACAGCAAAAGAAATTAGTAGGTGTAAAACACAAGAAATGCAATAAAAAAAAAAAAAATAATACCAAATGTTAAAATAAACATTATAAACAGTAGGATTTAAATTTAAAACAGTAAGTTATTACAAGTAAGATAAAGATTTCTTGAATATATATATAGAGAAAAATGACAAATTTATTGCAAACATTCCCCCAGGGATCACACATAGGACCCTTTCTATTTAACTTCTTCATTAATAAAATTATCTCTACTCTTAACAACACATATTTCTCGTATTCACAGACGATTTTAAAATATTCCACAGAAACCATTCTGAATCTGACTGCGTTTATTTACAGTCCAAATTAATTAACCTGGAAAAGTGGTGTACCACCAACTATTTGACATTGAATGATGACAAATGCAGTATCATCTCTTTTATGCCCATAATCCATATATAATACCTCATTAAATAGGATAAAAATGATCAAAGATCTTGGTTTTCACCCTTTTGTTGATTAACGGCAAGGATAGGCAGACTAAAATGAATGGTGAACCCACAGATAATTTTTTTTTTTTTTTTACAAAAGTATGCAACTACAGTAGTGTTAATGAAATAATAATCATAAATTAATTTCACCTGTATGCTCAATTATTTTATTTAATTTTTTACTTTAATGAAAGAAAAAAATTAATTTATCGATAATAATTTTAAACATAATTTGTGTTAGATTCATATACCTTACATTAACATGTGGATGTTATTAATTATTTCATGATTTTACACATAAATTAATTTGAGCCTCCAAACTTTTGCATTTTTGTTTTTCTTAGGTTTTAAACTGTGATTTTAATAAAAAATAAATAAATAAATTAGTAGTATTACATAAAAAAAGACCATTTCTCAATCTAAGAATAGTCATAATCGATTGGACTTCTGAAAGAATCATAACTTTTCAAAGTAAAAGCTATGATAGGCACACAAAAACGTAATTATTGTATATAAAACATTTGCAATTGATATTGCATACACTTTATATTTGTAATAACCAATAACATATCTTAGTAAAGAATTTTAATACCAATTAAACAGAGAAAAAAATATGTATAAAACATTTCATGTTCCTAGGCTAAAATCAGATCAAGGGAAGACATTTGTTATTGGGGTGACCCAGATTGCTGACCAATGACCTTCAACGGTAAGCGCCCATACATTCTTTATATTATGAACTTTCGAATGGTGAATCACTACGTATTCGGCTGTACGCTGAGAAAGTTATGTTTTTTGATTGGTTATCAATTTCTGATCAGAATGAGACAATTGTCAATTTTTACGTCGTCATGAAAAAGCCCTTATTGTATTCGAATCCTAGAATTGGCATAAGCAACATCAATGTTGAAGCTTTTGGCTTTTTTAGCGATAAACTTGGATATTTTTGCAAACTGCTACTATCAAAATTCAATCGTTGGAAGAAGCAATGATACTTTGGGTAAGATTCCACAAAAATTCAATTTTAAATGTTTCAAACTACTTATAATTAAATCACTTCAGCTTTAAAAAAAAAAGGATTTTCTTATTAATTATTATTAAATGAAAATCTATGCTTACAGACCAAGAAAGGCACAGTAAGAAGTAGGAAAAATGTAATTTAAAAGACAATTGAAGACAAATTTTAAAAATAATCTTTTATTTTAAAATTTAAAAATAATACACTGTAAAACTAATTCTATTTATATTTATAAGACTATAATGTGTCTGATTATTGACAAAACAATTTTATTTTTAGTAGTCATTGTTGATCCTTTCTTTATGTACCCAAAGTACAAAGGAATTGAGAATAAGCTCCGTAGCATCTTAAATGAAGCACTCCTAAACAACCTGAAGTTGAACGCAGTTGATGTTGTTTACCATATGAGCACAAAAGTTTCACTTAAACACGACACTACTGCAGTATTAAGCATCACATCGTGTAAGGACCTTTGGAATTTTTACCAGAGCCAAGGAAAGGACAATGGAATTCTTTATTTGTCTTTCACTGGTAAAATTTCAAAGCTGATTAAATAAGAAAAAACCTTTTTATTTGATTTTATTGTTTGAATCAGACCCAAATTGCCCAAGACTGCCAGCGCATGTAGGTCTAACTCTTCCCTTGCATCGTGTCGGCAAAGAGATTTCACAGATCTTACTTGACCTGAGATCGCAGAAAATTCTCGACTGGAGGAACACCGCTGTCATATACGATGATACAATTAGTAAATATTAATATTTATTAAATTGAACTTATTGAAAAAAAATATTATTAATTATTATTATTATTTATTTTTTTTAGATGAAGATATTGTGACTGAAATTTTAAAAGTTTTAACTCAGCCAATACCATTGTCAACCAGTTACAATAGCATAGCTAAATATTTTTTGACAAATATTCACGAAGTAGAGTGGAAAAGGTAATAATTTTATATCATAAATGTTTACCTATTATTTAAATTACTAACAAGCCTGCAAAAAAATTAAAACTTTATATTTTTGTAGGAGAAAATATATATTTGATGTTTTAGTTCATCTACCTCCTACAAATTTAATGAGTAACTTTCTTGTGGTTGTTAACCCAGAGATAATACCAATTGTCATAGAAGTTGTAAGAATATAGTTTTGTTTAAATATTGAGTTGAATAATTAATAATATGAAAAAAAAAATCTTTAGGCAAAATCTTTAAATCTTCTTGAACCAACAACGCAATGGCTGTTCATAAATTCAAGGCGTTTTAGAACAAAAGCGAACAACATTTCAAACTACATACAATTGGTAGAAGAAGGAGAAAATCTCGCTTTTATGTTCAACACTAGCAAAATTGATCAGAATTGCAATGTGATTATACTATTTCAAGTGTTAATTTAAATATATTTGACCTTCTGTTTGGTTTAAGTTTGGCCTGGAGTGCAATATGGTTGAAATAGCCGAATCATTTATGCTAGCCCTGGCAAGGACGATTGAAGTTGAGTCGAAACTGGCAAACGACGTTTCTGAAGAAGAATGGGAAGTGATGAAACTAACAAAAGTCGAAAGAAGAGAAATGCTTTTGAACATAATGAAGGTGAACTTTGTGACCTTTTTGTATGAAGATTATTAAAAAAAAATTGTACGTACATTATATCTCAATTCAACAAATTTCTCTTTTCAAGAAAGCACAAAAAAATCTGGGTAAATGCGATAATTGTACAGTGTGGAAATTTAAAGCCAGCGAGACCTGGGGGATGGATTTTCTGAAGAATAAACGCAAAATAGACCTCCTCGATGTCGGTTTTTGGTCTCCAAGGCCTGGCCCAATGTTAACCGACAGCCTTTATCCAAACATCGCCCATGGGTTTCGTGGTCGTGTTATTCCCATCGCAACGATTCATGTATGTTGTAAAATGATAAATTGTGATTAATAATAAAGAGTGATATTTTTCTAGTACCCTCCCTGGCAAATTGTCAAATACAATGAAAATGGCCAACCCAAAGAATTCAAAGGTGTTACTTTTGAAATAATTAACCAACTAGCTCTAAGCCTTAATTTTACGTGAGTCAAAATGATTAAAAATCTGTACACATATTGATTTTAATAATGATTTTTAATAATTCTAGCTATGAAATTATATTGCTTTCAAATGGAACTTCTACAAATAATAGCATCAGAACTTATAAGTTTGATGAAGTATGCACTTAAACTTATATATATATATAAGNTATATATAAAATTATATTTCTTCTGCAGAGTCTAGGGGAAGTCGTATTGGATGCAAGTGTTGAATTTATTGCTTGGGATCAAATTGTAAGGCTTATAAATGAGAAAAAGGTGAGAAGGAAAGTCATTTCCACATTAAACTGATGCCACAATTTTTTATCATTATTTGCTTCCAGAATTGTTGTTGTACAAGAAATAAAAAGTAAACATATAATTAATAATAAATTATGTTTTTAGATTATGTTGGGTGGTGTTGCATTTACAATTACCGAAGACCGAAAGGAATATGTTAATTTTAGTTCTTATATTAGCTTGGAATCTTATGCCTTTTTAGTCTCTCGACCTAAAGAATTAAGTCGGGCTTTATTATTCATACTTCCTTTCAGCACTGATGTAAGTTTATAAATATTAAAATTTACTGTACAAAATTTAATTTATTTTGTGTGTGTTAAACATTTCAGACATGGTTATGTATAATAGCGGCGATTTTGGTGATGACACCTCTTTTAAACTTTGTCCACCGAATAACCCCTTACTACGATCATTTTAGTCATAGGGGAAAAGGTGGTTTTTTGAAGATGATGAACTGTTTTTGGTACCTCTATGGTGCCTTACTGCAGCAAGGTATGCTCAGATATTTACACTGATAGTTAAAAAAAAAAAATAAGTTGTTACATTTAAGGTGGTGGTGTTTTGCCTGATGCTGACAGCGGTAGACTTGTCATTGGCACTTGGTGGCTTGTCGTGCTTGTAATAATAACGACATACTCTGGAAATTTAGTGGCTTTTTTGACTTTTCCAAAAATGGACAAGGCCATATCAAATGTAGACCAACTGATGGCCAAACGTGACTCTTTGACATGGGGCCTTCCAAAAATCACGACTCTACACAAATTACTCAAAGTATGTTCGCTCATGACATTAATAATTTGTTTTTTAATACTTTTTTTATCCAGTCCACAGACAGTCTGAAGTTCAACCATTTGTCAGATGCTGCCGAACTACACACAGAGATAACGCCTGATATCGTTGCAAGGATTCAAGCTGGCAAACATATATACATTGCAAGAAAGTCTGTACTTCTTTTTATAATGAAACAAGAGTTTTTGAGGACTAATCGATGTGATTTCTCCATAGGTTGTATTTTACTATTAAACATTTTGTATGTTTTTATTTGTTTTCTTATTTTTAGGAGAGGAACAATTTCTCCCAGAGAAACTCGCAATAGCACTTCCAACGAACAGCCCTTACTTAAACATAATCAACAAACAGTAAGTATATTAATTTTTAAATTTTTAAGATTTACTTAATTACTCAAACAATTGCATTTTCAGGATTTACAAAATGCATAAAGTTGGCCTAATTGAAAAATGGCTCGTCGACTATTTGCCCAAGAAGGACAGATGTTGGAGTTCAACTTTGTCGAGCGAGAGTAACACTCACACTGTCAACATGGACGACATGCAAGGATCTTTCTTTTTGCTCTTTCTCGGTAAACACTCTGAATACCAATTTTTATCTTTAAAAAAAATTTAAAATAATCTTCTTTTTATTTTCCTAGGTGTTGCATGTGGGATTCTATTAATAATAGGGGAGTATTTTTACAATCGGTGGAAAATCTCTAAGGAAAAAAGTGTCATACATCCATTTGTGAGCTGAACGCTGGATTCAAAAAATAAAAATCATTTGTGTTTTCTTTATTTTTATTTTATTTTTTTTTATTTTTTATTTATTTAATACCTAATCACATATATTATAAAAAAGTATTTTTTAAACAATTTATTCAATTGTTCACTTTTTCAAAACAAATTGATTGAGATTAAACAAGATTTTAACTTACACAATGATTGTAGAATAACATTTCTGTATCTTAATTAATTAAAACAGAAAGCATGTATTTTTTATTGAATATATTTGCAATATCGCTAACATTTATCAGCTCTAAAAATAAACAGCCAAGTTTCAAAGTGAACTTGATGTATTTACCGTTCTGACCAGAGTATCAGATTTATTCAAAAAGCCCTTTATTTATATATACTTTTACTATTTCTAATAACAAAAAATCGGTCTATGCAAAGTTTAATGAGATTCCATCACCTTTAAGCAAAAGAAATAATATAAAACAATCATGATGTCTGTTTAACAATGGTGTAGACTTGAGAAATGACTTTTGTTTTTAAAAACCGGCCCCCAAGCTCTGTCATACTTTGTGTCCTCCTTCTTACCCATCTTTTGGATCGCCTCATACCCAGCTCTCCTGAAATTCAGAAGTATATTAATTATTAAAAAAAAAATGTATTAACTTATTTAAAGAGTGTTAAGTCCTTACCTGGCCTCTGCTGAGCGGGTCGGAAGGCTGGTGATACTTGTGTAGCTGTATGTTGTCTCTCCTTGAACCATGATGCTTGCTTTGAAAGGAATAGGTGATAAGAATCTCACTAAATATCGACTGAGATGGCTCGCTAAATAAAACGAGGTTAATGTGATAAATCTTTATACAAGACAATAAGTGATTATATATAAATTACATACTCTACGGAACGTTGTGAATGAGGGTTAGAACGGAAAGTTCCAGATGGTTTCCTGAATTGCCTCTTCTGCTGCCCAAGCTAGCACATAAATTTTTTCCAAGCCTGTAAATAAAATAAATTATTTAACAATTAATTAGAAAAGTGGGCATGTTCACTTTATTAATTTTGTATCCCCCTCCCCGTAAAATTTAAAAAGAAAAAAAAAAAAAAGAAAAATTGTCTATACTGTCTAGATAAGTAAAGAACAAGAAAAACACACGAGTATGAATAAAGAATATAACTTTCTAATATTCAAATTTTTAATAAGGTCAGCACTAACTAACCCAAATGGGAATTTTTTACAGATATTTATTTCTCTATTTCTCGATGATTTTTATATATCAAAAAGTTATTATTATCAAAAAGTTATAGTCATTATTTCAATATCAAGCAACTAAATAATTGTTAAGTATCAATTTTTTAAAGCTGAATATGTAAGTAAATGGCACAAATCTGTTCATTTTTATATAAGTAGATTTGTGTGATTATTTTCAACACGATGTTGAAATTATTAAAAAAATTGTCTAACGATAAAATGATCACTATTGGAAGGAAATTCACAAGGTCTTAGGATTTTTTAAACCAAAAGGAATGTCCTGTTTGAGATGACTAAAAAAAGAAAGCAACAACAGGTCTGGACCAGAACTGGAATGCTTACTTACTCCTCCCTTTATTATGTAATAACTAGTTAATACTGTTTAGTTAAGTTAGAATATACAAAAATCTATTAAGTTAATATTATTTCTATTGAAGTTTAAACTTTAAAACTCTTTAAACTTTAAACTAAGTTTAAACTTTGAAGATTAAAATTTCTATAATAAAATGGAGGAATGGGGGCAAGAGCCAACAATTGTAACAGGCTAAATGTACAATTATTGATTTCAAATACCTTATCGTAGGCAAAAACTTGTCTGTTTGCGTGTATACTATCCTCCTCATCGACACATAAAGGTGAATTTAGTGGATGAAATTAATAAGTTTCGGACTGAGTTTAAGAACGTCTTCAGTTGGAGACCTAAGTGAGAATGAGCCACTCCGACGTGTATATATCCTCCTTTTCTAACTTGTTGCCTGGCAAGGAAATAACAAACAGGTTTTTTGCCTTGGCAGACATTCAAAACGGGTGAATATATTAGAGGGGGCTGGGTGGACGTCAGCCTACTCTGTTTACCTGGGATTTTTACTGACTGTCTGGAATAACGTCATCACTAATTCTCCTTAAAAAATTGTCTTTCAGGAATAATAAATGAAAAATTTAATATATATTTTATAATTAATTTATATTATGGATTTTACTGTAAAATTTTCTGTTATTTCTTGCCTGCAAAGAACAAACTCCTGACAAGATTTTAGACCCACGAGATAAAACCATCCAAATATATTTGAAAATGTATTGGAATGCATTAATAAATCAAAGGATATAATTAACAATATAAAAACATTATATGGCATTTTATGGCACAATTATATTTTATTATTTAATTTAACTACATATGATTTTTTTCTATACAATATTGTTAAGCACTACCAATTTGTCCAAAATTTTACAATGTTCTAACATTAATAAAAATTTAATATGATGTAATAAAATATATTGTTGGCGAATATATTTTTAGAATGAATCCAATCCAGACTGCTCTTCTCGTTCAATGAGTTTATTACATATTGGCTATTTTAATTTTCATCCCCAATGTATGCTTTAATAGTTAACATTTTGCAATTTTTACTTCAGCTATGTTACAATATGAGGATATAACTAATTATTTCTATTTACCAATAGAATCGAGTAAAACCAGATTATCAAGGCTAACTGGTAAGGAAGATCTGATGTAATATTTTTCTGGTTGTCATCATATTATTCTTAAAAAAAAAATAAATAAATAAATAAATGCACTTTTCCAAAGGAGGAATAAAATAATTCTTGAAAATAACGGTGCAATAAAAATATTAACAAATAAATGAATAAATAAAAAATAAAAAACTTTAATAATCGCTAAATATATACTCATCAATACAAATCAGATGGAAAATCATTCATACAACAAAGCAAAAAGGCAGAGTTGTTCTCGATTGCTTCTATTTTTCCTTTTTTTTATTTAATTTGTTGTTTTTTTTTGCACTTGATCAGTAAATAATTCATAAATTGAAGGAAGCAGAAGAAGCTTATACAAGGAAGACAAAGCACAAGGAAGTAAATAAGGTCGTCCACCTGTCCTTTTGTAAAATGTAAAAATCTTCCGTTTTGTTGTTATTTCTTACAGGGATTGAGTTGAATATGTAATGAGGTAAACTTTGATTCTTTTTTTCAGATAAATTGTTAATTTAAAAAAAAAAAGATGGTATCAATTCAATGATAAATATTTTGGGTTTATACATTATATAAATTGTAAAAATAATAAATTGTATTTTGTTTTGTTTCGAGTGGGTGTGTTATAGAAAGAGAGAGAGAACAAAAGAGAGCGAGAAAGAGAGAGAGTGTGTATTGTTCACTTTTGAACATTTTTTAGTCATTTAAATATATAAAACAAAAGTTTATGTACATTACATTAGAAATGCATTTATTCATGTTGTTCAGGACACACATTTTGATAATTAAAACCAAATATTTAAATTGATTTATTTTGATGTTATATTTATGATATTTAATTATATTGCATGTATTATTGTAATTAATAACTTCTGTAGTATGTTTTTTCTTTCCTGATCTAACCCACAGGAAGGGAGTTTATTTATATTTGTCTTACATGTTCCATTTTTATATTACATCTGTTTATAATTTTTTAAAAAAATAATTTTATTATCCTTTATTTATGTTTAAAAAAAATTATAAAATATTTAAGAAGATGGTTATTCTACAAATTGTCATATTATTGATTTTTTTTTTAAATATTTTGTTTTAAATCTTCCTTTTACTATGAATAACAAAAATTTTATTATTATTGAGAGTGTGTGACAGTAACTAATGTCCAAGGATTAGTTTTCCTACAAAGAGTGTGAATTCTTTGATATATTCATTTTTTAGAAGCTCCACAAGCAACCTGCCAACCCTGACCCTTACAAGCATAATATTGCGAAATCGAAGCTCTTTTTCCTTTCCCAATTTAGGCAAAGGAAAATCATATGCTTAAAATTTTGCTCTGTTATGTTATCACATGGGCACATTGATGTTGAGGCATGTCCAAATCGTTTCTAGCATTGCGAGCAATGTCAATTTCTAGAAATCATATGCCTCAGTTTGTAATTGTCTGGCAGTTCCATTGCACTCCTTTGAAAGAATGAGGGAATAAACCCTTGATGTGGGTTGGAAATCGAAGTCCTTTTTTTCTATATTTCTTCCCACCTTGAGAATTGAGCCTTGAATAGGCTTTTAGGGTATTTGGCATACATCAGTTTAGGATTTTGTCTCTTGACGCTGATATAGTCAGTTGATTGGCTTCATCGTTTATGATTATCCTGAAGGGAGCTTTTATCCAGTTGTGTGTGTGTGTGTGTGAGTTTTGTTACTGTTTCAAATGAAATGAAACTAAAATAAAAAAATAACAAAATCCTATCAAACAGGAGTGCATCCAACTAATCTTCAGATGTGATAAACACTTCAGAATACTATTTCCAAATTATTCTCAAATAAAATTCTAAGGGGTATGCTGGGATTTGAACCTAGAACCACTATCATGGTGAAAGTACAAACCACTTGGTTACTGGTGGTCTCTATTTAGAGCAAAAGTTTGAATATCCACATGTAATATACTTTATATTTAGCATATTAATTTTTATAGTCAATTTTTTTTTAATTCAAAAATTAATTTTGCGCCAAAAGTAATGAGATTGGTTACACAAAAGAAGAACACTTGTTTTATGTGTTTTAATGTTTTAATGATTAATTAATTTAATTTTTAATGTTTTAATTTTTTTAAGCTAATATCTGCGAAATAATGAAATTTACCCTATGGGAAATCTGATTTTTTAACTTAAATTTATTACGATTATTAGTTTTTTTAAATAATAATTTTTCACCAATGATTAATGGTTTATCGTAAAAGAAACGGAGGTGAAAATATGGAAATATCGATTAAAATTAGTTGTAAATTTAATGAAGTTGTAACATGTCTTGTAACTGTTCTAAAATGTTCAATGGGGTGCAAAGTTAAGGCATTTTTACATTTATACATGGGGTATTTGACATATATTTTAAAGTCCCGCTTAGTAAAAAATATATATTTGCCAGAATTGTATTTTATCATAGAACCAGATGGCTGAGGCAAGTGAAATTTAGTTTGGAATATTCCTCAAGGACTCAAGAACACAATCTCCTATAGGTTTTATGCCATTATTAAATGGTGGGGAGTTGACTAAAAGGGCAATAAAGAATAAAATAAAAAAAACTCTTCCACAAAAAAGTAAAATAAAATTTAACTTTTTAAAACTTACTTTCAATAAGTTTAAAAGTAATAGATAATTAAAATCTTATAACTAATACTTATTTGTTGGATTTTATTTATTTTGTTGAATTTAGAAAATATTTTTTGGTTCGAAAACATCCATGTGGGTTTTTTAAAACAAAAAAGTGAATACATTATTCATTTACATTTATATGGATGTTTTGGGAATTTACATCCATCATCAGCCTTTTATATTGTACTAAATTTATAATTTACTATTATTCATATTATATTTTAAAGACATGACCATCTTGCATTTACCGACAAGCGAACTACTATTTATTTATGAAACAAAAAAAACGGCCAAGAAGAAGATGGATGGAGATGACCAATGTAGTTTGCCAGTTCTTAAAACTATCCACAATGCATATAAAAATCTATCGAAATATAATTTTTAAGCAAATTGATTCATTTTTAATCAAAATTATAGTGTTTTTAGTTGATTTTGTCTTAACATGTTATTCAATTAGTACAATTCACTTTGTTTTGGACTGTATGAAAGTAAGATTTAAACTATAACATGTCTTGGAATTTATTATTTAATTAAATTTACAAATTTGCTAATACCAATAAGATACATTAGATTATTAATGAAATTGATTTAAACCTTAAAATATCATGAAATTTATTTACTTAACCTCATGGCAGGTAAAATCCATTTGCAACTTTTTTTTTCCAAATTCAGTTAACACCCCAAAAAAGGATCTTTATTTATTGATGCTACAGATAGTTGGTTGTTTTAAATGCAATTGAACTTTAAAAATTTAAATCAAGTGAACATCTTGAAAGAATCTATTTTTTACACCTTAAACCTAATTTAAAAAATCTTAACAATTTTTACAGGCTCGCAAATTCTATTCTCAAATTTGTGCAGCAGATCTAGTCATCACGTAAAAAGTCATAAATTTTTTGTAAAGAGGAATCATGTTTTTCTCAAGGAAACTCTACTTGTTTTTTTTATAATTAAACTATTTTAACCCTGACTTTTCAGCTTCGCATCTTTGTAAGAGCCAACTTTACACTTTATTAATTAAGATTGGAGAAGTTTAAAGGGAAGGAAATTTGTCAATTGCCATACATCGTCTGGGTTCTTGTTATATAGAAATGAAACATTAAATAAAGTTGTTTTCTATGTTTCTTTATATTAAACATGCTGAGAAAAAATTATATTATAAGGTCAACTTCCTGCTGATCAAAAGTTTCCAAGTCTTAATTGCCTGTATATCATTATATATTGTATGTAACATTTAGTAAATAAAATATTATTATTAATTTTAGTAAAAGTAGTATGTATTAGCAAATATTTACAACAATAATAATATATTTTACGGATTTAATCCAATTTACAAAAAATGTCTAAATGTAGAAATATACAACATAAAAAATATAAAAACAAAACTAAGAAAACAAAGGGAAAAATTACTTAAGTATTAAACAATACATAAACTAAGAAAATAGCTTAAAAGTATGTCAGTTATTTTATTTGTTTAAATTGTCATTGTAAAATAATATAACATATTTTAAAATATTATATAAATAATATTAGAAAAGAATTACATAAAATAAGGGTATTTTATGCACATTTGGTTGAATGATATTAATTAGAAATAAAATAAACTTAAATATGGAAATATATACAATACATACATACACGTACACAAGTGCAAGTTAAATAATTTATATGAAAAACTTTTTATTGTTACAGAAGTAATGAAAGATAATTTAACTTAAAATATACATGATAAATCAAGATTTAACAAGTCTACACACTTGATTATAGAATGAAGAAAAAGGATAATTAAAAATAGTAAGATTAGGAAAGTTATTGGCTGAACGCATCATTCTGGCAATAGGAGTATTTTTACTATAGTTAGTAGAATGGTAGGAAATATGAAAAAGCCTATTGTGCCTGGTCAAGTAGCTCAGTACTGAAATGTTAATTTTAGCAAGTAAAAAAGTACTGTAAATGTAGCAATTAATTACTTTGAAAAAGGAAGTAAATCAGTCAAAGACTACCTATCTCTAGGGGAAGTAAATTAAAGTACCGTTCAAATTGTCTATAGTCATTAATAGTTTTTCTATTAATAAAGGTATATTACAAGGTAGGTACAACCACGTGGGGTCATAATCTGCCTTTAATATAAATATGTGTTAGTTATGAAACAAATTATAATTTTTAAAATTTTGTAATATTCTAAGTTGTAGAATTATTTTGTGCATTAATAAAAGAAGTGAAGTAAGAAAAGAAAAACAAACAAATCTTAAATAAAAATTATTTATTGTAATAGAAAAAGTGCAACATGAGAGTTCATAACGTGACGACAACAAAGTGTCAGACAAGACCGGCCCATGCGTGCTGTTTGCTGTGAGGTTGCTGATAAGAGTGTCAACAACGATCGCTGCTTGAGAAGGAGAAAGGACTAACACTAAAGCTAAAAGCACTACTTGAAAGTTGAAAGTTGTTGAACTGTGGGGTTGCTAGACGAAAGGCGATTCCTCAGACGATGGCGACCACTACAAACGGCAACGGAAATCTCGTCGACGAGTTTGAAGAAGCATTTCAGGTTCGTTTGCAATTGATAATATAAAAGCTGCTAAATGTGGATTTTACCAATTTTGTAGTATTTACTTTCCCTAGTATTTTTTGTTTTATTTTTATTATAAGTTGCATTAAAATTTATTAGCAATTATTGTTTTTTTTACTGAAGGAAAATTTAATTAATGGATTTTGAAAAATAACAAAATAAAAGGTTTTAATTTCATAATTTCTTTATTGGACACAATAATTTTTTTAAACAATTAATACCGTGGATAATGTTCTCTGTTAGCTAAAACATCTATGCACCTGTTAGGCATTCTGTTAATAAGGTTGTCACTAATTTCATAAAGAATTTTACTCCGTAGTTGTTGCAACACTGCACTCAGTTGTTGTAGGTCAGTTGTTTCGGATGATGATCGAAAAGCCTTCTCTGAACGCAAACCACGTGTGCTCATTAGGATTGAGGTATGGCCACAATGGGCGAAGGGGCAAATGGGAAATTCCCAGGTTTTCTAAACATTGGTGAACAACTTTACCGCTCTGAGGTCTAGCATTGTCATCCAGAAATCGAAAATACCTGCCAATGAGATACCTGGTTTAAGGGATGTATGCCTCCATAATTTCTTGGACAAAACGGTTGCCTTCAACAATATGGAGTCCAGTTCATCGTCCGCTGTAAACCCCAGCTCAGAACATTACACCACCTCCTTCAAACTGCACTGAAGGAAGCACAAACTGGGGTATTGTACGCATCCCCTGTTCACGGGCTATCAATGAGCATCTTGGGAAAGTAGACAGGGAGAAAGTGAGAAAATGTTGACGTTCACTCATTGCATGTGAACAATCCAAAAATCTCTTGGTGAAAATTTAGAAAGAAAGGAACAATTGAATGCATCAAAGGGAGCGGAAAGAGATTCCCAATCCTAACAGGGCAGTGATAGGCATTTGAGGAAGGTTGGTATCAACCAACAAAGGAGATGGGGGCCGCAGTAGCTGAGTGGTTAAGGCATCAGACTCTCAGCTAGTAGATCCCGTGGTCGTGGATTCGAGCTCCACCGTTGCCTCTGGACTTTTTTTCTGATGCCTAATGGGACCGGTGGCCGCAATTGAAAGAAATTGACACGGCTCTCATCAATGGAAGAGGCAGGATCAGATCTCAGTGACCCTGAATTTGGCCCCAATCCCCTTCAAAAATGGAAAAACACTGGCACACTGGGGGCTCACATTCACACATGTGTTGTGAACCCCCAAAAATGTAGCCAGAGATAAAGAACAATACGCTGCACAGCTGCAGTGCTCAGGGGGAACTTCTCCAGTTCCTGCTATCCATTGGGGGGGGGGGAATAAAAATAATTAATAATAATAAAAAAAATCAACACTAACAGACCTGTGATGCTACCGTCTTAAGGACTGTAGTGTGTTAAATCTATAGTTTGGTCATTTCTAAATATCTTGCTCATATTCTTACCATTCTGATCTGTCAGATACATTTCAGCATTTTGATAGCTTATTAAGGTACTTTTTATTATAAGTTCACGAAAGGTGGAAGTAGTGGTTTTTTTTTTTTTTTTTAACATGTCCTCTAAATGTACTCTCCACAAATGCCAAAAAGTTAAATTTTTTTAATGGTTTTGTGTATGAGAACACCATGATGCTTTTAAGATATGGCAATCCAAAATTTATATTTTCTTGAACACCACAATTTCTGGTGTTGCACAAAATCTGGAATCTTCAATGATTCAATGCACAATAACAATTTGAACGAATTTTGTATGTGATTTTTTCTGCTAAAAACATTAATTATGCCTTGTTTTTGTGTAATTTAAATGTATCTTTTTTGTTTTAGTCATGTTTGAGTGTTTTGACGAAGGAACAGGCTCTAGCGGCGATGGAAAATGATGAAATCCGCGTTGAGGTTGATCATTCTGTTCTGAGATTTATCGATCTGGCTCGTCAAATGGAAGCTTTCTTCCTTCAGAAACGCTTTCTTTTATCTGCCCTCAAGCCCGAGTTGATAGTCAAAGAGGTAAGTAAGACTTCTGTTTATTTAGGATTTAGAATTATTGATAATTGGTATGGTTGTTGTACAGGACATAAGCGATTTAAAAAATGAGCTTATACGGAAGGAGGAGCTGCTAAAGAGGCACCATGAGAAAATTGCAATCTGGCAGAATCTCCTGTCGGATCTACAAGGTTGGGCAAAGACACACCCACAGGGCCCGGCCACCCCTTCGGGCATGAATGGAGTCCCGCCGAGCGGTACGCCGCCACAGGCAGCCATGATGCAACAGCAGATACAACAACAACAGCAACAGCAGATACAGCAACAGATGCAAATGCAACAACAGATGCAGCAACAAATGCAACAGCAACAGGTGAGCAATTCTCGCACAATATTATTTGTCTGTTTTTTAATGCTCAATATAAATTGCAGGTTAATGCTGGCATGGGACCAGGCATGGCTCCAGGTATGATGATGGGCCCTGGAGTTGGAATGCTCCACGGCCCCCTTGCATACCTTGAGAAGACAACTTCTAACATAGGAGTCGGAGAAGGGAGAAGGTGACGCGGGAGGGGGAGGGGGAGGGGGCGTGGCCGCGGCAGAGCTCGCGGTCATTACGCCAACACCCCTTAACCCTCCGAACCTAGCATGAGTAGAGCCCGAAACTCTTGTTTTGGTTGAGTTATCTGGGGTCATCATCACATTTTCGTTCCTCCACTCTTGATTCAGTATTTTTCACTTCAGGTTTTCTATCCACCTTTCAACTGGTTCAACTGTGGTCTGTCCTGTTTTCAAAAAGGATATAACTTTTCAACTTCATTTTGGGACTTATTGTTTGCCATAGACTTGGTCTTAAAGGGACGGATTTAAAGGTGGCTTGAGATAAATTGTTTGAATTAAAATGAATTTTTGTTTTGTTTAATAACATTTCTCTCTATTGCTTTGCCCAGTTCTGATGTAATGACTTTTTAAGTTTAAAACATATTTTTATAATCAACATAAAAGGCTTTTATTTTTTTACAAATGTCATAACGTTAGTTTTTCTATTGATGTATGTAAAAAGTATTACATTCAAGATACAAATACTTCATTAGTTTCTGGGCAAAAGCATAAAGAAAGGAAGACATTTTGTTCTCAGTTTCGGTAAATCAAAGAAAAAACTGTATAGGAAAACAGAAAATGAAAGTTTTGTATAAGGCAGTTTTGTGTGTAAAAACATCCCTAATAATGTAATAAATAAGAAAAGTCAAAAGCTCGCTAAAGAATGACATGCCATAAAAATACGCTATATAAAAAACAAAGTATACTTTTTGAAAGGCACCTAAAATAAAAGGGTATTATTAATGGACAGTAGTACAAAAACTTTATTACAGCACTAAATCACACTTAGTAAAAAATCACAACTTATTACCACGGGATGTCAGCTCTGTTGTGTAGCTTTTAACAGTCAATTTTGTTTTAAAAGTTTTAAAAAAATTATCACAAATTTTGCTTTTGCTCTAATTTTAATTGTTTACAAATAAAGATGAGGGATATACAGAAAATTAAGAATGTAACACTAAGAAAGTAGTTTTAAATGGGAAATATGTTTCCTCCATAGCTGTAAGCTATTTATGAACCAAATTCACCCCCCTTGGAAAATGAAACATTATTAAAGGACCTAAAAAAATGTATGAATTGATGTCACATGAAAGATAAAACTTAACAAAAATCTAATCTGTACATATGTAAAATATCTCACCTTAATTGAATGTAAACTGAAAAATTAACTCAGGAATATATGTATACGATAATACATGCCGTAAATGTAATAATTAAGATCTATTGGAAACTGAAATATATATTTTAAAAAAATCTGTATCTCATGTGTTTCCACATTGTAATAAAATGAAGATATGGATTAAATCTGAATTTTGTATATTAGCTACGATTTGTAAGTTTTTTTAATAATCTAAAGAATTGAATTTTTGTATTTTCTATGGATTTGTAGTTGTTGTAAATGCAAAGGATCTTCATTAATGTTTAATATAAATGGGGTGTACAATTTGTTAATACATAGTTTTAAAAAGAAAATAAAAAAGATACACATAATCGACTTTTGCCTTTTTAAACTAATCTTAAATGTTTTTTAATGTAAACAGAACTCACTTTTAAATATAAAAAAAACAAAAAAAACCAACTATGTATGTATTTCTCTCATATTAATTAAATTGTGTGCACTAACTTTTTAAAAATTGTATGGTAAACAAGACCAAGAATATTCTGCCATTTTCTTCTTACGGTGTTTATATATTTCTTGACATTTTTTACATGTGCAGCAGTTAATTCAACCAAACTAATCGTTTAATGTATTGTAGTGTGTAATGTAAAAGGAAAAGAAACCAATAAAAACTTGTAAAAACAAAACAAAACGTATTTTATTTTGTAGCTGTGTTCACAGGGCAACTAAGGCATTAAATGTAAAAAAAAAATGGATCAGTTTACAGTTTAATTAACATGTGTTGGCTTTCAGCTTGAAGAACTCGATCAACGTACGAGTCGGCCTCCCGGTGTAACCAGAAAGGTAGCTTATGTCGGACCCTCCGTCTGGCCCGAATACCCCGGCTATGTCCATGTGCATCCAGTTATTTTTAGGGGCAAATTCCTGTTAAAGATAAATTAATACTTGAAAAAGGTTCAAATACTACAATTTTTATAGTTTTGTCATTTTTAACGGTTTCGGTACCTATAGCTAAAATAGGTACCACAAAGACGACCAAATTACATGTTCATCTCAGTTTTAATTAGTTTCACCATGGTTTATCCAGGATCATCTACATTCAGACCCCATGAGGTGATCTCATGTTTTGGTTTAGAAGTAAATTTGGACTTTTTCGTAACCTTAAAATATCTAATTTGTTTAATTATTACAATAAACTCATAAGTGGGGTATGACTATCACACATCACTTCTTTTTCCTTTTTATATTTAACTAAACTTGTCCACATGGGGATCTATTTTAATGTACCTCACCATGACAAAATAGCAAGGAATATTGTAAAGCATCATATGTCACTTATGTGATGTAGAGTGCTAGTAAGGCTTTCTAACATAATGTCTCTTGACCAACCATCACTAACGCATTTTAATTAGCCATTGGGGCGTTGTACCTCCCTCTGACCTTAAGTTTTTTTCCCAGCAGTGATAACAACTTTACATGAATCGCAAGTAGGTGACACCTTTTCAGCAGTTGTTTTATATATATAAGGGTTCACATAAAGGAGCATCTTTTGAAGTATTTCGACCAATTTTTGCTTCACAACTGGACAGTTTGAGCATCTCAGATTTGCTTCTCCTCCATCTCCCACAAAATATATTTATAAGAATTGAGCTTCTAGTTGATCTGCAGGCAACATAATTCCAAATTAATGATAAACTTGACCCTGCACCTTAAACATCGGCATAAATCCATCTTCAGATACCTGCTTAGCTCCAAACAAGGTCACCTGAAAGCAGCTATTTATACTTCCTGATATGATTCATAAAATGATTATGCTCAGGATGAAGATCCATAACTAAATTGTACAACAGGTCTGGCAGAGGTTCAAATGCCTCAAGGAAAACTTCCCACCACTGCAAAACATGCCATGAGTTTCTTCTTTCCACTTCAAAATGTTACACCACTGACATTTATGGATCATGATACCTATGCTGACTGTGCTATCCAATTCATAGAAAACTCGAAATCACACACCAAACCTGATAAAGGTTCTTCCCATATTTTTTGTGCACTATTTTTCCAATGTATCAAGGTGTGTGTTATGATAATTACAGGTAACAGCTTGCCTGTGAACTTCAGGGTGTAATTTTTGAAATCTTACAACTTCTTGTTGATGTGCATTGAATTCTTTTCAGAAGATTTTTTAAAATTTGATTCTTTCAGATGTTATTTGTGTATCGAGCCTTGCGATTTTTTTATTTTCTGTGTTTGGGTTGGTTAATCCTGGTCTAACTCTTGGTTTGACGAAGATGGAGATATGGGCTCAGTTTGAAGCATCGGAGATGTAGGTCTTTTTTATCCTTTTGATGTTATTTTTGAGTTAAGATAACCTTTGGCATATTTGAAATTGAAAATTTCTGAAGTCTATTTTTTTTGTGTGAAACATAAGCATAAAAAAGACCACTTGAAAGATTTGCTGTGAACCTAAGTCGTTTTACATGGAAAACCAAGAGCAATGGCATCAATTATATCCGCTGTCCGTTCTCTTGCTACTGAAAAGCAGATGATACTGTATGCATGCCAAATCACATAAGTTTCTGCCCATGTAAACACTACAGTGTGACAGGAGCGAGAATTGAACGCCCTTGCACAATATAACAAATTCATACTAAAATATTTTAGAATTTTTTATTATTGTTAATATTAAATTTAAAAAAAATTACTTACTTTCAAAAATGCTGCAGCGGTACAAGCTCCACCACCACTTCCTTTCCCCACATTGTTCACATCGACAGCTGGGTATTCTAAAATATTATGAATTAGAATGTATTACTTTTTTTTTACATACCTGTTTATTTACCTGTCACTCGACTGGAGTAAGCTTGGACAAGAGGCATACGCCAAACACGATCGCCGGTAATAACGCCCGCTTTGCGCATCATTTCATAAAGAGGTGTGGAATGAGTAAAAACTCCGGACATCGCTGATCCGAGGGCAACCCTCATTGCCCCTTTGGAATGAAAGACATTTAAACAAGAAAAAACAACAACAAAGAAATACAAAAATACGCGATTAATCACCAGTAAGCGTGGCTAAGTCGATGGTTAATTCAGGGTTAAATTTGCAAGCATACGCCAAAGCATCAGCTAATATGAGCCTCCCCTCGGCATCCGTATTGTCTACTTGAATGTATTTTCCATTCATAGACTTCACAATGTCACCCGGTTTCACTGATCTTCCACTCGGGAGATTTTCACATAAAGGAGTTAAACCTGTAATTAATTTGTTATACAGAGGTTTTTTTAATGTTTTTTTTCAAAAAACTTTAAAATAAAATGACTTTTGTTTGGTTAATATTTGGTAAAAAATTTTCCTTTCTATGTAAGAAATTTAAAATTTACCAATATTACTCACCGATAACATTTAAAGGTAATTTCATCTTGGCAATTGCTTTCATTGTGGCAACAACACAAGCTGCTCCTCCCATATCTGCTCTCATTTCATCCATTTTTGAAGACGGTTTTATGCTAATTCCACCACTATCGAAGGTTACCCCTTTTCCTATAAATTTGCACTGCTCATTACTATAACGATGATGACAGACAACAAGATCAGATTCACAGACCTACTAGAACAATTGGTTTTTCACTAGAACCTGAAGAATAGTTCATTTCTAAAAATTTCGGCGGCTCATCAGAACCCTGAGCGACACATAAAAAAGCACCCATGTTCTGTTTTTCTGCCCATTCTTTGTTGTGAGCAAGCACTACAACTCCTTCTTTAGTCAATTCTTCTTGTACAATCTATAAAAGAAAAAGCAATAAAAAAAAAAAATCATGAACAATAATTATGTCATGATAGTAAATACCTCAGCGAATTTCGTTGGCGTTAGATAATTTGCAGGATCCTCTCCGAGTTTCCTAGCAAAGTTCTGTGCCTGAGCCTGGATAGCACCGATTTTCCATTTATCAATGTTCTCTATGCCATATGGATGGACGTCTGGGATTTTCTTCTTCTTCTTTTCCTCCTTCCATTCCTGATAGTGCCAGAGGGATAAAAACACTCCTTCGGCACAAGCCTCGGCATCGCCGAGGTCTTCTATTTCAACCGATGATATATCGACAGATTGTAAATTTTTACAACCAGCTATAATTAAGTTAACATAAAAAAAAGAACTTGTAATTTAAAAAGTTAATATATATTAAATATTACCAGCAGCAGCAACCCTCACAAATTCTTTTCTTTCATCAATGTCCTCATCAGCATTGTAAGAAGTAGAGAATTTTCCAAGCCCAACGACTGCTACAGCTTCAAAATTTTCAGAAGGCTGATAAAATATTCTAGACTTTCCCTTTGATAAACCAGACCTATAGATTTTAAACAATAGTTTAATTTTGGGTAGATTCAATATCTATATTATGTACCACCAGTACATAAAAAGTTTCAGTTAACAGTTTGATCGACCCTGATGATACTGTTCTTACGATATACATAATTCAAATGCATGTCAGCGTGTATCAGTGGAAACTAGAATACAAATTTCTAAGCCTAAGTTGGTTTTATCCATCTAAACTGAACTTAGACTAGTGATCAATTGGTGTGATTCATCATTCCCGATTTTCAAATTTTAATTGTGATTTATTATTTGAGACTTATAATAAGCTTTATTAAAGAATTTATGTTTTTTATTCTGATGCCTTTATTAAGAATTTGAAACAATATGCATCACATCAATACTTTCTAATTTCAAAAGGACTACAGCAAGGAGAAGCCTTGTCACCCATGTTATTTGATTTAGTGGTCTTTTAAATTATTTTTTAAACAGAGGTATTTCAACTACAAGGTCTTGTTAACTCCCAGGTGGTGTTTTGGAAAAAAAAAAGAAAAAAAAGAAGCCCATTTGTATGTGTTGGGCTGATGAGATTTGAACCCAGGACTCTTATGATTTAGTATTGTAAAATACCATTAGGGGTATGTACTGAGTTTGGCTTTTTCCAAAGAATCTAAGGTTGTTTAGGTCTTTCAAAGAGTTCATAAGAAAAGCCAGCTTGAACTGAAACTAAATGAAAAGATGGCAAGAGGCTCATGATGGAAAGAAATTACCTAGAAAGAATAGAAGATATTTACATTTAGATTTTTTAAATGCATACATGTCATACTGATTAAGTGAGAAAGTATGGTACTAAAACCTAGGCTGAATAGGTGCAACTTGTCCTTGCAAAAGATTAGTTTTTTAAACATTTGTACAAAGGTTTAGTTAATCATATAGAAGATGTAGGGACCAAGGTGGCTGAATTGTTAGATCACGTCAATGCCTGGAGGTTCAAATCCTAACATAAACCTTTTATTTGAGAATAGTAAAAAACAAGATTGCAAAATGGTCTGATTCCATGATTCATCAAGCTCTCCTGTATGACAAAAAATGACAAGGTGAGATGGAATAACAAAGGCCTGGACATTGATGATGAAATATGAATTCTCAATGTATGGGAAAAGGTGTTGAGGTGAACTCAGTGGTATTGTTGAAACACAGCATGTTGGAACGTTGGATGATGAAGGCATAAAAATTTCCATTCTAGGGCCAAGTAGGGGAAAGTGGGCTCCAGATGGACAAAGTCGATGGCCTTAGGGTTCTGGAGGAAAGTGGCACAACTGAGGAATGTATTTAGCTTGTGGCTGCAAGACTTCAATTTCTGAATTATTCTTAGAAAATTGTTATAATTGTTCATTTACCCACATTAGGGTTGAGATACGTATTGGATACACTACCTTGAAAATTCATTCAAAATCCTAATCAAATATATCTGATGACAAAAGACCTCCCAGTAAAGAAGGAATTAATACATCCTAACAGGAGATATTACCCATGCCCAAACTTTTTTTTTAAATTGCAATAATTTATAACCATCTGCAATTTCTGGTTAAAATATAAAATTTGATGATACATAGATATATTTACTGTTTACTTTGAGGGTAGCAAATAATCAGTACTATTTTCCCATTTCACTACCTGCTCATCATAAAGGACATCTCGGGGTGGATAAAGGATATCACATTCAGTGAATACGTTGGATTGGCATTGGGTCCTTTCAAGAACAGTACCTCACTGAAGATGGCACTAAGCCGGAATGCATTTGAGTCACATCAAAAATCCTCAAATGTAGACCCAGTGTCAGTTCAACTGTATGGTCCTTAGACAGGTCTGTATAAACGGTCAGTGAACATCTTACTAAGGCTAAGGACATACAAGGACAAGATTAATAGTCATATAATGTCCTCTCATTAATTGCTATTGCTTCAGGATATATTTGAAACAACACTTAGTGTTTGAATTATGAAATCCATGACCTTTGCCAGTATGGGTGCACTCTGATGTAATAATTATTATTCTTACCTTTCTTAAAAGACAGAAACGACTAACTAACCATTCGTTTAACTCGAAAGCATCAATTTTGTTAAGATTGATTGTACAAAGCAGGAAGTCCTTCATTTAGGGATTCACAACTCTCCAAGAATAATTCTAGGATGTCATACGGCTCCATAGGTTTGATTTGAACAATAACTTTTATACAACTAATATCACAATCTATTAATTTGAAAACAAATTAAACTATATTGGCAAAATGAGATCTGCTTGTGATGCAGTTTTTGCCAAGAAACGTTTTTTGGCAATCAAATTTTGAAGGCTTAAAGTTTATGATTGATGAAACATTTCTCTGGGTATCCTCAATTAGACCACTTACTTTTAAAAAGTATGTATAAACAGACTTCGTGTTTTCTGTGTTGCGAGATGCATGCCGGCAAACAATAACTAGCAAGAAAAAATAACATGATTGATCAAGCTGTAGATTTTTCATTTATTAGACTCACTACAATGTTCCTTTTATCTTTCAATTTATATCATACATAGAAATTTATTTTCTAATTTTTTCAATTACTTAGTTTTTATAATTTGTAAGTTTTTCTAGGCTTAAGTAGACCAAAAGATCGTCAAATCATCATTTCACCAAATAGAAAGGTGCTGTTAATTTTTTTTATTTTTTAAAGGAGACGTGCAAGGGAACTAGAAAGAACATCGACAAATTAAACGAAATAATTTATTAACCGACATTTAATCGTTTTACTAAGGCTATGCCAAAAATAATGTTTTTCTTACAAAATTGATTCTACTGCTAATCATCCTCTATCTATACACATGTATATTTTATTCAATACATTTAAATAAAGCGGCACATTGTCCTCGAAGTACATAATTGATTGAGAAAAAAAGAAAGAATAATATATAGATAATAATCAGATCAGCCTTTTATTTAAAAAATATACATTTAACAACTTAACAAAACAAAGTTAAGGAAAACTTAAGTCGAACGCCTCCTCTTAGTACGATAATAAATATAATTTTTTTTCTTTTTTACATAAATACATTGACATTTGGATCACAGCAGAATATATAAAAAAACTAAAAATAAACTTAAAAAACATTAATTAAAATCCAATTGTTCTTTGTACCACACAAAATCTGGTAGTTATGTAAAAAGGTAAATGAAAATATATTGTTTCATACATAGTACTATACATTATTATCTTACAGCATAGGGAGGTTTTTTTCTTTTTTTAAATGTAAACTTGGTTTAAGATTGGAGTTAAGCGTAGTAATACCTAAACAAGGTAATCACTTGTCTAACACACACAACGTACATTAATATTAATTGAATTCCCATGTTTTTAATAAACGTATTGTTTCAATCCCACCACAAAAACCCTAATGATTTCTTTTTTAACATTTACATATTAATAATATGCTTGGTAAACACCTAAATAAAAATTTAGAGAAACGTCTTAAGTACAGAATTTATATCACTACTGATTGGTTTATATAATTTAGTAGTATGATAAATTTTCAGTATAAATCTTCTTGAAAAAAAGTTCTAACATCTTTTCTTATGGTTACACATTTTTATACGAGTTCTAGAATCTTTATTATACCTTGACTGTTTGCTGCTACGACGATGTTCGAGTGCTGTCGCCAGCAGACAGCTGAAACAAATTCATTTACATCTTCTTCCCGTTTTTCTTTTTCTAAAACGCTTCGAACGGCATCGAATTTAAAACTAAAAAGCTGTTTTGAAAGACCCTTGTAATAAACGTACAATGAATTGTTTTCTGAGCCGCAGCCGATATAATCACCGTTTGTTGCCAGCCCGACAAAATTTTTCTCGTTTATGTGCCCGACGAAAGATCTTAAACAGTGGGCACTGTTTATATTCCACATTTTCAACTGGCTGTCAGTTGAGGCAGAGACAATATCCTCTCTGTTTAGAAACTTAACATAGGAAACAGCCTTCCTGTGGCCTTTGAACACACATAGAGCCTCTTTCATGTTTCTCAAGTCGTAATAATGAACGCAATGATCGGCAGAGCCGAATGCTAAATGACAGGAACTACAAGGGTTAAATTTGACACAACAGACGTTGGCTTTAGCCTCAAGACACGCGACCGAATGCTCCATGTTCAGTGACCATAATTTCACTCTTGCATCATCAGATCCAGAAGCTATCAATCTGGTATCAACATCGTTGAAATCGACACTCCAGCAACGTTTCTCATGCTCTTGAAACGTCTTAGACCTCTGGCCCGTACTTACATCCCATACAGTAACGGACCCTTCGTAATCGCTGCTGGCCAATGTCGACTTGTGATACGAATTCCAACTCACGCATGATATCTTGGAACTTGAAATCATTTCGATCGAAGGATAATGTATATCCACTACATCACGGATAACAGAAGCGTAATCAAAAACCTTTATTCTTTTGGTGACACCAGCGATTGCAAAAAGTTCGTTATCTTTATCAAATTCAATACTTGAAACAATTGTCGAATTGTTAAAAATATCGGAAGAGTAATTTAACGTTGCTAGAGGTCTTAAAGTACTGTATCGAGAAAACTTGACTAAATTATCTCGAAATACGTCTAAAGACGATGATGTTCCTTTAGTTGTATCTACAGGTGTTTTAACATCGGACTTGCTGAAATGCAACTCAGAAGCTCGCACTGTGAAGTAACATTGGACAAAGTCATCAAAATGCGCATGCATTCTTTTTCGGCATTTGGCGAGAGTGCTCGACTCTACAGGTTTCTTATTACTAAAACTTTCCTCCTCATCTTTATCCATAAGTTTATCACTTTCGACCACTTTACACTTTTCTTCTAATTCAAATTTTCTTGTTTCAGTCTCTTTAACAATAACTTCAACTTCTTTTAAATCTTTCCTTATTAAATCAACTTCCCGGCTCAACTGGTTCAACTGGCTTTCTTTCTGTTTTAATAAATGTTCTAAAAAATTAAACAAGAGCTTATTTTGGGCTGCACAGGTTTCAGCTTCCAGGATGTGCTTCCTCTGTGTAAGTACTTCAAGAATAACGTTGACATCAGGAAGAGAGAGGTTTTCAGATTCAGCGGCTAAAAAGTGCCTCAGCTCATCGACTGGGTGTTCTTGAATGTCAATGTTGTGGGTCAGTTCGGCGCCTCTTTTTATTTGTAACTTATGCTTTGAAATAAGCTCGTTTAAAAGAAAATTTGGAAAAATGTTATCTAAACTGTTTAAAATAAAACTACACTTTGGGCAACGGTTGTAATTCTCAATCGATCTGACGATGCAAGTGTAACAAAATGTGTGGCCGCATTTTGTTATGAATGCCTCTTCGATCAACTCGAAACAGATAGGGCATAAAAAATCGTTTGTCTTGTCCTCAAAAGAGCCACTCACACCGTTCAAGACAGACGGATGCTGCCGTTTAGCAGGTCTCGGCTGCCTCTGAGGGGTTGCTATATGGGCCAGGCTTTGGGATGAAGATGGTCTGTTGGAAGCCATTTTCCTTTACGAGGTAGAAATCTCAAATACTCTCGAACCTGAAACAATACAAACCAATGCTTAATGCAACTTAAGTACAAATGCATATTTTGACCCCTCTAACATGTTAAGAGCTGGATTTTAAGTCCCAAGATTAATATTAACATTAAGCACTTTGTATTGTTTCAAGTTCAATTTTTCTAAAAATAACTATGGGACTTATTGTTAATGTTAATATTAGAAAGGAGATGAAAACTTTTGACTTCTAAATTGAAATTTTCTAAATGGTTGTAAAAACATTTCCAAATTATTTAATAGTAAACATAGTTTGCATTTAATAAATTATTTAAATACAATAAGAACAATTGTAAGTATTATAAAAAAATATGGTAAGAACAGACATCAGTAGATGGTCTTCTTTAGGCCCAAGTCACTTGTGGAGGTATCTAAAAGTGCAAGCAAACTCAAGGTCGCCTTGAAAGTAAAGTTAAATTTTTTAAGATTAGCTGTAGCTGATAAACCTTAAATAAGCCCTGGAAAATGGCAGATTATCTAGTAATTTTGCGACAGTAAACCAGTATTTCAAGACAGCAGTTCATTCATTTGTTCTACCAAAGAATAACTTCATTGTCAGTCTTCATGACAAAAAAAAAAAAACTTTTTATGCATTGCAAGTATTAAGTTCTGTGTGTTAAAAGGATCAAAAGACCCACAGAAATTGAACTTGTCCATTGGATATCATTAAAGAACGAAAAAGAACTGTTGGTATTGTAAATTTTTTGAACTTAGTCATCAGTTGACAACTCCCGTTTAGAAAGTTTGACAGGGTTAAGTGATAACAACAAAACACTAAGAAAAGACAGAATTCTGTGACTTTAAAAAGACAAACAGTAGATTTTTATACTGCAGGTCAACTCATTACTAGGCATTTTTTTACTTTGTGGCTTTTTTTTTTTGGGGGGGGGAGGGATTTGAAATAAAAATCATGAAATCTTATACGAAAAAAACGCGTTTCTTTATTCTATTGGAAGTGATTAATATTCAGCAGGTAATCAATAATAAAATTCCTGGACCACTTTTTCTCGTACAAACTCATCGTTAGGCAGGTGGTTTTCTATTTTTGGGTTGGAGGCTTCAAAAGAAAGGCAAAAATTGCATCCTACAATAAGTATATACATATTAATAGTAAAGATCAATTGCAAATTAAATAAAGTAAAACTTCCTCAAACACCTTTTGTCCTGCAGTTTCTAGGGTTTCTGTTTCCGGCGCCCTTAATATATCAGAATTTTTCCACAGTGCCCCAAGTCGAAACAATTGTCTATCTCAGTGTGAACTTTTGATAATAGTAGTAATTCATTTCCAATTCAGAAAAACAATTATATATCTAAATCTCTTTATTTTGTGTTCTTATGAAATAAAAAAAAAACCTTGCCTTTTAAAAAGCGATTACTTAATAGATCAAACATAAAAGTGAATACCTTTTTTTTTGGACAATAATTAACATCCGTATTGAGACTGGATGGCCACCAGAGTTTTTGTTTTTAGGGTTTTATAAAGGGGGGTTTAGTTTATAGTTTTTTATTTTTATAAACTTTATAGAAAATGTTTGCAGCACCCTTGTAGTACAGTTTGTAAATACTGCCATAAACTCATTATTAGAATTTTCTCTTCTCAGATTGTCAATTTCCACCATTGCCCCTGTCCCTTTAAAAACAATACACATTGCATAAGATCAATTACATTCCTTGGCTAATATGAAAAATTCATAAAGCTTTTAAAAAAGAAAAAGAAAAAAAGAAGAGTGTAGGACCCAGTAGATCAAGTGCCGATCAGTTTAACTTCTTTGATCACATTTTACCCCATACACATCACTTTTCATGTTTGAACAAAAATTCATGATGTTTTGTAGCCCATTAAGTGAAATATAAGAAGCATTTCTTCATTGTGTTGATAATAATGAATGAATAGCTTTCAAATGACCAAACTAACTGAAAGATCTACAACCACCAGTTCTTCAAATAATCACTTTCAAAGTAGTTCTTATTCCCCATTTGTTTGTTTATAAACTGTTAGTAAATCTTTTAAAGAGATTAAACAACATACCCCACTTTTATCATTTCTGTTCTTCAACTAGGACTAAGTAGTGATAAAATACTTTATCAGTTTAGCATAAAACTTCTTTGACAATATTTTATCCCATACACTCATTCATTATTAGCACTTTTAAGATTTTAAATTTGAACGAAAAAAACAGTAACATTTCTGTCCAATCTTTAAAAAAAAAAAAAAAAGGATTGAACTCCACACTCACTCCATCATTCATAATTTCTATATTTCTGTCCTGTTAAGTAAACATAATAGGCGTTTCTTCATTGTGTTGATAATAGTGAATCTAGCTTTCAACTGACCTAACTGAAACATCCACAACCACTTTTTCTTCAATTGACTAAAGGACAGTAGAGAGAACAAGTGCCAGTTTTTCATAAAACACTTTTAAACCGTATTTTCTCCTATTAATACATAAGTAACTTTTTGTGTGTAAAGGATGGTTCTACCATCCGTTTACAAAAAGTGAATCGATATACCCCACCTCAATTATTTTATTGGTAACATGTTTATGGCGATATCAGATTTCAATCGACTAAATTGAAACATCCTCAACGATCTGTTTCTCCACACTCTCATACTTTACTTATGGAAAAACAAATAAAAGAAATCCGGGATCATTGGCTGAGTTATTTACTTCAAAGGTGTATAGTATCAGCGTTGACTTTACAGGGTTTAGTTTCTAAAGATAGGACTATGAAATTTGTCGCCTGTAATAAAGATTAACTGCAGTTCATTGTCGATAGTGATAACCAAGCTAATCGACCAAATTGAAACTTCCTTTTGATATTTTAAGAGCACATTTTGACTTTTGACTTGCTTATCAGACATTTGAGTTATCTTTGTTGAATTTTTCTTTAATTATAGACTGAGTAAGGATCCTTTATTTTTACAATTGTAACAGTTATTTTGTTATCCTGGAATACTTAATATTCTGTTATTCAGCGTTAAAATATTTGTTGTTTTTATGTAGAACCCTGTGATACACGTTTCATGCCGACTACACATCCGGAGATGAAGACTATGACTAGAAAAGTTGATAGCTTTTTGTACTTACGCATTTAAGTTTCTGAGCAGTACACCATCATTGTCTTTGTCGAATTTTTCCGCAGTGGGCGTCAATTTAATAACATTATTATCTTCGTTGTAAGCGCCGAGTACGAGCCCCCTCTAGAAGACAGACACAGATAGTTAATAAAAGAAATTAAACGCCGGACTTGATACAACTGCTCATTAAACGGGAAGGAGACTTAATAAAATAAAGACCTTTATTCCCGTTGCGTATTTTCTAATATTAACTATATTAATGGGAGACGACCCGTTCAGACATAAACGAAATGTCGCCATTTTGCATTTTCCAAAGCCTTTTGGATTTTCGACAGCCTTTGCCGCCGACATTCGCCGTCGTTATGTCGTCCGACATAATGATTGTAGGCAGGCTTTTTTTGCCTTTTTAATTCCTTTCTGTTCGGGATTTGTTTAAAATGTACGACTTACTTTAATTGATCTATGTGACTCTTTTCTTCTGGCAGTCACTTCGAAGCTGAATGCCCTCGACATGTAGAATTGTTTATGAAATGGTCGTGGATCTGGGATAAACTTGAAAATTTGTCGGAACATTAAAAATAACTTTTCTTTTTAATCTGTAATTTTGACCAACATATGTTTTTTTTTCGGAGCTGGATATCTGCTAAACGAAGGGAGCGCATCAGCACGCGCACTGGCGTCTAAAAAAACTACTCAAATTCATCAGTCAAATTGCATGAATAAAATTGTGAAGTACAGACAAAGAAATCCTCATGAAGAAAAAAAGTCGTTTTGTATTGTCCTAAAAATTCAATTTTGATTAAAACAAAATTTTATCCAAGACTGTTAATAAATAAAGTTCAACTACAAATCTACATATTTTGATTTAAAAAAAAAAAAAACTTTCTTATTTCAAAATTCATGGATCTCTTTATATACCTGGAAGTCTCTAAATAGCTTTATTCTTATTTAACAGGCAGAAATCAAGATGTCAAATTATTATTCATAATCTCTAAAACGTATTCCGACCCCTCTGGGGTTCCTCAAGGTTCCCTACTTGGGCCTTTCTTGTTTAAACCTTTTGTATGAATTGTATTTTATATTGTTTTCCACATATTAAATTTTCACTCTGCCATTGAAGTGAAAATCTATGTTTGTAGAATCAATTGAAGACTGTTACAAACTTCAAAATACTTTGTTCAACCTTGTACATTGGTGTCACAACAATCAATTGTATGTCAATTTTTTTGGCGGTTTTAATTACCTGAGGTAAAAATAGGATAATAATTGATACAAATAATGATAAATCTGCCTGGGTTGGCTAATGCCTACTTTAGCAGTTAATATTTTTTACATGTTGGCTTTATTTTGTTTACAAATGATTTATAATGATTTTTTGCTGTTCCTTTTCATGTGTAACTGAAACATCTAAACTTTGTAAGGCTTTCTTGGCTTGAGAAACCTGACGTAGGAACATTTTGAGTCAGAATTATAATTGATTTTGAAATATATAAACACACTTTCACGCTAACCATTCAGCTACTAGAAGAAAACCATGTTTGTACAATGTGTAATGTTGGTGCAGTGGAATATGTCTTTCACTAGGTACCAGTCTGCCCTGTTCTAAATGGATTTAGAATAAAAGCCTTAGGAGAAAAATGTGTTGCAGAACTCATTGAATAAATGAATGGTGAGAGCTGGGAATAGTTATGCTCTTTTCATGTAGTAGCTTGGAACTACAGAAAGTTCTTTATAGACAATTATAATACCTGAAGGAGAGTATCATGCAAGCTTTGTAATAGTGTAAATATTTGCGGTAACGTATATTTAAAAATAATTCATGTAAATGTAGATCATGTAATTCATGTAGTTTTTGTATAGTAATGTCCATAGTATATGGTTTAATTATTAATTAAGAATGGTATATATGTGGTTAAATGAACTCTGCACAACTTCATTATTTCATAAGTTTTGCAACTCGACAGAAAGACTCTGTCCATGTCAAAATGTCTTTGGAAAAATAAATTTTTTCAAAACAAAAAAATGGTGCTAAAATAATATGTGTAAGTCAATATTTGAAATTATATATTGAACTTTGTTCACTAAATGAAGCAAATAAACACTTGTTTATCATTATTATTATTGGTCAATAATTGAAGAACCTGTCAGATCTTTCAATTAATAAGACAGAGAAAAAGAACATCATCGATATTGATAAAGAAAAACTGGAATTTTATCCATCTTGATGTGTCTTTTTTCTTCATTTTGCCATCTTCTATGTTGATCTATGAAACCAGTGAATATAGCAAATTGTAAAAACGACCAATCCAGTGAGTATAGCTAGATCAAGATGATCGGTAAGGATCAAATCAAGGTTCATCATCTGCAGATCACATGATTAAATCTTATGAAAGAAAAACTTATGCTTGTTTTAGCTTTTATGGCTTTCAAAATGTTTTGTATAAAGGATTTATTTCAACTATATATAGCTCTTGTTGCATTATTGGCCTTTCTTAAAGTTCAAAATGGTTTTATAACAAATAATTAAAGCCCAACAAATAGTTTTTAAGGCTGCTGAAAAACTTGACATGGATTATTGGGCAAACATTCAGAGAAGTTACATGTTAAATTTTGAAAACTTATTTAGTATTCTAACTACAGAATATATTCATTTGGTAGTCTTTTTTTAATTGTAAGAAGCAAAAAATTGAAGATCTGTGATGGTAGAATGGAAAAAAATGACTTATACTAGATGATTCTTTTATCTTTGTTATATCTTATTATTCAACATATAAAGCATTGGTTTTTTCTTCATTTTCTTATATTTATCGTAAATTTGGGGCTAGAAATATTTAATAATTGTTTTCCTCCCATGACATCATTTAAATGACGCTTAGGCACCAATGTAGTTGGTGAGGGAATCCTTTTGGACCTTGTGGACGTCCCTGGTAGATGTCAATTATCCAAATCGTTCATTGTCGTACATAACAGTCAACGGCTTTTAATCACGTGGATTTTCAAGGGAAGGATTTCTGAAAGAGGATTATGTCGAAATTCGACAAACAACTGGTAAAAACTGTTTAAACATTGCAACTTGAAGTGTTTTTTTAAATGATTTTTTTCTCCAGGGTGTGAATGAAGTGTTGGCTGGAAAAGAATTGCTTAGCAGGCCTGCTGAGGAATTCGGGAATGACGTGAGTAAATATATCTTAACAAACCTTTTCTGAAATGTATTTCTTACTTAATGGTTTATTACAAAATAGTCAACCCATCAAAAGTAAAAGAAACATTCCTCAAAGACAATATTAATGTTAGGGTTTCAATAATAAATGTTTCTCATTGATTTTCAAACCAAAGTGGTCATTGATAACAGATTAAAAGCTGAAATTTCTCAAATTGTACAACAGAAATTTATTCTTATTCACCTTTGTTAATCTTTTCGGTTGAAGCAAACCGAAACAAAATGGTTGATTGTCCGACTATGCCTGGAATCTAGTCAAATTGCACTGCAAACAAAACGTGTTCAGTTAACTTGCTGTCGATAAAACAGATATTTGTGCATCCAAAATATTTGGGTGTACCGGATAATTAATAATTAATTTGCAGCAAGGCTTCGGATTCTATTAGTTGTGACTATTTGAAAGGTTCACATCTTACATTCTATGATCTCTTTGCAGCCACCATATATAACTCAATTGCAACCATTTATCATGGATCTGACAGTCGTAAAGATGACCAATCTCTGACTTAGTGGCTATTTTTCAGCATTGCATAATAAGTCTGTATGAAGATAGTAAAATGACAAAACATATCAAGAGAGACAGAATTTTAGGTTTATCACAACAAAGTTTGTTTAAACCTAAGCGTTTACTCGTGGGAGAACTCTCTTAGAGGTGCAATGTTGCATCTTCCTCGCTAGTGTAAATGTTTTTCTCACGCTCACCGAGAGTATGCTCAATCATTAAAAAAAAATTGAATTTTGTGAGAGTAAAATGCCAAATCCAAAAAAAAAAAAAAAAAAAAAAAAAAAAATGGACCAACGAGAATGTTTGCAAGTTCATTGAAGCATACAAATTGAATCCAATCCTTTTAGGACATCCAGCACCCAGATTTTAAAAATATAATAAAAAAAAACCCTTGTGATGGAAAAATTAGCGACAGTCTTCAATTGTCCAGCCTCTGAAATTAATACGGCAACCATAAGACCCTCACGAACAGAATTGTTTCTCTCATTGCAGTCTTTTTTTTTTAATTACAGGCCCCACTAATTCTACCAGCAGTTTAACTTTAACTTGAAAATCTGCAAAAATTCTTAAATTCCTGGGTGTATTCAAGTTCCAATCCTAAGCTGTAGCGTGGTATATGCCAAAATGATAACTCCTTGGTATCCATGATGACCCACTTTTTTTTCCCATATAGTTTAGGGATGGTTAGTGTTTTTTTTGTTTTTTTTTTGATAAGCACAAAACTAATAACGCTGCTGCTACTTCTCTTTTTCGTATTGAAGACTTCTTGTCTAAAAATCACTCTCAGAACTATCCACTACATGTCTGTAAACGGTCTGAAGTGGACTTAGGAGATTTGCCATGGAGACTTGCTCTCCGAGAGTGAACTCGGTCGAATTTCACTCTCCCATGCAAGGCTCTGAGTGTAATCATCGAGAGCTCCGGCTGCGAGTTTCTCCCACATGTAAATGCACCTTTAAACTATGTAATACTAAATTTCATAAGTAATTTTTTAGAATTAATTATTATTACTTTTTTTACAGCCAACTGTGGAACTTTTATGGGCGAAAAAAGCCTTTGAACATGCAGAGATCTATTTTAATGTAAGTATATATTTCTTTATTTTATCGTTTCATTTGTATTTGAAATTTTGGATGTTGTTCATTAGCTGTTGTGTTCAGTGGATCCAAAAGCACTTCGTTTGACTCCACATGATGACCTTATTTATACAACCTTCCGAGAATCTTTCCCGGATATGGATGTAAAGCTGATAATTGAAGATGAAATCAAAAGCGTCGAGGGTAAATTGGTGAGCGAAGTGCTAAATATATATATATATTTTTTTTAAAGTTTTAAACTGACATTTATTTAATTTTCAAAGAAATGGCGAGATTTCTGTGAAAAATTCAAAGGCGTAGTCGAGGATTATAGCTTTGGCACTTTGGTCAGAGGCGATGTGAATGAGGATTATTCAGAAAAAAATTCCATTTTGGTCACGAGGATTCAATTCTATGCCATAGAAATAACCAGGAACCGGGAAGGCTTGAATGACGGGATAAGAAATAAATTCAAAACGCCATTAAAATAGGACATACATTTTTGATACAGCCGCATGCATTTTTACCTGTAAATTTTATTAACAAACATGATGTTATCATTGTGAACAGCTTACTTTTTAATAAATTGTACTTAATAAGTTGTAAATAAAATTTTTTCTCCATAAAATATCACTTATGTTTACCCTAGTATTTTCTGTAATGTTATGAATAGTCTTATGTGAGTTACATCGACTTGTTAAATTTGTTGCAATACACATTACAAATGCTGCAAGTTGTAGAACAAAACAGAGTAATTAATAATTTTGATAAACCTTCTTAAGTAGCATATAGGAATAAAAAGGAAAAGAAAAGATACAAGTTTACAGATCCCCTGTTCCAAATTCTATTGGAGATCTTGTAAGATTTCAATATTATTATTGTGTTTGATAGAAAAAAAATCAGATTGATATTAAATAGTAATTTATTTCCTATTTATTATGGTTTTTACAACTGGGATTTTTAGTGGTAACAAGCAAATCAGATAAATTACATAATGAAAATCTAGCATGTTACACATGACAGTGTGGATGTCAGTGCAGATTATTAATGATACATATATACAACATTATAGAAATCACTCAGCATTGACGTCAGTCTCAAGAGATTTTTCGTCCACAACTGCTTAAACGACATGTATTAACGTTGTGCATGTTGGAAACGTAGAAGGGACAGTTTAATATTTTTCTTGATATTTTTGATTGGATGAATTGGATTTTACTTTATTTATTTATTTTTTTATTTTAAAAGAGGGTATTTCAACTTTGGGGCTATATAAACTCACGGGTGCTGGTGTTTTTGAAAAAAATCCTTTTGTATGTAGGTTTCGAATGCAAGGTCGCTAGATTCAAACCCGGAACCTTTGTTACAGTGTTGAGCCTAAACCACCCTGCATTAGAATTGTAGGAATCGGATTTTTTGTTGATCCCCAAACTTCAGTCCTGCCTCAGGTGGGTCTTGTAAATGGAGAATTTGTTTGTAAGTTAGATCTATGGTCAGGCAAGTTAAGGAGTAATTTGTAGCACCGGTTAGTTTCCTGTCTTTTCATTGTATCAGATTTCAAAGTTAATCCCAGGTAGGACACAATATCTATCAATGGGGTTTTCATTGAAAGAGACTGTAGGACAGGTGGATTTTTGGAGTGTAAAGGTATGGATTTGGTTTTGTAATTTTTATTCTCCGTCTGCGAGACCAAGACGTTTAAATGGAGTTAGGGGTTAAGGCTAGCTAGGGAATGATCGGGATTACAAAATACGATGTCTGTGCCATCAGCAAAAAAGCATGTAATATTGCTACTGAGAACAGGACTGTCAATTGTGTATATTGTGAATGGGAAGGGTCCTATGATGTTACCCTGGGGTACACAAGTTTTAATTGAATTTAAGAAGAGGCACTGAGAGATGTGGCCATATTGATCTGTTACAGAGGATTTTATTATCGAAAGTTAGGTGAAAAGGAAGGGAAGCAGCAACAACAAACCAGAGTACCATATTTGATGGAATGCTTGAGCCACATTGAAAAAGACACCCAAGCAACAATGTTTCTGCTCAAGAGAGATGCACTTGTTGTATAGTGGAGTGAAGCGAGTGGAATCCAAATTGGTGGTATGTACAATATTAGCAGTTTCAGATATTCATATAAATAGTAGGAAATTTTAAAAGCCAAAGTTGGATTTGAACCCAGTATGTTTATGAAACATGAAATTCAGATGTATGTATTAATATTGCAAAGGAGAACACAAATTTTAACTCAAATATTTACCCAATTAGTTATACACAATTTTTTTGAAATGAGAAATTTGTGGCAGGGCAATCGAAGACACAGCAGCACAAGTGGTAGAGCAGCGGCATATTTAGCCGAAGGTAATGGGTTCGAATCCCACTCCTGACACTTTGATCATTCGAATCCTGCCTGTGATTGACTTCATCTTGAAAAACTGTATAATTCAGTAAATATATAATTAAGAATAAGTTGATAAAAAAATAAAACAAGTTAGTATAAATTTGAAAATCTCAAAAGTTATAGTGGATGTTTACATTTTTTTGGGCGGGTTGTGTTTCCGACCGCTACCAAGTCACTTTATAGAACATAGAGCCGTAAAATTCCTAATTTCCAAAATATTGTTATTGTTGTCATTCCATAGGGAATCTGTACATAGATAGCAACAAGTAGCTAGGAGTTTAGCTTAGTTGATCTCGTCCACTCTACTTGAAGCCAAAATTTTTAATATTGTAAGTACATATATGTTTATATTTTTGTTAACCATGCAAATTGTTAGAAGTAGATTCAAAGTCCTGATGAAGGGGATATTTTTCTTGAAAGATTGACGAAGGAACGGAGTGTTTTATTTTCTTTCAAATTCACCTTACCCCTGATTTTTTATATACAGTTTATAATATTAAGTCTCATATCAATGACATCAAGTTAATTGATGCTTAAGGTATTTTATATTAAGGCTTTTTAATTTATTTTTTCCTTTAGAAATGAATAGTTTTTTTAAATTGTACAACTTATTAGTCGATAATATATAAGCAGCCTGAAACTTCTATATCTCACTTTTGAACATATTTGTATTTATTTGTAAATAATTAATTTTTATTCTTATTGATGCTTGAAAATCTTTCAGGCAAAATTTTTAAGATGCTGATTGAAAAATTGTCGCAGTGCAGTTTTGAGCCGTTGATCTGTCCATTGGTATTTTATTGTTTAAATAATTTGGTTCAGAGCAACATATGGTCAAATCATGGTATTTACCTGAGAGTTATCATTGGTCATCCAAAGAAATATTAGACCCATAGTGGTCGGCATAAAAGGCAAAAGCACTGTCAGGTTTTCACCAGATCACAGTTATAATAAACTGATTGATTAGATTTGTCATACTTGCCTATATTTTCTTAAACTATCTTATTTGCCTCATTTTACCAATGGTCAGAATGAACTGAAACTAACAGGACAAATGTAAAAAAAAAAAATGTAATTAACGTAAATAAAATCAGTAACAAATGCAGGAGGTAAGAAAGAACACGAATGCATTAGATATTTAAAGTACACTACATCACACACGCATAAAAGCAGATTAAAAATATGTTATAAAGCCAAGATGAACAATTAAGAAACTTATGCTCAAGACATGATGCTTACAGCTAATTTTTCCACCACAAATGTAATCATTAAATAATAGTTATATAAATGAAACAATTTGAACGTTTGTATTCATAGAGAAACAAAAACGGCAGCATGTTATACATAAATTAAAAGTTATGAAAGTGGAGGAAACAACCGGTTTCAGAAGTCTGCATCAAAGTAGTTCAAATCATTTAAATTGAGTGGTGTACTGAATGATGATCTTTTGTTAGGAATTGCATGGAAGGTTTAAAAAGTTGAAAATTTTTCTGAATGAATATATTTTTAAAAATTGCTATTGTTTTGTAATAAAGTGGTACTCTTAGTTTATTATAGAGAAACAGGAGGTTCAAGGCTTCAATGAAATTAGAACGAAGACATTAAAACTGTGTTTGTGACTATGTACCGGAAATTAAATGTGAGAATCAACAATCAACAAAACAATTATAATTTGTCGGAATTGGCCTAAAAGGCAAAAAATACTAGTTTTGTGGGAAAAATACAAGAAACGGGAGAACGATAAATAACGGAATGGAGAAAATAGATCGGACATCAAGATCTTTGAGGACCGCAGGGGTAGGAGAAAAGCCCGTCTCCCAGGTAAAAAGAAGTTTGTTTCATTTCTTTCCCTGAAAAAACTCAACCCCTTATAAAAATTATTTAAGGGTGCGATAGGAGGGTGTTCGTGCACCGTCGGGGTGATGGGAGGGAATGGAAAAGTTTCCGAGTGATGTAGAGGGTCAGGTCTCATAACTGTGCTGGTCCGATCATTGCCACCAAGGGATTTGAGTGACAAATGTGCACGTCCAACTTTGAATTAGTTCGCCTCCTGCCTCCGACGTAAGACCGACACAACAATCCCAAAACCCCGCCGTTGGCCGTTTCTCAATTTACATATTTTATTGTGCTGGGACACGATTCCGGTTAATTTGTATGCGGAATCCCAGCGGTTAACGATCTGGTTTTTTCCCCTCCAGCATTGCTTAACTTTCAAATAAAAACAATAGTGAAAATAAAATAGATTTTCGTGAAATCTGGTGATCTGTCTGTCCATCCTGACTCAGAAATGTTCTTTTGAGCAAGCAACCTTCACCCCATGCCAGGATTAACAGTCAATCAAAAATTTAACACATACTAGATATTAAAACGTCAAACAATAAGTCTGCAACATCCCAAAGAAAAAAGTACTGGAAATAACTTGATAACCAGGATAACCCCTTAGAACTACTAATTTTCCCATACTATGGAAATTCTCCGACCCGAAAGTCAAACTGTTCATCCCCCATCCTACCGCCCCATCCTTGAAATAGGGTTTGAGAAGCTTTTCCTTCTGCAAACCATATTAGCACCCCAAACCCCATTTCTCACCAGTTCGCCCTTCACTACTGCTTCACTATACACCAAACACATCGTGTAGTAGGCACCATCGCTATAGTTGAAGTATTACAGTCTGGACATCTCTGAAGCATCTGGACATCACAATTGCAATACCTCAAGAAAATACTTCTTCTCAGCTCAACAACAAATCTTACTTATCTGGTCATATGTAGCCCAAGAGTCAGCTATATCCTACTATCGCTGGTGTTCCATGGTGTTCACCGTAGCACCACACCTGTAACCCTACACTACCGAAGTTCACTTCACTGCGATACCATACTTTTATTCTCACTGATGACATTCTCTTCTCAACACTGATCTTTCACATCAACCGACTCACTTTAACATCTCCACAACTTTGTATCATAGTTTTGCGCTTGGGCAATCAAAATTAATGGAAACAATTCCAACTTTATAGTCTTTTCTTTTTCCTCGAGTCTACCTCATCATTATTCCTATATTATGCTACCTAACTACTATTGTACTGTCGCACCTAAACAGACGATTTATCTGTAAACGTCAGTTTACAAGACATTCTAAACTAACGTTAAAGAATAAAAAAGACTATACATTATCCAATTGACTAGAACTTAACTTGACAGGA